GTAATCTAAGTTCCCTTTCAAAGCGGTTTTCACCCTTTTTATTACTGAAGATTGTACATGAAGGAGCTTCCATCACAAGAAACAAAGCTTAAAACACAAGAAATTAGTAAATCCATGATAGTTCTCCTGCTACTGCTTCGACTATCACTTCCTCTTCTTCTTAGTCTTCTCCCTTTGCGCAATCGATAAAAAAACGTATGAAAAACAAGAAAAGAACACGTAGGGAAAATATGTCTGCATTCTTTCGTCTTTTTATCAACTGAATTATTCAGTATGTGCAAGGGTATGAATGTTGAGTAATCTGATTGCATAATTTCTTTTTGTTAATTATTTGATTATACTTTATCAATACATATATCACAGTAATTTAGGGGTAAATAGTTGGCATTTGAGAAAAAAAGATCAAAAATGCGCATAACTGAGAGGAATAATTTCCCTTAAAACTGTTGATCTGTATTCACACACACACTCTCTTTCTGTCTAACATACTGGTAGGATTTATAATAGAGGACAGTTTTATGCACTTGTATGTGTGTGTAAAGGATGTTGTAAAATATAGACGCTCGTATTATCTGTAGAAGATATTACACGTAAAATAATATCCATAAGTGATGCCAATATCATGCATCACTTTGTTCAACAATTCTTTGTCTTTCTGTACTTATTCATTTTCACCATCAGAGTAGCCGTTATACGGCGTAAATAGGGGTGGAGGGAACGACGAGCTCAGAAGACATAGACAAAGATAATGTTAAGTGTTACGGGATAATAGCAGTAATATTTCCTTTTAAAAAAATCAATTTATCACAATACATTTTCAACTTTTTTCTGTATATTTTATTTATTCTCATTACTGTTCATTTGTTTATTTAAACTATAAATTGGTATTCTATAGATGAAATTTGTTTGCAGTTGACTTAGATCAGCACTAACTGAACTGCATATATGCGCTATCGACGAGGAGGATGCCACTGAGGATAATGATGTATTGGCTATTGAGTTTGATGGGAAAAATCTAACAGAACCAGGTAAACCACTACATGAATTCATACTGGAACCGGAAGAAGTGATAGAGGCAGCGGAAGATGTACTTGACTGTGGTTCGCTTTGTTGTTGTCGTTGATAATGTTGTCTGACTCGTAGAGAGGGATTTTTCTGTATATCACCATTTATGCCGCTATTTGATAAATCTGTATGTTGGTAGTAAGATAAAAACAACGACAGAAATATTTAAGCGTCCAAAAGAAGTAAAATAAACTTGATAAAACGTTTCGACGAATAAGAATAATAACAGAAAAAAAACTCAAGGAAGTATATATCACTATTAATATTATGTCTTATAATTGGTTACGCTTTTGAAATAAAGTGGAATAAGTTATTTTTTTAACTAGGCTGCTTTTATATGTTTTCAGATCGATGATAAAACCCAACATATAAGTCTTTGAATCATTAGTTTTCTGTAGCAACGTTTTATTCCTTCCCTCTCCTAGTGGGGCGTGGGGCTTCAAGCTTTTGAAGCTTCAGCAATACGCCTCTTCTTCCGAGTTGAACACAGGGTTTCAGCATCACTTCTCCACTTTGTTCTATTCTCTGATGCCCTCTTCAGATGGCTGACCCCATGGTTGCCCACAATCCCCCGTTATCTCCTCCTCCTCGACGATGACCCACTCGTCCATCTCCACTGGGATCCCAATCGAACGATATCCTGCATTGCACGCGATGTCATTCGATGGCCTTCTCATTGGTTTACTCCTGATTGGTATCCATTTTCTCCTACATATTTTTTGAGCAGTCGGCTATCGCCTTTTGGTTTGTTCCACTGAAGAGTTTCTTGTTGCTAATTCTTTCTGGCCGGCTGGCTGGCCAATTGTTTGATCTTCAGTATGGAGCCAGCCAGCGAAGTGGGCAGGTGTTGATCGAAGTCTGCATTTGCTCGTCAGAAATGCTTTTCGTAACGTGCACTGCAATTTTCTGACCCATAAAGAAGAAGTGACTTCGGCATGGATGATATTACTTTATCACAGCGTGAGGTCGCTAGCCTTACTCCTAGCCGCCATCTTTTCTAGGATTACTGCTGAATGAACTAGGTGAGGTTGAGGAGTTCATCAGCAGGGAGTCGAACCTAAACTACTTGTGTGTTTGAGGAGCACTTTACCGTTGGACGACTCTGAATTGATTCATTACTGAAATCTAAAATCCTTACACTTTATGAATCACTTTTAATATTCCCCAACTGATAAACCAATAGATGATTTTTAGGGAAATCAACAAGCTAGCAGAGTCACTGGAAGGGTTGCCCAGGTGGTGAACAGAAGGATAGTGATTGAGGTTTTTAAAGGAGGATGTTTTGATTGTGACATCGAAAATAACTCATGTTGTACTGAATAAAACATTCAAACTTTTAACAGCTGTTAAAGATTAGGGGGAAGTGACAGTGTGATCTACCTTAAAGACACAATGAATTTTACGACAGGAATATATAGTTTATTGTTAAGCTAATTTTTCAGTTAACTATATCAACTTTAATTTGCATATAAAACCACTCAGTGCCACTTATCCTGTTTTTCAATACACAACAAAGTAAATTTTGGTTAACTTTAGCAATATAATATGAGTTACGAATCATGATCGCTTCTTTGAGTGCATAAGCTGTACACCTTGTGAGATAGTTTTTAAAATGGATGTCAACCTTTTGATTTCGATACCACTTCTGTGTGTATATACCAGTTCACCTGCTTCTGAGGATCCAGGTACATTGGTCGTTTGATGTGTATCCTGCCCGAAAGGATTCGAGAACATTATCCCGCATGGCTGCAAAAAGGTAGCAGTGCCCATTTTAGGTGTGCGATCATCGAACACCTTGTCAACACTAACTGTTCCATCTCAACAAACGTCTCTTCCAAAGTAATCTACCGAGTAAAGAATAACCTACCAAAAGTAATACGCTTTCGACTCTTTTGTATTACTAAAGCCTTAGCCATTCAGCTGGAGAAATCAAAGCTATGTATACAAAATAAAATCATTCAAACACTCGTATTATCATGGTAACAACCGTGTTGATTTCTACTGATTTGGTGTTTATGTGCTTGCTTTTCTAACTCCTTGTAAAATATGCATTTCCCCACAAGTCTTGCATAATTCCATATTTTCCCTCGTTTCTATGTTCATCCTAACCAAAACTCACTCATTAAATTATTCATCTTATTACGCAACTGCAATGCACTTATTCAGCTTCCGTTATGACTGATATCTATTTTTCGACAATTCATCACCACTACCCTCATACTACTCTTCATCCCTTAATTACAGTTTGATTATTCATCACATTTTTCTAAATATTTTGATGTCGAAAACAAGAACTTTAACTAACATTTATTACTGTCTGACAAAGCTAATATACACACACTTTCAAAAATAATTATATATAATTGCGATTGTACAGCTAAGTGAATGAATTCACCGAAGAGAGAGTCTTCGCTGAACTACTTGCTTTGTTTTTCGATGATTTCAACAACTGCTAATCTAGTAATTCATCTTGTGATGATGTCTTGAAGGTTGACTGGAATAAAACGCATTATGACTGAATATCAAATAACAGTTAAGCTTACAATTCTCTTAATACTTATGTTGGTCAAAATGAGACTTCTTTATACACTAGTCAGAGTCAAGGATTATGAAGTGACAATAAGAGTTTGTGAATATTGTTATCTAGAGCTTAATCAATGCCAGGAACATTCAATTGTAGTTTTTAGATGGTTGGAGGCAATCGGTAGGATGCCTTGCTCTACCTAGGTTTTGTACTAGTTAGCGCTCATCGGTCAGCAAAGGCGTATCTACAACCTTCAAGGAATTCATGTCACTTTTGGGATTCAAATCCTGAAAGAACTTTGACTGATAGACTTCGGTCCGAAGTAAACAAAAGAACTGGACACATGACACTAGTTAGTGTCCAATCAAAAGTACATTCAATAGTACTTCATATTATTTGCTTGGAAAACAAGGGTCCTGTTGATTTACTTATAATTCAAAGTGAATGACTGAAATTACCTTTGAAGTACTGCTTAAATACTTTTTAATAATAACTGCTTTGTTCTGGGAAGTGCATTTATATGCAGCCGATAATTTTCAGTGTTCTTTTGCAAGGTATTTACGCCGTGTGCAGTATTTTCAAGCAATACAATAATCGACAATACATATTTTGAAACACTGTTTCATCCAAAGCATACTTTAATACTGTACAACGTTCTACCCTATTTCCTACAAAAATGTCATATCAGTTGATTGAAACTTATTTAAAAATGTTTATGAGTATAGATTATGATTCTATGAGATGGACTGAGCATACACTGAGGAGGTCGTCACATGACATTGCGTGCAATGCAGGCCATCCATTCCTCGAGTAGAATCTAAGTGGGAAGTGATGAGTTGGGCGTGTGTCCGAGAGTGATATATAGAAGAACATATGGAGGGGAGGAGATGAGAGATTATGGTCAGTCGTGGGGTCAGCCATCTAAAGAGGACAGCAGAGAATAGAACAAAGTGGAGATGCGTTGTTGAAGCCCTCTAATCCAATTTGAACCCAAGGGAATAAAAATGGATTATGATTCAAAGAAGTAATTGAATGAACAAAACCATATATGAGTCAGAGTAAATATAATATATCTAGGTGGATTGAAAATTTAGTTAGCTCAGTGATTTAAGTACCTCCATTTGTTTTCTAAAAGGTTAGCTACTTAACAGTATCAGTTATATTTAGCACGACAGTTTGATTTCAATGTATGAAAAACCATATTGCCTTTCAAAACCATACAACAAGCTCAAACTTACAGTTACTGTTTTGTCCATCATCTAAATTCATTTGATCCAATGCTTTAATTATAGACTGTCCATCATTTTGTTGTAAGGATTTATTACTATTTTGGTTTTCACTGCTACTGTTATTAATAATATTAGTATTGCTGACTGCTGGACCAGTTTCATAGTCCAGTGTTTCAGAAGTTGATGTGAAGTATATATCACCCTTGAAAAAAAGCCAACAAATTTGTTCAATGAATAATTGTTAAGCGAATAGTTTATTTTTAATGAGATTAGAACGAAATTCGACGAATTCGTTGAAAGTTCTCGAAATGATAACAGTGTTGTTAAGTTTCAACAGACTGCATTAACAACAGAATATCCTGTTTCAGGTATTAATTTTGTTATTGTTGCCTGAAGTGCATTTGTTATTTTGCATATCAGTTACTTTCCTTTTAGGAAGTAATGTTCACATGAAGTTTATTCATGTAATTTGGTAGTTTTTAAATTACACAATTAGTAAGTTACCTTGACCTCTATATGTAACTGATGAGCATTATATTTAACTGTCCAGTTTCAGTTTAACAACGAACTTTACTGTCAGGTGGAGGGTGTAGCAATGGACTTCCCTCTAGGTCATCTCTTAGCCGATATTTTTACGGCAAAATTAGGGAATCATCCACTCAAAAACGTAATGAACGAACTCTCCTTCTACTGTAGATATATGGACCATAATTTTATCTTGCATAATAATAAAATCGACGCCAAGGTCCTTCCCCAGACGTTCAGTATGTTTCATCCACAAAATGAGTTCACATATAAAAAAGAGAAGGGCAGCATCGTATTATTTCCTGATGTCCTGCTAACAAGAAGGCAAGATGGCAGTATTCAGAGGGGCATTTTCCGGAAGAAGTCATGGATTGGACAACAAACTCATTTCAAGTCGTTTCTTCCTCTCGCATACTGACGAAATCTTATTAGTACCTTGATGTATCGTGCTAGAAAAATTTGCACAACCGACACTCTAGACGGTGAAATAAGGAAAACAGAAGACTTTTATGCGAGAACGGATACCCCGAAAAAATCGTCAAAGTCTTGGTGAGGAGAAGAGACAGGAAGAAATGCTTGCAAAGTGTGCAGAAGAAACGCATATACATGACTTTAGCGTTCAAAGGAGACGCAGTAACTGAATTGCTGGCATCGAAACTTCCAGAAATAATAGCTAAAGTATTCTTCACCGCAACATAGCGGCGGCTTGCTTAAACCTTGGGCTACCAAAATTTTGTATCACTTATATTGTATCTGATTACTTGGATTTATTTTGTATTAATTATTCAGTTATGTGCCCAAATCGTATTACTTACTCTCCCGATTATTTAAAATGTTTTCAACCTGATGATTTACGAGTATATAGTAACCTTAAGAAAAAGCATCATGGTGGGTGGCAAAGATCCTTAAAGTGTATTCCAATGCATCAGATGACTGTTCCTGTGATTATGAACATAAATTGCAGGTCATTATCGAAAAAGATTAATTACTTGGATGCTCTATTATGTTCAAATATCTATCGTAATACTAATGTAATAACGCTTCAAGAAACTTGGCTCCACGATTCATATGATGACAATTTAATCTTACTGAATGGTTTCAATATGTACAGACAAGACCGAAGCAGTTCAAGGAAGAAGCGAGGTGGTGGTGTTGCTACTTTTATCAATTCTCAGTGGTCTGTTGCCAACAACGTCTGTTTTAAATTCTCAAATGATAATGTTGACTGGATAACTGTCAAATGTCGACCTAAACACCTATCTAAATGCAAATTCATTTATATCACAAACATTTATGTCACACCTTGCTGTAACACTTCAGGACTGTCTATGTTTGCTGATGAATTCACTATTTTCGCTGTCTCCTCTTTTGGGAACTCATTGTCCATAGTGACAGGTGATTTTAATTCATGTTACCACAAATTTCTCACAGTGTTAGATCATGAAAATGCCGTCAACTTTCCCACCAGACTGGATAATTCCCTTGATCTGGAATTTATAAATGACCGTGGAATATACGAAGCTCGCAAAAGAGCCCCGCTGTTTAAGTCAGATCATTGTATTGTACCAAAAATTTATGGAAAGTTGCACAACAGAACTATTTCACACCTCTCCAAGATAAACTGTACATAAATGTTACTCTTTGGAGAACGTTCAGAAGCTTAGGGACATGCTCAAAGACACAAGGTGGGACCTGTTTAATGAAGACTCCCTTGATGACACAATCTCTAGTATTACAAGTTATCTCAAATTTTGTCTTGACACTTGTTGTCTCAGAGAAACGCTCTTCATCAGATTTGACCGTTTCTCCTCCCCTCAACTTAAAAAGCTTCGCAGACAAAAAGAAAAGCTATATAAAATGAAGGATAATACTGGTTTGAAAAGAATTAACATCCTAATAAAATCTGAAATGCACAGGTTGAATTCAATTTACAACCAAAAGTTTATATCCTGTAAAAATGCGTCTAATATATGGAAACTTTTCAAAGAAATTACTGGTGGTAAGCAGATGAATAGTATTCCTTATTCCTTTGATGTTTGCACACTAAACAAGTCTTTCATATATTCTCCCACAAATGCCAAACTTTCTAGTGTTACAAGTGTTAATGAAACCTGCTTCCCTGGTTTCAATACAAATGATGTTCTAAAATGTCTTCAGTCTCTGAACCCTTCTTGTAGCCTGGGTCCAGACACTTTGCCTAGTGTTATTCTTAAAAAGTGTGCAGACATCCTGTGTTATCCTCTCATGGACATATTTAACGAATCTTTTTCCAGAAATGTCGTGCCAGCCGTTTGGAAGGAAATCAAAATTGTACCTATCCCTAAGTCGTCTACTGGAACATGTTTTAAATTTAGACCTATTGCTATTACGTCTCCTTTTTTAAAAGCTATGGAAAAGTTACTCTTACTTAATCTTCAACCTTCACTTAAAGCCTTTAACGATCCCAAACAATTCGCTTATAAACACAGCAGAAGTACTTTAGATGCAGTTGCAGTCTTGTACCATAACATTGTCTCCAGCTTAGACAAGGGAGGAAAATTTGTTCGCTGCACCTTCCTAGATTACACATCTGCTTTCGACTCAGTACCTAGGGACATTTTGTTAAACAAGCTTGCTGAAACTCAAACTGACTGTTGGGTTGTCAAATGGCTGCATTCTTATTTCTCAGGAAGAAAGCAGTACACTGTATGTCAGGGAAAGTCATCCACTTCATTGCTTACTGAGGCTGGTGTCCCTCAAGGAGCTGTCCTTTCTCCTTTTCTGTTTTCTTTCTTCTTGCATGATGTGCCTCACTCTGATGAAATGAACTTTGTTAAGTATGCCGATGATCTAACTATTTCAACGTCTGTTAACCCCCAGCTTAGCTGTGTTAAGATGAACAGCTTTCTATCGGGAATTAGCAAATGGTCTTCGTGTAACGGACTTAAACTAAATCCTTCCAAATGCCAGACTGTTAATTTCAGTTTCCGATGTAAACGAAAGTTAAATGAAGCCGTTGGTTCCTATGACCCTTGCAAAATTGATGATACTGATATAGAAATCAAGTCTGAAGTTAAGTATCTTGGATTAATTCTTTCTTCTGACCTATCCTGGTCTTCCCATGTCTTAGCCATTTCTTAAAGAATATCCTGTCTAATTTTTTACATCAAGAAGTTGAGGTACTCAAGCATAACCCGACCCCTCCTCCTACAGTTTGTCAACTCGCGTATTTTATCTATTCTTCTTTACTGTTCACCCTTATTCTTTCCTGGATTGCTTAAAAAAGACTATGTCATACTTCGTAGAACTCTGAAGACTGTCAGTAGGACAAGTGGTATCCCATTGGGCCATATCGTTGACATTGTCACGGATAGGCACTTGATGTCATGTAACAAATTTGCTAAGGGAATTTTGTCAGACTGTGAGCACCCACTCTACTCGCAGCTCCAAACTTGTGTCTCCTCAGGTAAAACAAGAAGTCATTTCAAAAGACTTTATGCACGTACGTCTAAGTATAAAAATTCCACTATACCATATTTGGCACATACTTTATGTGATGAAAATAGTGTCAGGCATGAATTAACTAACTTTCTTTGCACTACTAAATAAACCATTTCCTCCACCCTTACAGTACCAAACTTTATTGTTATTGTATTTCTTATATTTATAATCCTCTCAATTTTTTGTTTATATTTATTTATTTTTCATAAGTGTGAACATCGTTTAAGCTGTGTTACCACTGTTAGTATTATATTTGCCCTCACTGTACTATATCAACAGAACATTAGATCCAATACTCTATAGTAACATGCGAAAATTTCCAAACTGAATCGAGAGTACTGTCTGAAACTAACTCACTGTTATTATTATTATTATTGTTATAATATTTAAAGATCTCACTTCGTACTTCGAATATTTTTGACTTTACATCATAAACGCGGACAAATTCCTCCGGTTACTTTTGTTTTAATTTTATATATATTTTAAGTAAGTCAGATGCAATATTGTGAGAAATGCTGAGAATTCCATTCTGTATTATAAGTACTGTTTTTGGAATAAAGTAAATTATTATTATTATTAAAATTCGCCACTCGTTGTGTAATTCTAACACAGGTGAAGGATAACCAGTCGCATAGCTAGGACAACTCGGCAAGCCCATCGTCGTCTTCTCAAGCGTTACCCAACGTGATTAAGTAGAGAAGTTGTAAAGTCAGTCACAAGTTCCATTCTGGCACACCTAGTTGATACAGAGCACAAGACTGACAGAAATTCAGCTTTTATAATTCTATACAGAGTGGCACCTCAGCTCCCTAGGTCGGCACGTGTTCGGTTGCTAAGCTTAGCTGAGGTAGTCTGGCTTAATGATTTTTCAACTCAATATCTGTGTTCACAGAAAGTTTGTTTTATTTCCCTCCCTCCTTTGGCCGTCGCCCTAAAAGTGAAATAGTTATCATTTCCGGTGACATCGAGTAACTGTAAATATTATCTTATTATATTTTATTTTGTAATGTTAACTGTATTATCAATATCTTGCTGTACTGCAGTTGTACATTTTATTCTCGGTTTCATAACTTATCATTAGTATTATGTTATCTAGCTGCTATGTGACAATAGTTATTTCACCTTCTACCCCTACTACTATGTGCATTCTAGCTATACACTCACCGCTGCCTAGATTATATAAACACTCAAATGAATTTATCCTTGTTATTATTGTTGTTATTATGATCACTTCGATTGTTATGCATGAATTCACACCTCTGATGATGTATTTTATTGACAATATTAATTCAAATGCCCATGACTAATATTTCATATTATAATGTAGATGTAAAGCCAGATCAGAATTTACTGAAAATACGTATTCGCCTAAATCGTGTTCTATTACTATCATAATGGGAATTTTTAAATTATATTTAAGTGATATTTAATTGGTAGATGGTGAATATCAATGGGATCCAGGATGAGCATTTCGTCAATCGACGGGAAAATCAAAAATTCAATTATATTTAACTGAACTTGAAAATCCGGGGATTTAAAATAAAGGATTCATTTAAGGCGCTTTTGGCTAAATAAATCTGATCGTTTTAACCTGAAGTATTTTCACTCCATTATAGATAAGATTTTATTTTGATAAATCACACAGTGTCATACAGCAGTATTAACTGATGACGTTTCGAGCACAAACTGTTGCTTATGGTCATATCAAGTCACTCACGTATAGGTATATTTATTATGAATTGCAATTTCACTCTATTAATTGTCAATAAGCAATTTCAGAATAATGAAAATGAGTGGGATAAAACTGTTGTTCCCATTAATAATTTTATTTGTCGCCCTTTTTCCGACTCACAGATGCATTGTGGTTCGTACATAATTTTATTACATTGAATGCCTTTACTGTATTTCATTTATTTATTGGTTTTAACGGTGGTTAATTTCAGAAGTGTATCAGGAAAAGCAAAATGGGATATTCTGTTTTTACTCTAGTACTGTGGTGTAATGTAAGTAGTATATCGAGTAACAACCTTGCGGAAGCAATGATAATTTATACTTTAGTGGCAAAACCACCGAAGAAGGAATATCAGAAGAAAATGAAATCACCTAAAAGAATCTAATAGGCAAGAGGAAACGATGAACAAAACATACCAATCAGAGAACAGATGACGTTGTTTGCAAACAGTGGAATAGACGTAAGGCTTACAGTTTTCTGGTCGCCCATAACATGTTGTCCCAATAAACAATAGATATTCAGTTAGTTGTGTTCTTTGAGCTGGTTGATTTAATTGGGATTGATTTAATTTGTCGTCCTTCTAGACAACACCGCTTTAGCGCTGGGTTCAGCGTAAAATGAACTCACATTTTGCTGATTGCCTCCAACCATCTAATACGAACTCACATTTAAATTCTTCATGAATTATGTAATTGTGTCTTCTGGTAACCACTGTCGTGATTGGTTGTTTTGACTTGGAATTCGAAATTTCTAGTCGTGTGATTTACTTTTCATTAACTAGTGGTAAATTTGGTCTATAATAATGTGTTTGTTAATCGCTGGTTGACCCACTTGAGTAGCTGGCTTCTAGGAATTCCCTGGCGGTATTTCCAGTGTTTCCTTTATTTAAAATTTCCAAATTATCCCGATCAAATTGGTGTGCGTAATTATCTGCATGCATCTATATGACAGAATACATGTCGTACCTTTTCACAGACAATCTGTGTTCTTGGATTCGGATTCGAAACGGACTCCCACTTTGACCAACGATGCAATTTTTATTGTAGTTCATACAGTTTGTTTTGCATGAGTTCATTTTATACTCAGACCTGAACTGAAGATGTTATCTAGAAGGATGACGAATTAAATCAATCGCAATTAAATCGACCAACACTTCAGAGAACCCAGCTGATTCAATTCCATCTACCTTAGCTACAAATCTTCTCCATTATTTCAAAACATTACATAAGTTTATCTGATGTAACACGAAATCATAATCATAATATGATTATGAGCAGCATATTCTACCTATTGATTATTATTACTTCTGACACTTTTGTATGTAAGACTTCTATCATATGATATTTCGCTTAAGTGACAATTTTAAGGTAGATGACAGTGCTCACAACGAATGAACAATAGCTACAGAGTACACCAAATATTTAATTGTAAACGGAGGATTTATGCAGAAATCAAAAACTTTTTATATGATGTACAATCATAATTACTCATGGTTGGAACACAAATTTTAATAAGTCAAAGAATTAGGCTAATATGTGTACAATAGTATTTATTGGTGGACATCTGAAACACACACGAGACTACTGGTTTGTGATCTTTCTTCATCTTAGAATAGACATAATCAAGCTCAATACAGGTTGACTGGTCTTTTTATGCTACACAGAAACAATTTCGAACACGCTGTTAACTGTAAAAGTGTTCACCGTTTTTGAATAAATCACGAACATGACTGGTGCTGCAAACAAACTTTGTATTAACAGTGTGCCCCTTACTTATCATGCAACTTTCTGGCATCATATTCTAACGCTTCAATTCAACGTATGTATAAACAACAAGTGAATACAAATTACAACCACTTAATACAAAGCAACTAAGTTAAAACAACTTGCATTGCGAGATTATCAGATTACTTAGAACCACACAAAGTATTCTGCTTCGGAACATATACTGGTTTGTGTTTGCTTAGTGAATATATTTATAGGTTTATACTGTATGGTTAACTGTTGTCAGAAGCTATACAGTGAAGAAGGAACAATAAACGTGATGTGTTTCTGAAGTAGATATCTAGTTAAATGATATACCTCACATATAAGAAGTTAACGTGAAAAGACAAAACAAGAAAAGAAGCAAACTAAACGTAACATTACCTTAGCCGTGATCAATCTACAATCAGATACTAGCATCGTATGCACTAAACTTCCATTGATTAATAAACGTATTTCAATAGCAGCTGGATTGAATCCAAAAATATATGGGAAACAGACAGCTAGAGGAAAATGAAGATATATATATATACATAAATGTAAACGTTTCCAACCGTGATCAACAACTCTAGATTTTGACAAAGTGTAAGCAAGCAGGTCAGCTATATTTTTATCCTCAGAGACATTTTTGTCGCTTTGATGAATATCTGGATACATTGGCGGCTCGAATTCTAAATTTACGTCTTACAGATCGGAATGAAACTGTAATTGTAAGCAATAATCTATTGTGCACTGCTTATCAATGGATGTAAGTAATATGTTCAGTAATGTCTTTATAGTTGCAATAATAGTGTGAAAGCCAATCAAAAACAGCAGTTATGGAGAGTTACAAGAAGCAACTAGCAAGTAACACAACAGAAAAGACAAAACACTCCCAATAAATAATATATGACATTATATGGAAACAACGAAATCCTTGCTACGTGTTTTTAAGGGCGCTTGGTATACTTACGTCAGTGGACCACATGAACAGTTGGCGAGCATTCTGCCACTGAACCACCAAAGGAGTTTGAGGTTTATTATCTAGCTAATATGCACTTTAATAAATGCGTCTTCACTAGGTTTGGTTGCTAGAGGTTGGTTGATATATGATAAATAAGTTTAAAAGCTTTGTTAGAATCGATTTGATGTCCAGTATCGAAGAAATGAGGTAGTATTGAGCTGTATATATCTTTATTACTCTACACAATATACTCACTTCTTGAGATTCGTACATCTACAGTACAAACGTAATCTGGTTAGATGTCTTGTTCAACAGGCTAAAGTTATCTGTTCAAATGAGACACTGAACGAAGAAATCTCTAATATTCGCGATCTACTAAGCAGAAACGGATATCCAACCAAATTAGTAAACAAACACATGAACTCAGGAGGCAAAAGGTTGAAGGTACCCACTGTCACCAAAACGCCAGTCTTCCTAAGATTACAATTGGCGGGTGATATCAATAGCGATATATTATCACAACGTCTGCGAAGGGCCTTCAAAAGGACTTTCTATGCAGCTAAGCTATGCTGTGTATTCACTAGTCGACCAATACTTAGTTCAAGAAATAAAGACAGACTGTCCTATTTAGCCTCTTCCACGTGTATTCACCAGTTTAGCTGCCCGTGCGGAAGAGCTAGTCACATTGGGCGTACGATCATCGTTGAATTTCTAAACACCTCCCATCCTGGTTTCGCAAACGTCCGAATAAAACTATACGAAACTCAATACTAGCTCATCTCATCGATAATGACTTGGCATCAAGTTGACTGTAACAAAGCTTTTAAAGTTATTTATCATATATCAACCAACCTCTCGCCGCATGGTCTACGAATACGACTTTTACATAGAGCAGGGGCGATCAGAATTCACCTCAACAAGCCAAACATGTGCGTCATTTCGAAAGAAATTTTCACAACCTGTTTCTTTGCCATAGTCAGCTTCATAATATGTATTAGGTTTTTAAAAGCGATTTTCTCCCTTCCCCTTGTAACTATCTTTTGACTTTTGTTAGTTTTTACAATTGTTTGTATTTTACGTAAATCTGCTGAATCATCCTATTTATTCTTCTTAGTCATCATTGCTATTTTACAAATTTCTTGATTATGTGATTACTTGTCGCTAACGCTTAAGAATCATCTTGAATTCTGTAATTAATTCTCACCCCTGCCTCCTTCAAAACCTAGATATCATATTACTAACACCTATTGGTGAACTGTTTTTATGACCTTCAACCTCTTGATTTCACCCACCCACCCGCGTATACCTAGAACTGATTAACTCAAATAACCACTTGATTGGTAAAGCATTTTGATGACAAAGACTATATATTCGTGTAGATCCGATGATGAGGAACTAATTGGAAACGAATATATTTTTCGCTGAGTCTGTTCTTTCCGTATTTCTGAATTTTTTATCACGATGATATTCAACGCCTACCATCCCTATTAATTATTGTATGACCTGAATGACGACAGCTTCTTGCACACCTCCGTGACAGTAGCACGTGTCAGGTAACCCATAACGAAAAACTCAGTAAGGCGTTTGTAATGAATAGGGGAGAAATACAGGCTGCCTGACTATTATCAATGATGATATTCTTAGATGTGCTGAACTGGATTATGTTGGACACTGTACGTGGGGAGAAAGAACACAGGAATAGGTTGGACTGACCGATGATAAGACTATAGAAGATGTGGATTTTGCGCTTTGATGATTTATATATGATGTCACACAAACTCGGAGACTTACAGGCAGGCGGAAACCAACAAACTGGCTGAAGAAGCTGCCAGCTATGACAGGATTTCAAGTGGAGGTGGAGAAAACGGAGGTGATGAAGACAACCAACCAACAGCATCAACAACCAGAACCAATCAATATCAGTGGAAGAAATTTGAAAGAGGGCTTTTCCTTCACTTATCTAGGCAGCATCATTTCATATACAGGTCAGATGATTGGATGAAGATGTCAAAGTCAGCCAGAATCGGAAATGAAAGACAGACCTTCATCACTCTGAAACCAGTGTGGAAATTTTCTGCCACTCAATCAGAATCCCATTGTAAAAGACGATTGGGCGCTGATGTGAAGGTGACATGGAGGAGATGAGAGATATTGAGCAGTCGTTGGGTCATCCAGTTAAAGTGGGCGGCAGAAAACAGGAGGAAGTGGAGATGTGGTGTTAAAGTCTTCTGTTTCGCTCCGAACATAATAATAATGATGAATAATGATGGAATAATGATGATTCATTTCTTCTGCAAGAATGCCTCATTTGAATTGAATGGCATATTTATATTCTTCAGTCACTTATTGTGTTATGAAAAAGAACTTCTTAACAGTAACTTACCAACTTGTTGTGGTTCAAAGTTCCATGCAAAATCAAAGTCACTTGTCTTCACTTTTTCTTCACATGATGTGCTGATATTCAATGGATGGAATAGAGGATCTGGTGAGCAACTTCTGGCTATTGGTCCACCTGTTGGACTAGGTGAGTCTACTGAGTTCGATCCTTGTGTCTGAGATAAAGATGGCGATGATTTAACTGCGCTTGTTTCCATAGTCGTTTTCATATTCCAGTTAAAACTTGTATCAACAGGGCTGTTGATTAGTGGAGCTTGACGACGACTTCCCATACCGGATGATGAAGTTAAAGAAAGTTTTTGAAAATGACAGGTTCCTGTGAAAGTGTTTATTGTAAGAAGAAGGAAAATCTTCAATACTTTCATCAAGTACCTAGATGTAATTGGCTTTAAAAACGATTTCTTCATCTAACAGAATCATGAACTCTGGCTTATCAGATAAGTTTAAACTGTTGTCAAAAGCCTATAAATAAGGTTTAGAAATCTTTTCAGAAGGTTAAAGTAAGTTTACCGAATATATCACTGTTGGTTAGGGTGGGGAACTAGGAAAAGAGTTAAACATTTGCTTGAGGTCTTCAGGATATTGAGTCTGTTAGTCAGGTGCTGAAGATGTTATCATTTAGAGAGGTTTCACAATAAGCATAGGATAAACATTTCATGTACGAACTGTTATTACTTACTGGTCATTGCTTAGCATTTTGCTATGACCTAGAGTTTTTAACATCTGGACTCAGTGGTGCATTACATCAGTGTTGTTCTAAAAAATAAGACAATCTCAGAGAGCTTTATAAACAAGCTGACTTAATTAGTTATTTCCCTATTCTATGCTGTAGAATATAAAGGCTTTAATATTTACACTCTTATTCAAAGTTCTAAGTGGATATTTGATCTTGTAGGTTAAAGAATTGTCGACATGAAACACCAATAAAACTTTTATCAAGTTCAGTCAGTTGCATAACTTGGGAAAAGGTTTTCTTGAAAATTCTAATTTACTATAGTCTGGGCATAGCATCAGTTACAAAAGAGGCTGAAAAAGAAAGCTAATTTTTCAAGATTATGATACAGAAGTTTATTATCAGTAGTCTCTTGAAATGATTCGCTATTTGACCAGCAAAGTAATACGATTTTATTTTATTTTCTCCGCTTTTTTCATTGGCTTACAAATCTAAAACAATTTTACTATGAACAAGCTGGAATACTCACATTTCTTTATTCTGTTGCTTACCTAGTGGAATATAGGGTTTCAAGCATGAGCTACTAAGTTTCAGTAGCATTGCTTTTATCTTTACAGAGGATGGGCTGCTTCTGGTCTGAGACACAGTCTTTTTGCTCACATAGTTTGCTTTATTAATTGGTAAACAGGCTATTTAAGATGCCTTAATTCAGTGAGATTAAACGATGAAAGGATAAAATTAAATGAGTTGTTAGTAGGCTTATTAGTATATATAGAAGAATAAATATTATTCTAGAGTTAGGAAGGAATACTGGAAAAGCCTAACAGCATCCATTTCCATAAATATCTTAAGTAATTCTGATACTTTGAACTCTTCGTCTATTCAGTTAACTAATTCAAGCATGTGGATGTATTTACCTAGTGAATTTAGATTAAAACTACTTTAGGGCGTATACACATGGAAACAATCGAAGAAATAAAATAACATCATAATTCTTTATTAGATAAGTTTATTTAAATAGCACAAAGTGATGCAATATCAATAACAAGATGACGTTTTCAGCAGGATTTACGTCATAAAATCATTAATGACGTCATAATACCTATCAATTTAAATTTTTTGTTCCTGTTTTGTCCAGGTATATCAAAGGGAAATTACTGCATGAAATTGAATGTGCATTTGTTAGTCCACTTGCTTTTGTAGAGTTAACTACATCGAGAGTACCAGAATGTCACTGCCTAGACATACTTACAAACACTTACCAGTATGGCTGTCAAAAGGAGGATCCAGAACAGTCAACAGCTCGATTATGGAGCATATTATTACTTCTGGTTACGCAGCATTAGCATAGGCTTCACTCAGAGTCACATATGAAGTATGATTAAATCAATCAAAAGAAAATCGCTAACATCTTTATGCAGTCGAAGCGTTAGCAGTTCATAGGGGAAAACCTGAACTCTGGATTTAAAGAAATCTTTGTCCAACCTCTTTTACTACCAACACCTTAGTGTCAATTTTGTTCTTCTGAATTGTCATATACTAAACTGTATGTAGTCCCTCTATTTTTTTGAAATTTCGCCTTTTGTAACCCCCTCCAGTTAATTGTTCCTTTGTTTCTTGTCAGCTGTTTCCAAATGATTGCTCATCAAGTAAGATTATTCACCATTTCTCACACATTCTTACTTCTCGTACACTTTCTTATTTATTTTGTTACTCATGGAAAATAACCTCTGACATTTGTTTTCCGAACATCATCCTGCGTTGTTAAGTAAGAAACATATAAGATCCATTCATAGCTCTCTATTCTATCTCATCTCATGGATACAGAATATAAAAATGATATCAACGAGGCGGCTTTCAAATTCATCTACCGCATACCAACTAGTCTTAGATTCATCTTAAGAGTTCACCTACTACGTACTGCTGAGACTAGGTGTTGGGATATACATCAAGAAACCTAACTAATGATGCATTCTCTACCCCGCTGGCCATCAAGGTTTTAAAGATCCTCAATTTGTAGCAGAAATTCTCTTAATTTTATATGATATTCTATTTACTATATTTTTTATGGTTATTATTGTGACTAATGGATATTTTTTGAACTCTGGTGATTCCATTGGGATCTTAACAAATAGATATTATTTAGACAAAAAACACCAGTACTGTTAGTGCCGATTATTCTAGAATATTCTGTTCATATACATATATATATATATAATTTTAGAGCATGAAGTGAAAATTATCGAAAAAGATATTCTTTGCCCAATGTTTCTTTTCTAAATATCTGAATGGACACTGTATCTGCATAAACTCCCAAAAACTTCTACAATTTTTAAATGAAGTTACTAAAAGAGACCCCTTCACTGACTTATGTGTTAATTAAATCACGTGGATATTTCAAATCCGTTTGTTACTTCTTTCATTACTTATTAGTAATGAATATTTAGAAGAAAACTGCTGAAATGAGTAATCTATCAACTCTCCAGTGTTTCTCTAACAAAAACTGATATATCCCAAATCAAATCGGGTTGTCGACAGAATTAATACGCTGTTCTATTATCCAATTTCTATTTATAATGCACCCAGAATTGAAAACTCACAATCAAAATCATTTTTCTTTCACTTTAAATTAAATTTTCTTTCTGCACTGATTACACAGAGGAATAAAATACATAACGCCCCAACCCTCACCCACAAACTCCAATGCTTTTTCATCTATTCTAGGTATGTTTTATTACAACTAGTGGAAGCCAGAGTATTCTGTAGGTTATCTTTTGTTAACCACACCCAAAGCAAGTTATTTATTTAGATAAAAACATGCAATATTGATTATTTGTCTTGTAATGATAAACATTCCTTTGATAGAAAGAGGTGGAGACAGACGGCGAGAGAGAGAGAGAGGAAAAGGAAGAGTAATTCCACCAGCAGACTATTAGTTATAAAATTAACTTTCATACAGCATAAATTGAAGCTTGGTTGATGTGAATGTCACCTACCGTATATATCCAAGGTTTTGATAATAAATCAAGACTCTTAGCTTTGATCACTTCCTTAACCATTTTCAAAGCAATTAAGACCAAGACCAAAGAAAGGACATTCTCATTACTGATAAATTACAAATATTTGGAGTTGGTAGATGAAGCTGTACAAATTTTAGTTGATGGTGACTAGCCCTGGAATCTAGTATAAAACACATCATCCTATGTGACCCTTGTGATCTAGTGGGTAATTGCTTTGCTATTTGAAATGAAGGGAGCAGTAGACATTTGTAAAAATTATATTTGTAAAATCTCAGCGAAATTGAAATACGTAATTCCAACGTTTCCTACGTTGGGCAAACTGGTTCGAACTTCATCAGAGAAATTGATCGAAATTAACATAACAGACGTTTTCATATAAAAATGGCATGTATTTATAAAGTTTGTAGTTAGGGGAACTAGTAAAATTCACAACTGGACGTAATGGAACTGCCGGTTTGTGTGTTTTTGGCAATTCATAAAATCTGCAGGGGCTGCAACTGTTTTGGAGCCAGAGTAAGACAAAGTGATACACTGAACATAAAGTGAAGAATTAGCATGAATTTACGAGGAAAAGCAAAGTGGGGCATAGTGAGGAAGATGACGTAATGGCAAGTTTCGATGTTTATTCATTATTCACGAATGTTTCCGTTAATGATAGTTTAAATATTATCTATGATTTACTTCGTTCTGATGACGAACTCACTTCTCGTTGTCCTTCAAATCCAGACGAAATTATGAAGTCATTGGAACTGTGTCTACGCTCCACGATATTTATATTTAGGGGGGTGTGCTGAAGAGTACACTCTGTTTAAATTGTTTAACAAAAGTAGACTAATATTTGAAAGCCTGAGATCAAATTTTGATCAGAGAAGGTACAATTTTGTTTATTATACATGTTCATACTTGTTTCATGACTCATATGATTGGACATAGTTTTTAAAACCATGAGATGCCATTTTTATATGAAAACGTCTGTTATGTTAATTTCGATCAATTTCTCTGATGAAGTTCGAGCCAGTTTGCCCAACGTAGGAAACGTTGGAATTACGTATTTCAATTTCGCTGAGATTTTACAAATATAATTTTTACAAATGTCTACTGCTCCCTTCATTTCAAATAGCAAAGCAATTACCCACTAGATCACAAGGGTCACATAGGATGATGTGTTTTATACTAGATTCCAGGGCTAGTCACCATCAACTAAAATTTGTACAGCTTCATCTACCAACTCCAAATATTTGTAATTTATCAGTAATGAGAATGTCCTTTCTTTGGTCTTGGTCTTAATTGCTTTGAAAATGGTTAAGGAAGTGATCAAAGCTAAGAGTCTTGATTTATTATCAAAACCTTGGATATATACGGTAGGTGACATTCACATCAACCAAGCTTCAATTTATGCTGTATGAAAGTTAATTTTATAACTAATAGCCTGCTGGTGGAATTACTCTTCCTTTTCCTCTCTCTCTCTCTCTCGCCGTCTGTCTCCACCTCTTTCTATCAAAGGAATGTTTATCATTACAAGACAAATAATCAATATTGCATGTTTTACATAACGCCCATCTTGGATTCTGCCGCTAGTCGTTACGATCGGAAAGAATTTTGCTTTAACACTCGGATACATCGTAGATGCCTTTTTTCTGCGAACTAACTTTTCAAATCAGGCCGAGCAGTTCGTTTCAACATAATCAGTCAAGGAGAAGTGCAAAGTCAACTTAGAAACAAAGTTGAACAAAGATAACAGCAGTTAGATTTATAATATTTTGTGTATTTATTATTTTTTTTATTATATTTTTTCTCTTAATTACCCAGCTTTCAATGCCAGCATAGATGCCTACAGGCTGAGTACACTTTCTAGAATATCCACAGGGGTTTATTAATAAAAATGCTTGTTTTCTTCAATTGAAATTCGTATAATCTAATCATAAATAAGAAAATAATTAAAAATTAAGGGAAACGAGAACTTCATTATTATTACTGTCATTACTTTTTTCCCCCTTGTTCTACTTACTTGTAAAGCACAATAATAATTCATGCTCTTCATCAGCCCATAATTCCAAAGCTGAGACAACTTGATTTCGACTACCTTCTGTACGAAATAGCTGGATTGTCTCTTTATTTTTTTCATCAACTAAAATAAATTGATTTCTATATCCTACACATAATCTTCCTCCAGGGATACCTTCTACAAAGCTTAACGTTTGAACTGGTTCAATTAAATGAACTTCCTATCAAAGGAAATAAACATTAATTATTATTATTATCACTATTATTACTGTTTGAGCAAATAATTGAACAGATAAAATGTAAGTGAATATGAAAATGATAATTTGAAACTGAATTAACATTGAATATTTTATCATTGTTAGTCGGTGTTATAGGAAATCATTTGCATAGGAGTGTTCCTTTTATTTGCGTTCACCTATTCACTAACAGTTTTGTAATACACTGTTTTTACATTAAACGGCTTATTATACTTGAGAAAAACCAGAAAAGCAATTGTAATGAATCCATAGTGTATTTATAAGTGATTAACATTCATACATAAATTTATATGCAGTGGATGCATATTGTTGTTATATAGTTGGAGGTAATCGGTAGGAAGCCTTGCTCTGCCTAGGTTTCGTGCTTGTTGGCATTCATCAGTCAGAAAGGCGTATCTGCAATCTTCAGTGAGCTCCTATCCCTTCTGAGATTCTAACCCTTGTCAACCAGTGCAGCCTGCAATCAAAGACGTTACCACTGAGCAGCTATTCAGGCTCATTATTGATCTCCTGTAGGAGTTTACTGGATATTTTTGATTGGACACCGGTTAGTAACTAGTCTAATGTGTCTAGCCCTTTGTTTTGGTACAGACTGAATTTTATCAGTCAAGTTTACAATGTGGCAGCGTTCTAGGTGGCTCGCCATCACGGTATACTCAGGATTATCTTTATTAGATGGTTTTAGGTAATTGATAGGAATAGATTTCAGTCTGCAGTAAGCAAAAGGACGAGACATATGACACTAGTTAGTGTCCAATCAAAAATGTATGCACATTTTTGTTAGATGGTTTCTGTTTTTGCAGATGTACATCATATATCTAAAATGTTCCATAGGAAAATGTTTCATCCTGGATCAGTATGTTAATAAAATTTATAAGTCTTCTGGTTGGTATAACAGCACCAAGCTCAGTGGATTTACATATCTCAAAAGCTTATTTTCAACCACTTAATCTTATTGTTAAATGCGAAATTTATAGTTTAACTTCCATTAGAAAGTATTTCAACACATTATGATGATTAGTGTACGGAGTCCTCAAAGTGCCCTTCTTTTATATTGTCATATCAATCCGCTTGTTGGTGTGAATATCAGTCTGGAATCACTTATAAAATAAATTGTATTTCCAAATGCACCAGTTGAATTCTAAATAATTCACTAATTCCACTCTGGGTTCGGGCAAGGTAAGAAAGATACATGTATTATTCTATGGGTTTCGAGAGTTAAAAATTAATATATTTGACCAACATGAAGAAATCGGCCCTCTGTTATAGAAACTTTTGTACTTCAATCTTTCCCATTCTAACCCTGCGATCGTGATCAGTTTATTTGATCAATATCACCTTAATCAATAGACGCCAAAGAGATTAATAGAGATTTTACAAGGAGATATATTTGGGATATAATACGAGACTGTGTATTCTGTCCTCAAAATAAGTAATCAGTCCTTGAGTAGGTCACTTGGAAGACACAGTTTAAAGGGAAACAAATGATACGTAAAGGAAGAAACTTGTGAGAAGTGTATTAGCTTATGTTTCTCAGTTTCCATACTTGACAGTGAAGCCGCAAGTATCGGACAAAGATATTTCATTTGCATATTGGTAATTATGAGTTATGTTGAGGAGAAAGTTATGATCTGCATACTCAAGAGTAAGAGAATCTAACAAATACATTGGTTATGGTCTCAACTGCAGTGCAGAAAGACGTTCAGAGAAGAGTTATTCTTTTCGGTGATATTATTATCAAACTGTACACTCACACATATACAGTAGATTGTTTTAGCAACAGAATTAATATTTCCAGTGATGTGTCATTAAAATTGTAAATTTTAGATGACAAGCTACGTAATGTAGGAAGCGTTAATGGGTTAAAAACTAAGATAAGATTAAATTAGCAAGCTGAATCATGTAAATCTAATTGACAGGGTTGAGTACAGCTTAGCGAAAATTAAAACTGAACAAAAGTCAAGTTAACAGCAGTGGTGATAAGAGGTAGAAATTTTATAAGCGGTGGGAGAAGAAAATATTATACAATTAGGAAAAAAACAAGTGAAAAAAGACGAAGCAAAAATTACGTATATGGTGTTAAGATAGGTTAGGTCCACTCTAGATTTCATAGCTGAACAAACTTCTTTTGTATGCAGAGTTCAGGTTTTGTTCAGTGAGCGAGACAGTCGGTTGAATCCCGACTAACGTTCTGTACAAAACCAGTTATTCTCATGAACATGAAGCATAAACTGCCACTGTTGGTCTCATTACTGTGCATCTACCAAATTCACCTGCTCGTGTGGAGCTGGCTAAGTATGTCGGCCGTACCCAGAGTCTGCTATCCAAACGTATCGCCGAACACTTACTCGCAGTCATGGTTTTATAAAGGAGAATAAAGGTCCAGTCGAAGCTCTATTCTTGCACAATCGATCCAGTCAGGACACCAAGCAAACCCACAAAGTAACTACAAAGCCATCCACAGAATACTTGGGAATCTTGCTAAAAGAGTACGAATCAAACTTCTTCAAACCTCAGAAGCAATGTTAAAACTCTTCGCTGAACTCTTTTTCTTTTATATGACTCGATGGGCATACATAAAATTATGAGTGAACCAGTATTTAGCCGTATTTATTCTTACGTATTTGCATAGCCCAGGAACATGTCGTTTACGGTCAGACTTAACGTATTCGAATAGCTTGGCAGCAGTGTTGCATACCTTCAGCCAATGTTATCTGCCAGTAAGCTGATTGTGGTGAGTATTTTACCAAGTAATTCAGTTCACGAAATGGCATGGATTCTAATTCATTCACTTTCATGAAAATTTGAGCATCATTGCAATGTACTTGATATTTTTAGGTTGTTAGTATATAAGTCGTAACTGTCTAGACTTGCCCTAAATACATTTTCTTCTTGAAAAGGTCATAGTAGTCCAACTGGTGCGTGTTTAGTGACTCAGTCAAGATATGAGTTAGTTATATGTAAATAATTGAGAATTGTGCTGTATAGACCTTATGTAATGACGAAATATTACTGTTGTCTGTTGTATTGAATGACCTGCCTTTGCATGACGTCATTAATGCCAGTATGATATCTGCTAACTGTGGTCAGCACAGATTAGTATGTCCTTCAAGCTCAACATTAATTCCAGTCATGTTAATCAGTAACTTTTATTCAGTCAAAACTATGAAATTGAAATAAGTTGATTGTCATCACTCCTTCACAATAAATCCAACAGAAAATATTCCACAGTCTTGGTTTAAGGATGAATCATACTCGTTGTCGCTCGTGGATTTTTCACTGGTATAATGCTCGCCGACCACGCATTAGTTTCAAATTTGACTCCTGTCCAACCAACTCCCAAACCTACCTAAGTTTATTTTATTTTCATTTTAATTTACAGCTTGATTCCACACTGTATTTTCGGTACAAGCATGGAATTTTCAGCATGGATATCGGTAGCCCAAATTTTGCAGGCCGACCATAGATATCAGGTGTGCGCCGGCGTGGGCTTGAACCCCGGACCATGTGCATGGTCGGCGAGTCTAGAAAACAGAGAAGGTTAGGGGTGGCGCTAGTTACCCTACTTCGTAAAAAAAACACTTCTACTCAAACTTGGAGGCCTGCTTGAATCACTGGGCTACCTGAACTTCCATCAGAGACAATGCATTTTATTTTCTTTAGTTCTTGTTGTTATAACCACTCAGTTATATCTGTGGGTCTCCAATTGTACTCGTGAGCCTTTTTAATTGGTTTACAGCCTACTGCTGCTCAAATTCTGGGGAACCGAAGAAAAATACCGCAGTGGATTATTTTATTCTTCAGATCTAACATCACTGCATCGCATGGTGTACTGGAGATGACTATTTTACCTACAACTTCTGGAGGAAGAGTAAATTTTATGTATTAAACTACGCTGAAAATTATGCATACTGTATAGACCTATTGTGCATAATAAAGCTGTTGTCATTATTGTTATTAACTCTAAGCCCCATGTCCCATTTAGAACGCAAATGAATGAAAAACATGTTCCCCATCAAACGTCACTGATTCGTCTTTGTAACCACAGTAGCTGATACCAATCTGTGACGGAAAATGTTTTTGAAAGAAACCAACTATTCAGAAACTCAAGGGGGGAAAAGATAGCAGCACATCACAATGGAAACGGATAATTTAACTCAGGGATACTTAAACCTACTCGCATGATTTGAAAGTTTTCAATGGGATCTGGCTGAGCCAACTGATTCCATGATGATAAAGAACGTCCGGTAAATAAATGCCATTGGAAGACTATGATTCTCCGATGAACTGCAATCGCTAACCTTAATGGATGATTAGGACTCTTACTAACTGTGAACAGTTGACTTCCTAAAAGATTGAAATTTCAAAGAAAACAAAAAATTATTCTGTGGCGTGTGCTACTGAAGGATTTATCAGTAGTATATGTAAAGAAATGTTCATCGACACAAAAAAAATCAATACGGAAGATGTTGAGATGAAGGTGTACATAATTTGTTTATATAAAGATACCAAATTGCAATGAACATTTCCTTTATCAAGTCTTTGTCTTCTTTCGTTACAATCCTAGTGTATGACAGCAGTATGGATAGTACACTATTTTACAGAAATAAATTTTATCATTGTGAAGTCATTTAGGCAGGCTTAGTATTAAAATGCAGTGGATAATCTTGAACAATATTAGCAGTTGGCGATCACCTAGGTAAAACGCTTGTTCTCACTTAGGAGATCAATGTAATGTAAGCACTAGATGGCCATTTTGGACTGGGCTGATTACCGGAGTGCACAGATGAACTCATCTCAGACGGCTAAGTCAGTTCTAACAACCTATAGGGTGGCCTGATAATCTAGAGAATTGATAATACATAAAGTCATATTCATCAATTGCTATTTATGCAGATCGTGGTTACGTGAATTGGCAAAAGTTAGAATTCATGGGTCATTGGATTGGTTCCCAGTGGCTTAGTGTTCTACGAGCTGTAAGCAGAAGGTCCTGGGTTCGAACCCCAGTGGGTGCGTACTGCTGAAGAGTCCCAAACTAGGACGAAACAGCTGTCCAGTACTCCCAGGTTTTCCAATGGCTCTCTAACCAATGTCAGCTCATGATGAAATCTTGTGACCGAACATGCGTCGGTGACACAGTGGTTAGGACTGTCACCGACCATGCACATGGTCCGAGGTTCAATTCCCTGCCGACGCACACACGTGATATCTATGGTCGGTCTGTGAAATTTGTACTACCGATATCCATGCTGAAAATTCCATACTTGTACCAAAAATATAGTGTGGAATCAAGCTGTGAACAAAAATATAAAGAATTAAAAATATTTTGATCTGAATATTTGCGGCTTCCAGAGAGCACTGTGTGTAATTATATGATTTGAAAATGATGGCTAGAACTTTCAGCTAAATGTTCACATGATTTTTGCAGTGTTAAAAATATGCCTTTCTTAAAACTTATTGTCAGCGCTGGTGAACATTGAATAGTTTGTTTATTCTAGCTGGTGTCCATTGGCGGGAGACAAGAAGACTGTCAGTGCTCAATTGTGTACTGGTTGACGGAAGATTAGAGAAGTACTATCAGAAGTATTGTTGTACATTATATTAACATTTATTTACAGGCTTTGGCACTGATTAACTGTTGTAAATCTGCGTCGATATGGGTTGAAAAATAAAGAATCGTGTTGCCCAACCGTTTTCTGCTGTTCTGCGCCGGTTACAGTGCACAGAGTTCTGAGTATTAAGATTAGTCTTCTGAAACCAGCGATAGGTCTAGGGTCTCTGAGATCTGGATATTTGAGATTTATTCTGGAAATATTTTAGGATTTTTCAATGAAGTCAGTCGTATTTATAAAGTAATCGTCTAAACGGAATTCACTCAAACTCATATAGCTTAACTTTGGTCATATTCTGCTTATCTCTCAAGGTAATATAGAAATACGCTTATACCTCACAATTTCATTTAACTATTTACGGCTTTTAACAAGGTACTATTAGTAGATAGTAATTGTTATGGAACTCGGTGTTATAAGGTTTAATCAGACACTTTTAATAGCACAATAAAGTGTAATATTCAGTGAATAATTTTAGTTAAGTGTTAATGTTGTCTTATGATAGTCTATTTAATATATAAGATTATGCATCATTTTTATGCATTCTGAAATAGATTTCAAAGAGATAAACTAGTGCCGCCCAAAAAACTTAAACATATACAGTTTTTGGTGTATAGGATCACTCTTCCTCAATAGTTTTGGTATTTACAAGGTGAAAACCTCCCATCCATATCTTCGAATTCATCTCATTTTAAGTATCTTTCACACTTGAATACAATATCATGTGATCAAAACCAGTATTCAAAAAAGTGAATCCCTATACTGCGAGGATTATTCTTTTCTTAAGGCAGATATGCTTGACGAATAGCTCTATTCATCTCCAGAGATGCAAACGAACTTCAGTTTTTCTGTAGAGCTTAACAAATATAGTTATTGGCATTTATGCTATCATTCTATCGTTGTAGGCGGTAATAGTATGTTATTTGATCGATGTCATCTAACAAGTGGAGTGCTGTTGGTTAGTATTTTCTAGATCTCTATGTAAATTCAGGGATTGCATGTATCTGTGTTAATCAGTAACAGATTTGTAAAATAGAATACATTTAACTAAACACAATAATAACAGCTGATGCGTCAGTCAGTAGAGCTTTCTATGCCGGCATGAAAATTGTCAAAACACAAACTTTGTTCAGCACTGAGGTACTAATATTTTGTAAATAAGGTAAAATATTACCGAAAACATTCAGTTGAAATATTAGTATTATTACCTTTTGTTTTTTCTAAAGTAAGCTTTTTTGCCTGTGATCTATCCACCGGTTTAGTGGATGTTAAGCAGTTAAGTTGTAAAACAGCTACTTTTGCTTCACGGCCTTGAAGGTGAGAAAAAGAACAAAGAATAAAACAATCGTCAATGATTTCATCTCTTCAAGATAATACCAACTTTTCACAAAAATAATAGGCAATTACTTCTAGATTTCTTCACCTTCAGAGATGGATTAATTTCGATGAATATTACGTCACGAAACATAACACCAATTAGAAATCGTTAAAAATAAAAAAGCAATAAACAGCTGTTTTGTCTTAATTTAAAAATCATCGGCAGTGCGTAACCCCTTATAGTACCAAGGATAGTACACAAGATATTCAGGTTACGAGACAAAGCTCGTTGGCCATACAGTGACCCCGCGGATTTGATTTCCTGACAACTTGTAGTATAACACTACCGTCAAACAACGCCATCGGTGAGCATCCACCTCACTGTGTCATGGTGCACCAAACTGGCTACCTGATTGTATGTAAAATCGATGAATTAGTTAGTTAGTTAGTGAGTTATTTAGTTAATTTACAATTAAATATTCAGTGTTAAAGGCATAAGGGGTATACTGCTGGACTGTTCCCCAATGCATTTGAATCAGTCTGTTCAAATTCTACTTCTTGCATAAATCTATATTTGAATGCTTTAACAACATGCTCTGCACTTTTAGTCCTTATAGAAAAAATGAATCGGAAGTGAAGAGAAGTCTGAGGTACATTTCCCTTGGACGATTAAAATGGATATTAATTACACAAAACAGGTTAAATGAAATATACGATAATATGAATGGTTATTATATTTGATGATTTTTATTTTCACTGAAAGTTTTGCGAAAATACACGGTGTAATTTTATGATGCAACAGTTTCCTTCTCGTACTTTTATAAGAAATATTGTTTTGGCATTACTATGGTATGCTATAGTCTCTTTAAATTTATCATTTGGCAGCACTTGGGATGACCATGGTATTAGTATTTCGACTCTTATTATTTATGGCATTTGTTCGGTGTTTATCGTCAGAGGAATCCAGGACGTATGTTTCATTCTATTTCGGACTTGTCAGTTGGATGTACATGCATCTCGGTGAGTAATGATGTTCCTATCCACACTTAAGTTCAGTAGTCCAAAATGTTCCCTACCAGGACTGATTAACGGTAGTCACCTCTTGTTTCAAGAGTATCCATTGTCTATTTGTCTGTTTTATAGAGTTATTTTTAATTACCCGTTGATTATTTCGGTAGACTGAAATAAAACTCCACAAGAGATGATAAAATCTCTTCATTGAATTCAGACTTTCCCATCGGTTGATTGGACCGAAGGGCTCGGTCTCAGGTTGACGTGTCAGCTCCTTGTGCAAATGATTCAACGATGCCTGGTCATGTAACTTGAAGTCACTTGGTTGATAATGACTAGCGCATGCGTCCTGTTTTTTGCTCGTCGGCTATGTGTACCTGCATTCCCCAGTGATGGTGTCCCCACCAAGGCTTGAACCTAATGCCCATAGTCTTAAAAGCCAAAACGCAATCCGCTAGACCACTTGGGACACGAAAGCCACCTCTTGAGTATAAGGGCACTGACTTTGAGCCTCGGTGGGAACACTACCACTGACTCATTTATGAATGCAAGTACATCCAGATGACGATTCCTAAATAGGAGGAAATACACATCCCGGATTCCAGTGGTAATCGCCATCAATCAGTAGGTGATAAAATCGCCTATTAATGCTTCTGTTACCATTGGCGTAAATTGGTGAAGGAAAACTAGGCAATCAAAAACAACAGAATAAGATCAACAATTACCTCTCCACGTCGCATTCTGACTTAACCAAGTCACTTGAATGAAAAATAAATTTTTTTAAACTGACAAATAAATCAAAAACTAATTAACTAAGATTTATTTTATCATATATCTGTTTCTTTTCTCTCAGATATATAAATAAGAGAGATATGAAACTGATAAATATTATTAAGGTAAACAGTGGAAATAATGAATGCGTGTATTGAACAGAAGAGTAAAATGAAAAGTAAATAAATGAGAACAAACTAAGTGAAAATATTTATTTGATCGGAAAATTTGATTGAAGATGGCAAAAAAGTGTTAGATGTTAGAAAGAGAACTCAGTAGTCAATTAATGGAAAAGAAATGGATAAAAATTGATAGTGGAGGGAAAATAATTAGCCCATACAGGTGTAATAGTAAATGTCACTAAGCTCTTTCTTTTTTGATGATGATGATGATGGCATTTGGCGTCTGGGAGTGAATTCTACCTATGTAACTTATTCTGAGGTTGTCGTCCCCAAGAAAACCAATAAAACCTATTTCCTTAGATTTTGTGGTATGTTACGGATCGGTTAAAAGAAGGGAAACAAACCATTTCAATAGTCGCCACATAGATTGAAGGTTTTCTGTCTTCAGTTTTCAGTTATTTCGATCTTTTGAGAAGATACTGGCATAGAGTAATTTCATGTTTTATGCAATTAATCAACACTGGTTAATCTATCTTTTACGTAAGGCATTTATGTGTATGTGCAAAAGTCCTATCTTTTGTTCTTTCTATATATGTAGGGACAGAATGATTTTCTGAAGTCGCCTTGCCATACAGAAGTGAAACATTCTACTGTAGAACAGTTATTATTTGAACATACATCTGGTGTCCTACGGAATCAGTGACTTAAGGACGTCAGAGAGTTAATAATACAGCACCTGAACCTCACATATCCATTTAAGTAACATTTACGCACTTATTTCAAAATAATAAGAACAATTAATGCATTTATGTACATTAATACTACTATTAGCCTTCTTATTTAAACTCTACATTTAAAAGAGATTCCACATAGAATGAAGAAGAGCACAAACTGTTTGATTATAGTCATTCGCTTAGACTTTACCTCCTTCACGATTTCATCCAATTATTATTATCACCACTTGGATAAGAGTTTTACTGTATCAGGCTGTGAATCACACTTATTTTCTGAAGGCTTATGACGCTAAGATCTCCCAGCTGAAGTAATTGGACTGGGGCTCGACGTCATAACCTATTGGAACAAATTCAGATACTTAAGCTAATGATCGACACCTTCATAATGTATTCTGTTGCACGATTGAGTGTAAACCGAATGATATAGCCTACATACTGTGTAATATAATACCCTATAGTCAGTAACGAAATCACTTCTCATATTAGGATTGTCACAAGTCAGATTACTTCAGATTACCAAATGTAAAATGTTTACATGGTACTTAAACGATCATTGATATTGTTTTTAGGTGTGTGGTGACTAGCAGTGCAATCCAAGGTCCCCTTTTCGGCCTATCTGGGATTCATCGGCCGGATATACTTGCAATCGCACTAAGTGATAGTGCTTCCATTTTAACTCATACCCTGAACACATCGTTTAAAAAGTCTGAATAGGAACACCTTCATCGATCACTGGAAATGCTGGTATACCAATACCACCTGAAGAATCCAGAATAGGCCAAACGCTCATCTTGGATTCCACCGCTATTCACCATCAACCAGAATAATTTCATTTAATCGCTATACACCGTCGAAGCGTCTGTACCAAGGGCCGACATGTTAACAAAGACCGAATATTTCGATCTCCCATGACGAATCAACGGTAAATGCAAATTAAACTAAAAACATGGGCCACTGAATCGGGTCCCAATGACTAAATGATATGCGAGCTTGGCTTGTAACGGAAGGGTCCTGAGTTCGACCCCTGGCATAGGGTGCGCACTGTCAATGAGTCCCAAACTAGGCTGACGAAACAGTTGGCTCTCCAGTACTCTAATGTTGGTTTTCAATGGTTCTCTACCTGATATCATTCCGTGGTCAAAACAAATCAAGTCCTTACAAATTAACTCTTAAAAACAAATAGTTTATTGAGATTACCTTTATCATATCGAATTATCAACAATTCAAACTGTGCGACCTCCAACTGTTTTACTTCTACACTTTTATCGATCAGCAAAACCGGCGGCTCATGGTCTACACAAAGAGAGAAAAAACAATGTGAACGTCTTGTCAGTGTTAGCCAACTTGTACCTCGAAGTTGTATAGCATCGCCGTACAGACATTTGCCATACAACGTATCATATATGATTTTAATAGCTTTTTTCGCTAATCCTCCAAAACTACCAGTACAAAAGCAGATTTCTTTTTTGTGATATACCAGTCTGTTTTTATGCCGCGTCTGAACCATTTCATGTCAAAATAATAAGAATTTTTCTCTGATCCGACATGATTTTACGCAATGCTAAAAGATGTATCACCAGCAGACGGTTACTTTCTGCCTTTTTGGTAATAATATGGCTTTTCATTATATTACATTGGTCAAAGAAGAGATACTTACTTAACGCTTGCTTCAGTAATGCTCATCTGGAGCAGTTCCTCACACTTCTTAAAGTTTTAGAATCCCATCTGATTTACAGAGGAAACCAAGTCGCCTACTGCTTGCTTTTCTTTAAATTATAGCATCTTAGTCTTCACTGCACTGCTTCACTTTTAATCATTATTCTCATAGTGCTTAAAAATCATACGTAATTTTGCACTAATGTTTATATTTCAGTGTCATTTCTATGCTGTTTATTTCATTATCTGTTTTCCCTGCTTTTGTGTTTCAGCATGAATTATTCGTATACAAAAAAATATCATGAGATGAGAATTAGTTAACAGATCATTTGCTTCAATTTCTAGCTAATTAAAAATGAGATGAAACTGGTGTTTTTGTCTTAACACAAAACCGGATGTTTACGATTTCTAAAAAGTAATAGAAAGATTCAGTCAACAAAATCTAAGAAGAATGAGAATTAATAAATATCAACTGAGTAGATTTTAGGGGATCATAGACGATTAATTGAAAAAAATTAGTTCTTCTGAAACAATAATACTCAGATGAAACATGCACTGAATGTCACTAAATGTAGTAAAACCGAAATGCTTTTTCAGATCGTAAACGTAATTTAGTGTAATTATCTGACGTTTCAAGGAACCGTGTAGAGACCCATGTATGCAAATCTGATTGATGTTTTTCAAATAAATTTTTTATTTTATTTTTTATTTTTGATTACAGCTTGATTCCACACTGTATTTTCGGTACAAGTATGGAATTTTCAGCACGGATATCGGTAGCCCAAATTTCACAGACCGACCATAGATATCACGTGTGTGCGTCGGCAGGGAATTGAACCTCGGACCATGTGCATGGTCGGTGACAGTCCTAACCAATGTGCCACCGACGCACAATCTCTTATCTCCCTCATAGTCTTTTCGATTGCCTTCCAATGCATTTAAAATGGCTTCGGAATAGAAAGTGAGCCGCCCAGTTTACATAGTAATCTCAAACGTATCATAAACAAAGTCATCTTGAAGTTGATTTATTGTTAAAACTGTCTTTCGTTAGCAATCACCTAATGTGAGTGAATTTATAGAAATACTTGTTAAGGAAGCTAAGAAGTGCAAACAAATGACTGTCGATGATTTCAACAAGCTACTGTAAAGTTGTATGACTTTTGCACTTATACAGCTTACTTCTTCCAACATGTAGAGAAAATGTTGGCAATTCAATATTAAAGACTTTCTGAATCCTTCGAATGTGTCACCTTAATCATGATGGTGTTTTGAGGCAAATGATTTACGCGTCTGTAAATTTCATGTGACATAATGTGAATATTTTACTTTAGATGTCTTTTTATCAAGTTAATATTTTTTGAAACATGATATGATGATTGTGTTACGGGTGAATTTACGATACCCACTCATTGTGGGCTTAAGTTTGTTGTTATTCAGAAAAACGTTTATTGTTTCTAAAGAAATGAATGAATGAAAAAAATATCCCGGGAACACTCAACGAGAGACGTTAAAAACAAATTCTACTCACCTTTAAATCCAAAAGTCCCTTGTTCAGTGCTTATAATTAAATTGTCACCTGAAAAATTCAAAACAAAAGCAAAAAATGTAAGAAATTGTTTTCTAAAATAAAAAGTTGAGCCAAAAATGTGTAAAATGAAAGTCTTTCCACCTCCATTTCTGTTGTTTCTACTAGCTAATTTATTTATTTACTGGTTTATACACACAGGCAAATATTTTATCGACGGTTACAACTTCCCATAAAATGTAAGGAGGTATATTTGTGTTATAAGGCTCATAGTACTACTTTTCTTTCTCTAGTTCGTTGAAGATATGTTGGGTGAATATATCATATTCCCACACTTTCAATAATCTACTTTAATCAGTCTAAATGGGAAAAGTATTACATGCTAATTGATAATGATATACCCTTAGCGAAAAGACCAGGAATTGATACGGACAGAGTCAAAAATAGGTTGGTCACCATTTGGACTGTAAGTGAATTGAAAAGTTGACACAAAGTTTATGATAAATATACAGTGGATATTAACTTCATATACCTGCTTAAAACTTGGGCTACCAAAAACTTCCATCTTCCTATTGCATATATTTTTTCTCGTTCGCTTTGTTTTATTTGAATAAGATATGACCTCGAATGGTACTATACACTCTTGTGTATTTAAAATGTTTACTAGTTCCTGATTCGCAAGTTTTTAATAAACTTCAGGAATGGCTTGTTTGTGAGTGGCAGCGTGTTCCAATACATGAGATAGCTGTTCTTCAGTTATGTCCTTCGATCTCAGAATGCACTTTTGAACATCTTACAATTGGCTTTCTACTAGACGTTGGGGATTTCTTGAAGGGGACAAAGCGGTTATATCAAAATGGAATGGGTTTGTGTTTCAGCTCAGAGAGAAATGTGTCGCAGGATATACTACTGTAAATTAATATTTCACTTGAAGATATTGTACGAAGGGAAAATATCATGCAATAAACTCTGCTAAAATTTCTTTCCATTTAATAAATACTGTCTAGAATAAAGACATTATTATTATATTTTACGTCAAGAAAAAGTGATATTTTTGCTTTCTTTCGCGAATATTCAGTAATTCATAGGTATCAAACACAGACTGCTCTGTTTCGCCTCCTCCATGTGTATTTACAAAACACAGATTTGTTCGACGTTAGATACCCTAGGTCTTAACGTGAACATATGTTATCATGTCTTATGTCTCCTAAATTTTCTGAAAAGTTCTTTAATTTTCATATAAAAGTTAAAATTCTGGAAATTTAATTGAGGATGAAGTTCTTTCTGTTGTTATTATGTGATTGGAGGCAGTCGTCAGGACACTTTGCTCCAACCAAGTTGCATGATGGTGGCACTCACCAGTCAGCAAGGCGTATCTGAATTTCTGAGGGAGCTCATGTTCCGTCTGAGATTCGAAACCACGTTAACCGGCGCCAGGTGAAGTCGGCGACGTTACCACTAATAACAAACGTTCAGAGTGCACCTAGCATAGTGACCACACTGAAAAAGTAACTGATTGTTATGATGCTAGATCTTTGTCTCGAGGTAACTGCTTAACTACTGACCAGTGCCCACTTAACTGGTAAAGCAGAACACGCGATAATCAGCGGTAAAACCAGAATCATTTATTTATGACAAAAGTGACTGTATTTATACAAAAATAAGGTAGACTGGAAATCAACCAATCCGGTTGAGAGTTTGGAATTGTGCAAGCGTCCAATCAGAAAGCAGAAACAAATGCATGTCAACGACATGCTAATAACTTGATAATTGCATGTGTTTTGCCTCTTCCTAACACCTCCCCTTTTAAGATAGGGCTACCGGTAGCTTTTGTATCGCGGAATCACTTGTAGGTACTTTGGCGGTCTTGGTTGTCGTTGTGATCTCCTTGGCTGCTGGGACACTTTGCCTTTGTTTCGACTATTTTGGCCATGTGACGTTTTCGGATCCGTCGTATCTATCAATAGCTCAAATTGTACGTCGGCGGACTTGGAATCGTTCAAATGTTTACCAACTAGTCTATTTCTTATTTGATTGGCATGCCTGACCCAAATAAGGTCTCCAACCTTGACCTTGTAAATGACTTGGCCTTTTCTTCCAACGATCACTCCAGAAACCCATGGGAGATCTCTCCGTATGTAATCACGAACCAGTACCGACTGACCAACCATGAAACTTCTTTGCTTGGTGCCATGACGTCTATTGAACCGAAATTCACTATTTCGACCACATTTGCTCCGTCTTGATGGGATCGGGATAATTGTATCCAAAGTAGTACGTAATCTTCTTCCAAACATAACTTCTGCGGGAGATGTTTGATTTGGGCATGATGGGTTGGTTGTGGTTCGATAAATGAAGAGGAAATTGTGCAATACATCCTCTATCGATCCCTCCCAGTTTGACTTCTGAAGTGCGCGCTTGAGTGTATCAACAAAACGCTCTGCTTGTCCATTTGACTGAGGATGGTAAGGCGGGCTGCGAATATGCTGAACACCTAGCCGCTCACAAAACTGTTTGAATTGTTCAGCTGTAAACTGAGGTCCGTTATCGGAAACGATGATCTCTGGAACACCAAATCTGCTGAAAAGCTGAACCAACTTATTTAATGTTATCGTCACTGTGGTATTTTGCATAATGAAAACCTCCGGCCACTTGGAATACGCGTCGATTACCACGAGAAACTGTTTGCCATTGATTGGGCCGGCAAAATCTATGTGGATTCTTGACCACGGTTTTCCTGGGTTGGGCCACGGCTGTAGGTCTGTCTTGATAGGCATTTTCAAAGCCTGAGCACAGCGAGAACATGAGCGAACCATCTCTTCTAATTCACGATCGATATTTGGCCAGTAGACGTAACAGCGTGCCAACGATTTCATACGGCCAATACCAGGATGCGTAAAATGTAGTTGACTCATGACTTTTTGTTGGAGACTTCGAGGCACGACCACACGTTCGCCAAACATAATGCAGTCATTGACCAGGTATAACGAATGTCGTCGTTGATAGAACTGTTTTAAATCTGGACAATCAATACGCGAGGGCCAGCCACAACGCAGATACTGTTGAACTGACTGTAATGTCGGGTCACTCTGCGTCTCTCGTTGAACCATGTCGGCTGAGACAGGTAAAGTGTTTATTGCCGTCATCAATACGTGGCACACGTCTTCATCGACAGAAACGCCGGCGATCACAGCGTCCTCCTTTGCGGCTTTGTTCGGATGCATCAACATGTTGGTAGGACTATCTGAGCACTGTACATTGGAACAAACTGAGTTCAGTGGGACATCCCAGAGTTTCATCTTTTCGATCCAGTCAATACCAAGCAAGTTCAAATCATGACGATTGGTGATGTAGCATGTTCCTTGGAACGAGGTCGACCGGAAAGTTACGTCGCATTCAATCTGGCCAGATAATTTCATTACGTCACCCGACGCGTTTCTTGCAGTATGCTCCGTTCTCTGATAAGGTGGACACCCGAGTGCCCGCCACGTCTGGGGAGATATGATTGTGATATCAGAAGCAGTATCTAACTGTAGTCGAACTGGCTTCTGGTTGATAGAAAGTGTGACAAACTTTCTTTTTGACTCGAAGTCAACTTTGAAGGTAGCGAACATACTGCTGATTTGAGGTTTCGTCGACCGAGATCGAAACTTTCGTGACTGTGCCATCGTATTGTGAGATCGGATTGATCTAGGTTTCACTGGGGGACAAAATCCTTCCTTGTGACCATACTTGTTACAGATACTGCATTTATGTCTTTTATACGGGCAAAATTTACCAAAATGCCACGATCCACAAAACCAACAATTTGTGGGAGGCTTGTGTTGGACTTGCAGAGAATTGTTTGACTTGACAGCCTGAACAGAAGTAAATTCATGAACTTGACCGTCCTCAATCAACTTCGTGTCATGCTTTAGATTGATGATTCGCTGGCACTCAGCAGTTACCTCCTGTAAAGTCATGTCCGGTTTGCGTTCAATCTCTGCAAGGATTTGGGTACGAATATCACTGTCAACTGAAGATTTGAGACCGCAGACAAAGATCAGGCATTTAAACTGGTCATCCGTAAGTGATCGAATTTTCGATCGCTCGCATTCACGATTCACCTTACCAGCATAGGTGAGAATATCATCTCCTGGATCTTTGGATATCTTGAAACAATTGTAACGGATACTGAAGAGAGATAACTGTTCACCGAAAATATTGGTTAACGTTTGAACGGTTTCTTCAAAGTTGAGTTCTCTGGAGTTCTTTGGTAGAATATGATTGACATATTTGTTATGTTCGGCTGGACCAAGTTTCCGAAGGAGTAGTCTCACTTTGGACGAATCATCTAGGTGAGCGCATTCAACCCGGAACAGATCTTCATAACGTCGAAACCAAGCTTCAAACGTCACGCCTGTTGAAGGTTCGAAATTGAACTCTACAATTGAACTCCCAATAGATTCGGTTTTCTCTGAGTTGGAACTGCCGAGATTTTGAATTGAAAACTGCTTTGTAAGTTTTTCAATCAAGCTGAGCTGGCAAGCTTCAAACTGTTGCTGTTGTTGATGAAGGAGAAGTTGCATTTGTTCAAATGAAATTGTCATTTGGAAGACAGGCTGGATGTACACTGGATGATCTGGTTTTTATTTGACTGTATTGAACTGCAATGGATTCGAAACCCCGTCGCCAATTGTTATGATGCTAGATCTTTGTCACGAGGTAACTGCTTAACTACTGACCAGTGCCCACTTAACTGGTAAAGCAGAACACGCGATAATCAGCGGTAAAACCAGAATCATTTATTTATGACAAAAGTGACTGTATTTATACAAAAATAAGGTAGACTGGAAATCAACCAATCCGGTTGAGAGTTTGGAATTGAGCAAGTGTCCAATCAGAAAGCAGAAACAAATGTATGTCGACGACACGCTAATAACTTGATAATTGCATGTGTTTTGCCTCTTCCTAATACTGATAGAATTCGGTCTGCAGTACAAAGAGAACTAGACGCATAACACTAGTTACCAAATACTTATTGTTCAATAGGAAAATTTGCTTCTTTAGAGCTGGTGCAAAATATACCTGCCTAATTTAAATGTAAAATTTGGAAAACAACAGACTGAGCGAAAAAATATATTCGTTTCCAATTAGTTCCTCATCATCGGATCTACACGAATAAAGATGTAGTACATAATCTTAGTTTCTATTGCCGATATGATGATACACTTATAGTTGTTCAGAAAGAAAGTGAGACTCAGAAGATAAATTCAATAGAGCATATCCTGGTATAAGCTTCCCTAAAGAAGAAGAGGAAGAAAATGATTCTATTCCTTTATGGACGTCCTAATGACTAAACGAGCAGACAGAACGATGTGCAGACGTCTGCACAGATAACCTACTTCCACAACACAATATACTCACTTCTTGAGATTCGTACATCTACAGTACAAACGTAATCTGGTTAGATGTCTTGTTCAACAGGCTAAAGTTATCTGTTCAAATGAGACACTGAACGAAGAAATCGCTAATATTCGCGATCTACTAAGCAGAAACGGATATCCAACCAAATTAGTAAACAAACACATGAACTCAGGAGGCAAAAGGTTGAAGGTGCCCACTGTCACCAAAACTCCAGTCTTCCTAAGATTACAATTGACGGGTGATATCAATAGCGATATATTATCACAACGTCTGCGAAGGGCCTTCAAAAGGACTTTCTATGCAGCTAAGCTATGCTGTGTATTCACTAGTCGACCAATACTTAGTTCAAGAAATAAAGACAGACTGTCCTATTTAGCCTCTTCCACGTGTATTCACCAGTTTAGCTGCCCGTGCGGAAGAGCTAGTCACATTGGGCGTACGATCATCGTCGAATTTCTAAACACCTCCCATCCTGGTTTCGCAAACGTCCGAATAAAACTATACGAAGCTCAATACTAGCTCATCTCATCGATAATGACTTGGCATCAAGTTGACTGTAACAAAGCTTTTAAAGTTATTTATCATATATCAACCAACCTCTCGCCGCATGGTCTACGAATACGACTTTTACATAGAGCAGGGGCGATCAGAATTCACCTCAACAAGCCAAACATGTGCGTCATTTCGAAAGAAATTTTCACAGCCTGTTTCTTTGCCATAGTCAGCTTCATAATATGTATTAGGTTTTTAAAAGCGATTTTCTCCCTTCCCCTTGTAACTATCTTTTGACTTTTGTTAGTTTTTACAATTGTTTGTATTTTACGTAACTCTGCTGAATCATCCTATTTATTCTTCTTAGTCATCATTGCTATTTTACAAATTTCTTGATTATGTGATTACTTGTCGCTAACGCTTAAGAATCATCTTGAATTCTGTAATTAATTCTCACCCCTGCCTCCTTCAAAACCTAGATATCTTATTACTAACACCTATTGGTGAACTGTTTTTATGACCTTCAACCTCTTGATTTCACCCACCCACCCGCGTATACCTAGAACTGATTAACTCAAATAACCACTTGATTGGTAAAGCATTTTGATGACAAAGACTATATATTCGTGTAGATCCGATGATGAGGAACTAATTGGAAACGAATATATTTTTAGCCCTTTTAGACGTTTCAAATACACTATGAAAATTATTACAGTTTGACGCTGATCAATGTTTTTTTAGAGATATCTGAAGAAATTATAGGCAGATTTATTTCAATCCTTTTTGTAAAGTTGCGATCATATCAGAATATAAGATGCTCTAAGTTATAACTGTTACAGCCTTTTCTGCCTATGGCGTTTTGTCGATGCTTGAAACATGAAAATCGTTAATAAAAAACAAAATTTCAACATTAACGAAAAGTGCTACTTATTTTCCAGCTACTTGGTTTATATTTACAACACAGTTTTCGATTATTTTGTTATTCTTAAACAGTAAGTTACTGCCAATTTAAATTTAAGATTCAGGTGTTATTTTCAGTGAAACACCTGAGTCAAAGGCAAAGGTATACTGTACTTGCGTATTTATAATGTAGTTGAGTATAGTTTGGAGGATGAAAGTGTTGTCGATCAATCTCTCTTCAGTTTAATGTGACTTATTCATTTCTTAAGTCAAGGTGAGGGTTCTCTATTACTTCTTTTTTCGCCACGTTTAATTCCTGATCAAATCATTATGAGCTACTGTAAAACCTTAATAGCCTGACTCTTGATACTACACAAAAATGCATAAAGTATCATAGTGACAGACATTTATGTATGCATATATATGCATTAATCATATCTTACCCCAAACATCACCACATATAATTTCTGACTGAGTACATTTGTGTATTAATTTTGGTTGCCATAGCTGAAATAAAAAATAAGGTGATCATTAAATTTTAATTTTAGAGACTGCATCCTACTTAAAAAAAACTATAGTAAGTAATATATAGCGTTCGATATCCAGCATTCATACGTCAATTTGGTGCTTGAGTTTCGTTTAATGTCATTTATAGCACTAGGGGGAAGAAATATTTCGGTATTAGGGTTAACTTTAGAACTAGTAATATTAACATCTAAAAGTAGTTTCATTCATAATATCATCACTTTGTTCTATTCATGAAGTCATTATCTCAAATGTCAGTAAACCTGTGAATATTTTATCACCGATATACTGTCATCAAAGTGAGGTGACGAAACGAACCGTACAGGTAGTGAATCTCTTGGTGCCACTTCAAAATATAGAATATAATATGTAAGATGGTATCATCGAGAAGAATATTCACTCTAATGAAAGTTAAAATTATTCTCCTAGTTACAAAACATTTGTTGAATTTTATGCTGATTTCTTTAGGAAACCAAAAATACTACTATAGTTAAAATGAGGTTATAAAAGCCATCAAAATGCAAATTAAACGGAATAACTGAAAAGCAATAACACAAAATAATGATAACTGCTGGCTCGAACCTTGCTATCTAAACCAGTTATGACGATTAGTCTTGTATAAATCGCTTCCAACACATTATGTGAACCATTAATGGCACAGTTTCTTGTTCAGTTTCATTTTGAACCAAATTCTATTCAATTGATGATGGCTAGCAACAGGACTCAAGATTCACATTCCATTCTTTTTTAGGGCTCGTCACTGGATGCTCCAGTGTTCTGGTATGTAAGCCTGTTCCCGCTGAGACTCAAATCCAATACCCTCTTTTTCTATAATTGTTTCAATAGATTTACTTATTGTAGTCATTGTAAGTAATCAAATCAGTATTTTTTAGAAGCAAAAATACCTACTTACTTCACAGTACAATGAAAGCACCTGATACATGTCGTTGTTGTTGTTTTGTAAATTACAAAAAGGGAGGAATGTTTGCAGATCATATTTGTTTTTGTCATTCTATGAATATTGATTAGATAAAATCGTTTAATACCACTGTCCTTAAATTCAGCCATATGCATGAATCCCGCTTTAATGACCAACATATTCTCATGTAATGGATAGTTATGTACATGTATGTATATATGTAAGGATATGTGTATGTATTATATATATATATATATATATATATATATATATAGAGAGAGAGAGAGAGAGAGAGAGAGAAAGATATTTCATTATTATTAATTTTCATGTTCCATGTTAAATGTCAGTCGATAGAGTGGCATACTTGAATTTTTACACTACTGAGGATCAAGTCATGATTGAAATCTTATGGAAATTTAATGTCCTCTCCGAAATGTAGATTGGTATGACTCTGTCATAGTTAGACACTTAACTGAGGAGTTACCAGCAGTGAAATAAAAAGCTCATGACTCAATTCTGTAACCTGGATACTAATTGAGGCGAGCTGTAAATTTAGGAGAAGATGCAAATACTGACTATCTAAGATGTTTCATGGATTGAATGCATGAAAATTAATGTCATCTAACTAAGGTTAGTAGATAGTTTCCTCAACACAGTTATGAATAAATGGTGACTTGAATCCGGTGGAGACTTGAATGACACCACTTGTCACGTTTCAAGTTAGCTTCCATTTAGAAGGATACGGAAATATCAACCTATTCATGTAAACATCAGTCTTTGAGTTTGTGATTTTATTTTTCACATATGAGATGGTGACGTAATGAAGTGAAAAACATTGCTTAGTTTTATTCATTTAAGCAAACATTCCTGTAATGTGAACAGTTATGAAAACACAGGAGTATGGGTTTCATCACAGACTGACATAAGTTAGAGAAACATCGAAAACAGTAAAGCATTGGAGTGCTGTTCCGTCTTAGTTGGATACTCTTCATCAGTGAGAACCCCGTGGCTCCAACGACAATTAGACCAAATATCTTTAGTTTTCGACCACTCGTTCATTGAATTAGAATGCAATAGCCAGTGAATTCAAACTCAGTTACTTAGCGTCCAATTTCGTCAGCTCTTTGGCTGACGATTTTAGGTTTGATCCCTGTTGGAGTTGCTGATATGCAGTGATGAAGAGTTCTAAATTAGGAAATGCAGTCGTTCACTGTTACGTGTTTTTCAGTGATATAAGGTGTTAGAAAACTGATGGCTAATAGTTGATATTCTTGCGTAATTTAATAACCATAAATATAGTATAGAGTCGATGTTTTTACGCTAAATGTTTGAAATAATCGTGTATGTAAGAAAGTTACTTATCAGTAGTATGTATAACTGACTTACATTCTTTTTTGATTGCCCACTGGTTATTGAGCTTGTTGGAGCATCACCTCTGATTATTGTGTTCAACTTTAACATCTGATAAAAATTGTAGAAAATAATGCAGAAATAATTTAAAAATAGATATAATGAAAGAAAATGATTTATTCCTACAGTTTAATTGAAACTGATTACATTTTTGACGTGTTAAATTTCAGCAATAATGAGTTAATGAATAATTAGAATAGTTATATATGTTTGTTTATATCAGGTTTAGTGTATCAGATCTCTGTTTTTATCTACTCTACAAACTACGTAGATAAATTCTCTCCAGAGTGGATTTCAAAGTCTAAAAGGGAAACAAGTCTGTATGTTGTCAGTTGCAAACCTGAAGAGAATTTGCTTTATACTTCCAATACGTCGTCGGAATTAGATTATTTATACACCGGTTTAGCGTCATGTTTTAAGTGCGCTGATCCTTAAAGTTTTTAAACCTGAATATTTGTCTGACTTTCTCATGCATCCACTGGTGTCATTAAGAAGGACTTTTGTCATTTTTGAATGTTCAAGTGGATATTTTCATTTTTGAACACGGCAATTTGCCATGAATTTATTATTGGTTTATTTATTGAAATTTATTCATAGATTAGATTTTAAATTAGCATGTGAGTAGGCACTGAATTAGCATAATACTTTTGTTGGTTAAATTTTAACGAATAAGCCAACAAAGTAATCGGTAAGCTGAATAGCGGAGTTTTGAGATGAAATCAGTTTGAATGAGTTTTTTTAATGAGAATATAACTTTCACAACACTTTTATGCTTTTCGCCATTCATCGGTAAGATTTGTCTTAACACTTGAGAAAAGTCTTGTCCCGTTACACATCTGAGCCTTTACCAGTTGAAACACAAACAAAGGAAAACATATTGAAAATATTTAGCACTCATTATGTTTCAATGACGTCTTTATCAGTCCAGCTATCTGCAAGTGTTAAATTAGATGAATTCAGATTATTTCACTAACTCAGTTAGTAAATTAATGTATGATCACGCTTCAAATGTAATGTCTTTAAGGGTCACTCACTTTTCGATATGAAGCAATGCTAGGCAGAAATGTTAAATGAGGTTGGTCTGAAAAGTATTCATTGTACAAGAAATACTTTTCATTTACAAGGGGATACATTTTTCTTAATAACTGAAAACAAATTTAATCATAAGTAAGGTTCTTCATATACTCACGTGACAAGGCATAAGTAAAAAGTTGTTCAGACAAAATTATGACTAAATTAATCAAACACACTAGTAAAGTGGTCTAGTGAACACACAATGAGTTAAAGCTTTGGAAAATAAAAAGCACATTCAGCATAGTAGTGATAGCAGCAAGCGAAATTCCGTTTCCAGTCACATTTGAGTGTGAATTAATTTCAATAAGACAATCTAATAGAGATGTATGCCACAGTCATAGGTTATTACTGATAAAGTAGCAACAGGCGAAGACTGACTAGTTTTCAAAAGAAACAGAGAGGACAGGATTTAGAGAGAACATAGAAAAAACAAAGGTGAAGCTACGTAACTAAAAAAAAGCAAGCATCAGCCACTGTCAACGGAGGGCATTTGAGTTGTATTACTTTTTTCACTTATTTAGGCAGCATCCTTCCAAATGTAGGCTGCATAGGTGAGAATATCAGAAGCGGGTTCAGTTCAAAAGCAAGACAGATTTTCATTATTCTAAAATCGTAAAGTTTTGGTTCGCAGGGATTTTATCGGTTATAGGTTTAGTTCACGAGTTGAAGAAAAGTTAGAAAACCATTTGAAAACAAAGAAGTACCGGACAGCTGTTTGAGACTCTTGGGCAGTGTGTATCAACCGGGGTCCAAACCCAGGACTTTTAAGTCACAAGGTGGGCTCGTTGACCATTAAGTCATAGGAAAATGGCGAGTTGGGCGCTGCTCCGGTGGTGACATGGAGGAGATGTGGTGAGAAGGAAATGAAAGCGTATGTACGATCATGAAGCAATACAAGAAAGGCTGAAGAGAACAGAGTGAACTGGTGAGGTACTTCTGAAGCCCTATCTACTACTCAAAACCAAAAGGAATAACAGTAATGATAATGTAGTGGAATTTCATGCTATTTGGTACTCGTCATCTGAATGCACGTTCATTCCCCAGTGAATCAGTGATGGTGTTTCCACTAAGGCTAGAAACCAGGGGCCATAGTTCCAAATGTTGTATTATCCACCAGACCAACTGGGCCACGAAAGCCACTGCTTCTTGTGCAACGGGACTTATTAGTTATTTAATTCAACATAGATTTTCCCGTCGATCGATTGGACCGAAGTGCTGGATCGATTGGCTTCAAGTTACATGATCAGACAGCGTAGAAGCATATGCACAAGGAGGTAACATGTCAACCTCAGACCGAGCACTTCGGTCCAATCACTCTATGGGAAAATCTAAACTGAATTAAATGGTCATGTACATTTATTCTTTGTACTATCATCAAAGAAAATATCCTTTGATTTCCTACACTAGTTATATTCCTTGTTTACAGGGATGATATGCAAATGTGACTGAGAAGAATGAGATGACAAATTGTTAATTAAGATTACATGTTTGTTGTGTGAGCATTTATATTCACTTTCAACAACACCAATAATTACGTCAGTGATAAATAATCTCAGACCAGTTGTAGGCATTTCTTTTTGAAAATAAAAAGTTGAACACATGAGGATTGGTGATAAACATCTAACTCAAATCCTGGAATTATAAAATACTAATTTTTTTCTCTTAAATGTTGTCTGCCAACTAATCCTTTTAGAATACATAAACATGTTTTAACCTTTTAACATGATAATGTGATTGTTTTAATGCAAACAGATATACTATTATTGTTGTTATGTTTTCTTTTTTAACGATATTATTCATTTGCAAAGCACTTAGTTTTAGGCCAAATGTTACCATGGTATAAATAAGTACTGATTCTGTAAGCTGGTGTCAAGTTTTGAAGTATGATGCATAAGGCATGGAATATAAAGATGTGTGATTTTAGTACTTAGAATGTATCCGCATCACTGATTAATAGTTTCTGGATATCCTGACTTGATCTAAACGCTAATCATTAGATTGGCAAGCTTTACCTGCTTAGCGTATGGTGGCGTGTATCAGGATAAGACTTCGTTGTAGAGCCCCGTGTCATCTTACAATTTATCTATAATATTTCTGTTAAAAAATGACATTTCTATAAGCCTACAGAAATACATCTCAAACGTCTGGAGTGAAATTTCAGTCATCTGAATAAGATCATGAAGAGCATTTTGGAATTGTAGAGTTGTTTGTGAGTTTGAATGAGACAAGCCGAAGTTAGTCTTAAGCGTGAACACGTGATGATGACATGCATCTATCCTACATTCCTTAAATGTTTAGTTAATTCTCCACCTCTTCTTTATCTCACTTAGATATTCTAGTTTAAAGTACAGGTATGAACAAGACTGTGAACATTGTACTTCATAGGCTTTACGTTATGTTTCAGTGGGCTTTATCGCTTGAATTTTCATACAACTAATAGAGAAAGGTAACCGAAAACATTATTTCTAGCCTATACTGTCATACATAAAAAGACTAGTGGAATAATCTAGAGACAATTTAAAGTTAAGTTAAACATGCATTTAATATAATAAACCATGAAACTTACTTGTCCATATCTGATATATGCATCATTACGGCTTTGTTCTTTACTCGTTGTTACTCCATTAAAAGAATCCACTACAACATCACTGAAAGCTCGTCTGTAAATAGCTCCATTCTTTAGGGTGAAAGTAAAAAGTGAAAGATTATTTAGTCAGTATGTTTAACAGGCGGCCACAACAACCACACTACCAGTCTGTTATTAAATTGACATTCTGATCAAGTAGCTACTAAAAATGTACTTAACCAAAATAGTGTTTGGATGACATGTTATTCTTTATTCTTAATGATATTAACTGCAGGGAAATATAAGATAAGTATACCATGAACAGTTTTTCGGATTTCCTTTAATTTCCCTCATGTTCATTATTTGTACCAGTTAGATTTACAGTACTTAAAAATGTTGGATAAAAGATTTAAAAAAAAATAAAAAGTCATCCTTGAACCGTGGTTACCCCTGATTGGTTTTTGCCTTCTGCATTTTTCTTCAAACACTTCGGTTTCAGACACTTATTTGATAGTATTGTGGTGAGAGCTGTGTGCAAGTCAAAAATTGTAGACAACAATTTACGTCGCGGTCGCGCTATGTCGTGAATTGGCAGAAGTTAGAATTCAAGGACCATTGGATCGGGTCCCAGTGGCTTAATGGTATACGAGCTCGCCTTGTAACCGGAAGGTCCTGGGTTCGAATCCCGGCGGGTGCGTACTGATGAAGAGTCCCAAACTAGGACGAAACAGCTGTCCAGTACTCCCAGGTTTTCCAATGCTTCTCTAACTACTGTCAGCTCATGATGAAATCCTGAAATTTACGTCAGTGTTACGTCCCGAATCAGGTTCATAAGAAAAACAAGAACAAAGCTTAACCTTGAGGAACTCACCAGCCAATCACAGCAGAATTAACTTGTGCAAATAGGATTCGCAGTTATATGGCTTAACTTTCTGAGAAATGGCCACAGGCAGTAAAGGATAACCTTCAGCAAGAAAACAACCGATCAGAAGGCGTTATTCCCCTGCTAACAATAACGTTGATTGTAAAATACATAAAAATCTATAAATATGTCTTGATTTTCTCAATAAACAATCTGTTACTTGGCCTTTGTATTCTGTCGTTACAGTATTACCAAAAGGTACCTATGTGGTTAAATAAAGGCTTTGTTAGCAACATCAATAACTCCATATTAAAACACCTGGTCCAAACCACTCACAAAGCCAGCATTGAAGAATCCTTCATCATCTTTCGGGTACCAAACAAAATACCAAAAGCATCCAGGTACCGCATACTTCAAGCAGCAGAGGCTATCGCAATTCACAATAAACAACCGGGGCACTGTATGCAGAAGAAGCAAGTACAGCCAGCCACTAATACTGTCCTGACTGGCAGTCAGTGAAGGCTAAATATTCATGGATTTGTATTATTATTTTCCTAATTTTTCTGATGTTCAATGTGTAGTATTATGTTGATGCTGTTGAACTGTAATCCACTGTTACTATTATTATTATTAAATCGGTGTTATGTAAACAACATTAATGTTGTTATGACACTAATTCATTCACTATTAAGTATATATGACTGTAGAACCTGATGATGAAGTTATCGACAAGAATATTCTTTGTTCAGTAAACATTCTTTTGAAAAAATATTTAATTGGCATTTTTAATCAGTTAAAATACAGAATAGTTATCATGATTATCAAATATTATTGGTCTAAAAAAATCTGCAGTCATATAGATTTACCTCAAATATATGTTTGTTTTATATAATCTGCTGGGTTTGTCTAGAAATCTCAGGCTTATATTTAAATCAATTAAGCAGAAGTAAAGGTATAAAATCATTACTAAGAGTCCTGTCAAGTGAAATCAGTGATGTAAACTTATAAAATTAGAAAGCCCCATATAAATTCATAAGTATGCTCTCCACATGTCATAGAAATAAAAAGCTTATAGTACCATTTATACATTGTTAATATTCTGCAACTATCTAACGTCAGTTGAAGGTGTGTCTAAGGGGCTGATTCACCTAGTTTCCTGACCATACGGTGAACTTGACTGATTGATAGGATTTAGTCAGCATTTGCGACTAGACGCGCTACATTTGCTATTGCCTAGTTGTGATCGTGTAACAACAGAAGACAAGGGCCAGGCAACAGATCGCTTATTAAGGAAATCAACACATATTTATATATTTTTTATGTACATTACTATAGATTATTTAACACACAAACACAGCCTTCTGATTGGTTGTTTCTCACTCAAAGTTCATATTTCTTCTCTCTATGGCTGTTTCTTGAGTATCAGATCATCTATATGCTAAATGTATCCGCCTATGCAAAGTCTTTGTTCTTATTTTCTCACGGTATACTTCCCTGTCCCGTTGACCCTTTGAAAATATTGTCTTATCTCAACTTTCATCATGGGAATATTATTATTGTAGAGAGCTGCTTAAGGCTTTATTCTCGTTATATAGTTGTTTTTCACGCTTTATATTATTGTCTTCAACGTTGTCCCAAAAGTCTTAACCTTCTAAGAACAAAATGTTCAGCGAGGAGTATCTTTGCGGCAAATTTGTTCACTAAGCTGTGCAATCACGGTCATATATAATTATTTTTCAAAGCAATTCGTTTCCTTTATGAATTTCAACAACACAATGAGAAGACGTAGTTTATCTGAAACGTGTAACATATTTGTGCAACACATTTCGGACATTCTGATCACACACACGTACTTGTCACACACAGTGAAGGCAAGAAGGCACGCATCGTTACAATACAGGTCAGACTGTGTACAAGTGTATATTAGGATTGTCAGACAAAAATAAAATTAGTTAGGGTCGCGGTTTACGTCATCAAAGTGTTTCGAAAATGTGATGAATAATCAAACTGTAACTAGGGAATGACGATTGCTAAGTATTGACAGGGGTTGCGTAATATGAAAGACACCCAGAAGTATAGGATGTTAATCAAGCAGCATGGATACACGTGTCCAAAGTAAATTGTGTAATAGGTAGAAAGAGTAAATAAAGGGTTGTTTAACAAAAAGATGTTACTAAAATGCAATACAAAAATTCAAAAATACTCCACGCTGAAATTTTTGTTCTTAGATTCATGTATGGACTGGTATTTTCCGTGAATTAATCATCTGTGTCGTAACCTAGCCAAGGAGAAGCCATTAATTTACTATGTTTTCTCTTTAACTGCAGAGCATGTAGAATAAAAAGAGGGGGCTTATAGGGATGTGACTAACTTGACTACGGATTTCATCACGAACTGATATTCTTTGGGAACCAGTGGAAACCAAAAAGCGCTGGACAGCTGTCTCGACTTTAATTGGAATTCTTCGACAGTGGACAATTACGACTACACTGTGGATCATGAGTCGATGGTTGTTAGAGTTAATACATCCTTGAAGCCTATTTCAGTATATCAGCAGTAACGGTACTCGCTTCATAATTTGGCAGTTATTTAGTTCACAAAAAATACTCATTTATTCATGAGTAAAAACACAGTTTTTTTGTTCAGCGAAGAAATTTCTTTTCAACGACTTCATTTTAAGGCTGTACAGTTGTATTTATATTACAAAAAAGTTATTAAGTGGTTATTTAGTTGTTCCTTGGTGAGTAATGAGGATACTCTTCCGAGGCATACTTTAGCGGGGAGAAAACAGGTGTACAATGTTTTTTTGGTTTTCAATAGCTTTCTAACTTAGGTTGGTTCGTGACGGGGATTGTACACAATAAAAAAATAATAATCTAATACTAAGAAGACAAATGTAAAAATTATGTTGATAAAATCTCAGAGAAATTGAAATTAACTCCACTATGGGTAAGATCTTATTTTGATAAATCACACAGTATTGTACAGTAATATTAACTGATCAGTTAATATTACTGTACAACACTGCACTGTGATTTTGTCAAAATAAAATCTTATCCATAATGGAGTTATACTCGACCACAGTGCCCGAGTTTTATACTTTTATGAAATTGAAATTAGTAATTCGAACGTTTCGTTCGGCAGTCTGGTCCGAAATACTTCAGGGAAAACAACAGGATTCTTCTTCAAGCTCTACAATTATGAATCCAATATTCAAGCGTACAATAGCCAGTAAAGGCAATCTTATCAGAATCACATCAAATATGTGTTGTGAATGGAACAATAGTCAGTTACTTTTGATACTGGACACTCGATAAAACTTGACCAGGTGTTCTCAGTTATTTATGATGTCCTTGGTAATTTATGTAGAGGAGCTCTACTACGTCTTCTGTCAGTAGCTGAAGTGGTTGCAGTCAATACCTGAATATCCACTCTTCGTATGCAAAAGAAGCATGTTCCACCGCTATGCTTACCTTGGCCTACATTAAGGCGAACAAATCCTGCATAAACATTAGCACTTTAAGCTCCTATCACAATTCCTATCGCAGCTCATGATGAAATCCTGTAAACCAATCAAATCCCTACAAACCAACACTTGAATAACAATTTTTTATTACTTTGTTTCTTTGACAAACGTTTATTTATGACCTTTTACGTTTTCATGACCTTTCTTATGATTCCCATTATCCTATGCTGAAGTCGTATTTTTCAAACACGTTATCATATTTACAAAATCCTGATCATTTCATTTCACTAAATTCCTTATTATTATTATTATTATCACTATTATTATTATTAAATAGTATATTCGCATAATTTATTCAGAACAAAATATTTAGAGCGAACAATTGTTTTCAATAAATTCCTCTTCAGGCTCTACAATTATAAATCCATTAATTCAATTTAAGCATGCAATAGCCAGTAAAGGCAATTTAGAATCATATCAGAAAGTGTATTGTGGAACAAGTATAAGATGGGATGAAACAATAGGCATGTAGTTTTTAATATGCATGGTCAATGAGAACATTGGGGCAAAATGAGATGAAGTAATTTAATGTTGTGTGTGTATATATAGTCAACAGAAAATACAGGTTTCAAGAGTGAGTGTAATCAGGGTGTGTGAGACATAAGTTCAAGGTTGAAAATATCAATAATAAGAATGACTGTAAAATAATAACGATGAAATGGTGTAAAATTAAAAGCACTTTTGGTGAATGGTTGTCAAATAATAATAATGAATATAATGAAGTGTAATGAACGGGATTTTGTAAATACGATGGCAAGTTAGAAGAGCACTACTTAAACCTAAGGTAATAAAATCATAAGATAGGTCATGAAACCATAAAAGTCGAAAGTGAGCGTTTGTCAATGAAACAGAGGAATAGAAGAAGAAGAAAAGAAAAAAAATTGTAAAAGGAATTTATAGTGTTAATGGAGGATTTGTCGGCTTTATTGTAGGCCAAGGTAAACATAGAGGTTGAACATACTTCTTCCATATGCAAAGAGATGGTCTTCTGGTATTAATTGCAACCGCTTCAGCTACTGATAGAAGACGTAGTCGAGCTCCGCTAGATAAATTACTAGGAACGCGGTAAATAACTGAGGACGCCTGATCAACTGTAATCGGGTGTCCAGTATCTACCAAGTGGGCTAAGACTGCACTATTTACGCATTTGGTTACTCCTTACTCAACCATACAGGTACATGTTCACGCGCGCGCATGGATAAAGCCCTCTGAGTCCGGCCAATTTAACTAGCTCCACATGAGCAGTTGAATTCATAGATACACATTGATGAGGCCATCTCTGGTAATTTATCCTTGAGTTGCTGTGTGAGTACTGGTTTAGCTGAGAAGTTTAGTACCAGTTTAGCTGCAGGAAATGTTCTATCTATTGCTCTGTTAAGTCGACATTTTAGAATGTCAGCTGCAATTTCCCCTTTGTAACTTAAGATACAAAGGTTTGTTGTCTACGGTATCTACCTTTACCCTATCTGTAGGTACTGACATATACTTTTTTAGGAAGCTCTGTGGATATCCATTTTCTTGCAGTGTGAGTTTCAGTTTATGCATTTCTTCCTTGATGCATTCTTCTGAGCATATGCGTTTTATTCTGTAGCTAAGACACTTAACTAAGTTTCTTTTGTGCTGAATCGGTGTGAAGCTATGGAAATGGGTGTACTGACCCGCCCAGGGTTTTTTCTAAATAATTTCTTTTGTAGATATCCGTCTGTCCGACGTCTAGGAAAGGTAAACTGTTATTGTCTTCTTCTCCACATGTAAACTGAATAGTTGGGTGAACACTATTAACGGCATTCAGAAGCTCTTGTTTATTAAGATTTCTATCACAAACGATAAAGGTATCATCTACGTATCGACAACAATAGTCAAGCTCTTTAATCGTGTCTTTGAGTGGACCATTTTCAAGCTTTGCCAGGAAAATATCCGCTAGCAAAGGGCCCAGAGGTGATCGCATGGCTACGCCATCAACTTGTCTATAAAAACCATTATTGAACATAAACTGAACATTCACAGTGCATTTCAATAATAATTCTTTGACTTTTTCGGATGGGATTCCCACATCTATCTTTGTTTCTATCAGCTGGTCACATATGTAGTTGAGTGTTCCAGGCAGTAGGACGCTGGTGAATAATAATGCTACATCCAGTGACATCCTTTTCTTTCCCTTTACATTCAGGCTTTTGGTAGTCTCCACAAAGCTGAATACGTCTTTTACACTGAATTTCACTACTTCGCGATGTAGCGGTTCTAGTGCCTTTACCAACCACTCTGCTGTAGAATGATAAGGGGATTGGCACATATCTAAGATGAGACGTAGTGGTACTCCCGGCTTATGGACTTTCGGTAAACCATAAAGTCTTGGTGTGTGCGTACCTGAGGGTTTCAATTCGTCGAGTGTATCCTTAGGAATCAGATTACTCTCAACTAGTGATTTTAGTGTCTTAGCCATTTGGCGTTCGGTTGCCACCGTTGTGTCTTTACAACTGCTCAGCTTTTAAAATTTCGTATGGTCTCTTAGAATGATATTCATTTTGTCTAAATAATCACTCTTGTTCATGATAACTGTACCAGATTTTTTATCAGGTCTAGTTATTATCAGATTTTCGTTCCTTCTGAGGTCAAGTAATGCCTCTCGGTGTTTCTTTGTAAGTAGACTGTTGGCGGGATGTTTGCTGTTCTTAAACTGGTAGCAGGAATCGATTAGGATACTTTTAAATCTTTCTAGCTCATACTTGGACGAAGGAGTAAGGTCGCTTGTCTGAGCAAATAGGCTTTCAAACTGAACACCAGTCTCTAAATAATCAACCTGATTACGTCTGTCACAGAATATTAAACCGAGAGATAAGGCTTCAAGTTGTGTCTTATCTAAGCACACAGAAGAAAAATTGAAAACGTACCGGTTATAGTCAACTGGAAAATTAGTTTCAGTCGTTTCTGTATCTAGTTCTTTGGTTAATAATATCAATTTCTTGTTTTCTCGAGTTTTTAAAACTTCATTGACGTAGTCAACAAATAAATTTTTCAGCGTAAAGTCTTTGCAAAATATTTCTCTCTAGTTCAGATATATAAACTTGAAGGGATTCAATTTGATTAATCGTTCACCAATAGTTCTTTTAAGTTAGCATCACATCATCGTTATTATTTTACAATCATTTTTACTGTCGTTATTTTCAACCTTGAACTTATTTCTAGTCCACCCTATTCGTTGGTTTATTTTCTGTGGTATTCATATATATATATATATATATATATATATATATATATATATATATATATATATACTTGTTCTACAATACATTTCTGACATGATACTGATAATAAAACAATTACTCCCTTTGATAAATTTGAATAAGGCATTTAGAAGACAAATTTTGCGAGGTGACATCATTTCGTAGTTTCTTTACAACCTCTTTACAACTAACATGGTTAACAATAACAAAATAAAGATCATGACAATTACTCAGTTAAATAAAAAAAATAAAATGACCAATCATATCTAAATAGGTCAAGTGGTCCATGCTAGGCGAAGATTGAAGTCTATTGCTTTTTGTACACATAGTTTAGGATGCATGTGTTTAATCCAAAGTGATTCCATCACCTTTAATGACCTTGAATTTGAGTTATGTGAAATAATCGCAAAACAGTCATTACTACCGATTTCGTGACCTAACATTAATAAGTGTTTTGCACTGGATGATGCTAGATTTGTATTCAGGTTAATTGAATTTGGATTTTGTGTGTCTTAGTAACCATTTTGGAACATGTTCTTTTCGACGATATTGGAACATTCTATTGATTTTACCTATATGGATATCAACGCAGCTGCAGACGAACTTGTAGATACAGTTTGAAGTGAAAGTCCACAGAATTTCGTCCTTTAAGCGTAGGTAGACGGATCGAAATGATTGATACGATTGCCTTCACTGGCAACTGTATGCTTAAGTTAATGGATTCATAATTGTAGAACCTGAAGAATTTACTGAAAACAACTGTTCACTCTAACTATTTTGTTGCGAAATTAACCAAAATTTATATATATATATATATATATATATTGCGTGAAGTGTGATCAATACTTGACCTGAAACTTACAAATATTCGAATGTCACATTTTGATCACAATTCATGTTAATGTTACTAAGAATTTTACTTACATTGGTGTCATTTGCATATGTTGTACAAATTGCATTTAGTAACATTTCTAATGTTCGTTGACGTTTTTGTGCAAACACTGGTGATCTGAATGCAGCCTTTTCACCGTTGATTACTATTTATTAAGAGGGAAAATATGAGAAAGTAAAAAGGAAAGTGTAAAGAGTATTAATATGTGTAAAAAAAGTCAAATTACCTATTCCGTTAAACTTCATGTTAAAGTTTGCAACAACTAACCGTGTTGAATCAAGTATGTCTTTAAAAGGAAATAAAATATGTCTTTACAGACCCATAGTCTGTAAGTCAAGATATGTAATACTGTACGGTTTATAATGACCTTGTTTGACTAATTTACCTGCAAATGTGATGCGTAACGGTGTTCCCGTATCAACACGATTCTAGTGCCAAATACGATAACGTTAACTAAACTTCAGGTATCATCGAAGCCTATGAACTAGATGGCAGGTCAGCACAGACTGAGCATTTTAACACAGTGAAATCAAGGCAAAGGGGAAATTCAAAAGCTACAATTTCAATGAATAAGAAGACAGATATTATGAAGATAAATAGGGATAACTTTCAAACTGTTACTAGTTCAGTTTACACCGAAACAAAAAGGAAAGATTATTCAATTCAGTTCAGATTTTGCTGTCAACTGATTGGACCGAGGTGCTCAGTCTCAGGTTACTAGTCACAATCAATCAATTGACTTTAAGTTACATGACCTAGCATCATCAGTCCATCTGCACAAGGAGCTGACATGTCAACCTGAGACTGAGCACTTCGGTTCAGTCAATCGATGAGAAAATACAAATTGAATTAAATAACTAATAAGACCCGTTGCACAAGAGGCAGTGACGTTCATAGTCCAATTAACGTTTCGAACTATGGTCACTGGGTTCAAGCCTCAGTGGAAACACCATCACTGACTCACTGGGGGATGCATCCAGCTGACGAGTCCTGGATGAGAAGAAATGCGCCTTATTCTAAACTCTACCACTAGTCACCATCAACCAATTGGCTTCCAAAAAAGAAAGATGAGTGTAATTTTATAGGATGGATGGAATAAAAGGCACATATCTGGTGAAAATTATTAGTTTCATTGCTTCATCTACTGATACAAAATGTAACTAGGTCAAATGGAATAAAGCAGAATTTTCAAAAAAAGAGAAAAATTTAAATGATCATATTTTGAGGACATAATATAATTTTCTTCCTTCACATATAAATTAATGATACAAACTATGAAAATAAAACTGTGTTAAGAAAGAAGCATGGCATGAAATTCATTGGCCTAAATAATTTTCCAACTCAAATTTTCTATAAAATATAAAAATGCTGTTCCTGTATATATTTTTTTCTAATTTCTCTTTTAGCCTTAATAAAATGCGTCTAAAATGAAATAAACTTATTAGAAGGAGAAATTTATAATTTTATTAAATGGAAAATATTTTACAGCTCAATGCGATTTGCACCTATTTGATGATGTTGATAAAATTTTAGAAGAAAATCACACTGATATTTGCGTGATCGGTTTGCAAAGTGAAGCTCCTTGTGATACTGTTGCGCTAACAGACCGTGATTGATGTAGTGTGTGGTGGTGGTGATGATGGTGATGCTGGTTAAAGGTGAAATGAAGCTCTGACTGTTGACAGGATGCCACCAACCAGCAACCTCCGAATTTATATATTTTTTTTTATATTTGCGATTACAGCTTGATTCCACACTGTATTTTTGGTACAAGTATGGAATTTTCAGCATGGATATCGGTAGCCCAAATTTCGCAGGCCGACCATAGATACCAGGTGTGCGTCGGCAGGGGATCGAACCTCGGACCATGTGCATAGTCGGTGACAGTCCTAACCACTGTGCCACCGACGCACTGGTCGTGGTCTCTACAAGTAGTTGGATCTCATACCTCAGCTGGCTGAGTGCTTAACTAGCAATTCGTAGACCGCAGTGTTCTAAAAAGATATTTAAACTAAATAATATAAAGTGCCTAACAGAGAAACATCAGTATAATTCATAATTCAACTCAAGGAGACATATGATTTCAAAGGTCTGTGAATGTCAATTTAAACTGTTATGAATTAATATCGTACTGCCTAGGCACGTCGCTTAAGGTAATTGTCCCCACTTTATTTTACGTTATGTTTTGGTCATTCTAGAGATTTAAAAGAGGCTCCAAGGTAGGAATATATATATATATATATGACCAGTCACATTGTTCGTAATGTCATCATTTGTTCTGGAGTCTGCTGACAATATTTCATCTACTGAATTGACAGTATACTGCGAATCCTTAGTGAAACACCAATGAGACTAACCGTATCGCTTATTTATGATGTGAGACCTAACATACTTCGAGGTTATCTTTCCACGGGTTTCCGCTCTACACTATTCAACTTTCATGGGAATACAGCAGTGTATTTCCACGATATTCGTATTCTAATTTTAAAATATTTCAGAATAAAAGGTTTAAACAAAACTTGTATATTCTTACACTTCACTAAAAGGAATTCACGAAATTCTTGAGGATTCTTAAATTCTGGAGGATTATGAAGAGGTGGTCCAAAAAAGGGAACAGATTCTTCAGCAAATATATTTAATCTAAAAATGAAATCAAATTTTGCAGTTTATTTTGTTTAGCAAATGAAATCAGAACTACTTACCTGTAAACCTCAGCTTCTGAATCGAATGTAACAATCGCGAAAATATCTACAGATGAATTTAACGGTTTAATGGTTAAGGAAGATAGTCAAGTAGAAAAAGGGACGAATAAAAAAGGAAAAATTTCTATGAAGAACTTTGGTCGTGTTCTGGATAAAACTAAAACTCAATAGGTATTATTTATAAATAAATTCCATCCGAGATAAATCAATGAAACTGATAGAAAACTATGGAATGATGTTTTGCAGCGCTTCTGGATTTTTCTAAACTTCCTGAACAATTATCGAGTTCAGGGACTATGGCTAAGTCTTTTACAACAAAACTACTAAGTAGGAATGCAAGAATTTTCAGATACTGGTGTCAGTTCTTATAGAACACTGTCCAAAGTCACAGTAAAGTCAGTCTCATTTATTCATGACAATAAATGCCTATGTATTTCAGTGCACGTACTGAATCAGCGGGTTTAGATTTCATGTATGTATGTGTGTATGTATGTATGTTAGCTTGACACATTAACCCAGCCTACTCAAATAAGCATCGTCAGAGATTGTAGTCATAGTTGTTATTACAAACATCACTATTGTTTAATCCATTCTATTCCGTTCTTCAGTATGCTATAAATAAAATATATGAATCTTCGCTCTAACAGTTGAGAATTTCTGAAGAGCATTGAAAAAAATGCTCTGTTTGTCTTTAATATTCGGTTTCAATTATCAAATAAAGTCAAGTGTAGGGTTCACTTTGTCGATGCAGACGATTTCCACTTCAAAATTTTACTAGAAAACTACCGTATTGATACGTTTTTTTATCTGGATATAGCAAATATATAAATCCCTTATAGCATATATTGTCAGATTTCTTCTGAATTAAACTAGAAAATAGTCCATTAGAAAAGTTAATCGAAAAAATTGTGCTTTATTTGCAGTATATAGACGATAAAACCATGCCTTGTGACGAAGACTTATTCTCGAGAATAGCTGAACTCAACAGGCTATATCAAGCAAGAAGAAAACTGCCTTCTTGGCTGTCATTCTCACAAGAATATCCTCTGGTAAAATAAGAAATAATGTACATTAGAAAAGTAAATAGACAGGACAATTTACATGTTTCTTCACTTCTGTGCATGATACCCTAAATAAAAACAGCTATCCACAGAAGTTCATAAGAAAGCACGTGGCAACGAAAGCCTCACATAAATGTTCTGTATATGGTAGCCAGAAGCTACTCTATATGAGGCTGCAGTTTAGAAGTGAAATACTACACATAGATGTTATCGATAAGTTAAGAAAATCAATTTAGAGAACTTTTAACGCCGGTGAATTGCAGATCATGTTTTCTATATGCTCCTATGATGAAGTTACTGAAAAGAATATTCTTTATTTAGTAATCAATGGTTTAAGATATATATTTATATATTCATTAATTATCCTGAGAAAAAGCAGGCACTGTATATGATTTATGCCAACCTAGTGATTTCAGTGAATTAACTTACTGAGCTGAATAATTCTATGTGCAGTTTGGACGAAGTCTATTTCAAATGAGCTTGGAGACCGTTATCTAATAGGATAAATTAGACTTATCAAGAATCAAGTCAACAGTTTTGTTTTATCGTGTAAATTTACTTCATATTTATAAAAAATACGGAAGTCCAAAGACTTAATACTAATCTTTGACCCGTTTTCAGCACTGCCTTGTTGATATGAAGATGATTAGTTCACTTATATTTATTGGAAGCATAGTCAACTGCCCGTTGGCTTAAGTGTAGTTTGCTTTCAGTGAAGGAGTTTTATCTTAAATACATGAAGTTCATTGTAACTAAAGTCTAACATCCACCAGTATATCTTAGTCATTCGCCAATACAGCCTTAACTTGGAGGTACCAAACAAACAAATGATGACACAAAAGCAGAGACTCGGACGATATTAGACATTAGATATTTCTGTTTTCTTCAACTATTTCATTACAGACAGCAATGAACACAAGCGAGTGTTATTTTGCTAGCTGTTGGTAGAGTACACATTACTGGAATCAATTTCAAGAGCGGTAAATATCTGACACTACACTCCATTAATTTTTAGCAACTTACACAATCACAATTGTGACATTGTTTTCGTAAAAATGTTATTTATCACTAAGTCACTATAGATGCATAAAAAGAGAGAATTAGCTGATAACAGCGTTTATCACTAACTATAATTTCTCAGACAATTACAGGTAAACTATTTAAATTAAAGTTTTTGCAGTTCAAACAGAAAATTAAAACACATATTAGTTATGTGAACTTGAAAACAATCAGGAAATATTAGCTAATTATTCATTATCAATAGAAGACGTTATAAGATGCTGAAAACTGTTTAGAATCTACCTATTTTACCTTTAAAGACAAACTACACTGTCAGACAAATAGAGTTGCAATACGGTCACCAGCATCTCCAGTTGTAGCAAATCTATATATGAAAGCTCTAGAAAGAAAAGCACTGGCAAGTTTTAGTCGTCATTTTAGAATATTGTAAACATAGGTAGATGAAACATTTACCATCATGAAGAAAGCTGAAAAAGAAAACTTTCTAACACAGATTAACTTAATCTCAGAATATACAGAGTTTACTAATGAAGTTGTGCGTCGGTGGCACAATGGTCAGGACGCTCACCGAGCATGTACATGGTCCGGGGTTGGACCCTCTACCGACGCTCTATTTTACCTCGCTAAGACAGAAATAATGCTGGTAAAGAGGAAACGTTGGGCGTGAAGCTAGCAACTTCATCCTGTAAAATTAAACACTGATACAGAAACTTCAAGCCACTAGCTTGAGGCCCTATGTTCCACCGGGGAACGTGAAGGAAATAAAAAACTAATGAAGTAGAATCGGCTGAGGGAACTCTAAACTTTCTTGATTGTCTTGTAGAAAAGACAAACTGATGAGAAACGAAAATTCACAATTTACAGGAAGCCAATACATTCCAACAAATATCTGAGTTTCCAATCAGATCATCCAATAAGAATGAAAGTCTCAGTAGCTTTAAATTTCGTTAACAATGCTAGAAACACAATAACAGATAATGACGATGTGGAGAACGAGATCTCCACTATAAAAAATTCTGATTGGAAATGGTTATCCGAAAAGCTGCTAAATAATATTATCAATAGAAAGGAGCAGAAGGGAAAACAGAAAATTGAAAGTCGAAAGGATACAGCTGAACAACTTCAAAGAGTACTTGCTTCACATAATATTAAAGTCTATTTCAAGCCGTCTAACTCTTTAGAAAAAGCCTTGGTGAATGTCAAAGATATGGTTTCCAAAATGTCAAAAAAACGCCGAAAATACCCACTGATTAATGAAGAAAATGAAAGACAAATTTAGCGAAGACTATTTTTCTCTATCGAAGAAATCATCTTCAGAGGCTGTACACAGCCGTATTTATGTTTACCAAAAATGTATAGTAATCTATTATTAAGTAATAGAGGGTGACATAATCGATATAATTACTCAGAAGTGGCTTTAGAAAAAAAATTAAAAAAAAAGGTAAATTACGTAGTACTAAACGGCACAAAGGAAGAAATCTGATAAGATTAAAATCGCTATTGAGTGAGAATAAAGGTAGTTGAGTGTCAGTCTAACAAGTATGAAGAGAGTGTGAAAATGTACAAAAGGAACAGGTTAGAGTGATAATAGTGAATTAATTAATAAAGTAAAAAAACTAAAAGTAAAATTTAAAATTTAAAACAAATTAAAATTTCTTACAGGGCACGACTAGTGAAGAGGTTTAGACCAAGGTAAAATAAGAGGCTGGAAAAACTTTTTCTGTATACAGAATTCGGGCTTGTAATGACGAATCGCCAGCGCCTCCGCCATACACAAAAGTCGAAGTCTGACTACCTTTTGACCTAACCTTGTAGATAATTTTGAAAGACGATTCTGGTGGAGCTGCGTGTCCTGAGAATCGAGCTAGTAATTGTTTTGCATTATCCCTTTGCTAACCATGCCGGATAATGTCCAGGGATGAGTTTGCAGAGTGTGCGCTTTGTGAGGCCAGCATAACTGGCTCCACACGAGCAGGTGAATTTATAAACACACATTGAAGTGTCCTTCATACATCCATTGATAATTTGTCGGCTGTAGAAATTGATCCTTATTTCAGCCATGAAGAAGGCTTTCCTCAGTGATCTGCATAAGCAGCGGTTCTTCAGAATCTCAGCCGCGGTATCACCTTTAAATTCAACGTTCATAAATAGCAGTTTTTCTGGCACCGTCTGGGTTCTTTTGGGCTTTTGCTTTAACTTCATGTTTTTCTCGATGAATCTTGGAGGATATCCATTCTCTGTAAGGACTTGTCTGAGGCTCTTCAGTTCCCCGTCGATTGTATTACTGGAACATATCCTTCTTATTCTTGAGGATAGGGAGTAGATCGGTTTTCTCTTTCTTCTCAAAGGGACCCAACTGTAAAAATCCATGTACTGACTATTTCATGTTGGTTTCCTGTAGATAGATTTTTGAAGAGAACCATCAGATCACCTTTTTAGAAAAACATCCAGAAAATGGACTTTTGAGTTCACCTCTGATCCCGACGTGAGTTGGATGGCATGATGGTAGCTGCTGAACTCTTTAGTTATCATTTCGACGTCGTCATTCTCGTCGCATATGATGAAAGTATCGTCTATGTATCTTCGGTACAAATGGAAACTATCGATAGTAGGCCATAACATACTATTCTTCAAAATTTCCAAAAGCAGTCTGCAGGTAAAGGACCCAATAATATCCCCATTGCCACTCCATCTCTGTGTCTATATTGCGTGTTGTTGAACTTGAATCGGACATTTAAAGTGCACCTCAGCAGTAGTTCTTTTAAGCAGTGGATCGACTGTACAGCCTCTGAAGGTGACTTCGTCGATATAGAAAATTTTCTTCGCTGAATTTGTCTTTTATTTTCTTCGTGTCATCAAACAAAAGTGTCTATAGGATAAAGTGTTCAAAATGTGAAGGTTGCTGTATATGGTAAAGCAGTAAACAGGTGAAGGTCAGAGTGAATGAACATTGACTGTGCAAGAAACGTCCACCTAGAAATGATGTAGAATTAAATCCATTATAGATAAGATTTTATTTTGATAAAATCACACAGTGCAGTGTTATACAGTAATATTATTAACTGATGACGTTTCAAGCACAAACTATTGCTCATAATCATAATCAACTTGAAATGATTATGAGTTCCATGTTGAAACTCAGTCAGCCAGCTTTGTCACTGCAGCTGCTTAGTGTCACAACTCACTACGGCGTTAACTGACTTAGACAATTATTGCTGTTTCCTAAGTACTTTATGCATTTCCCAATTCCTTAAATTTTCCAGATAACGTGAACCAAAGAAGAAAACACAAACCAAAAGTCAGTAATACGGACATAAGAAATAGTGTGAATAGAAGTGAATGAGATGAGTGATTTTTTATGCCTGTGGTACGCTTAACTAAAATACTCGTGTGTATCAATGAAGCAAAAAGTTATGTGAGTGACTTGATATAATCATGAGCAATAATTTGTGCTCGAAACGTCACCAGTCAATATTAATTTACAACACTGTGTGAATTATCAAAATAAAATCTTATCCATAATGGAGTTATGATCTACCACAGTGACCAAGTTTTATACTTATATCGAGTAGAATTAAAGTCTAGAAAAAAGATCAGCTCTAGCAATGCATGCTATAGACAACGGTCGTAAGACTGATTTTGACAATGTCGAATAGCTAGGAAGACGCTTTCATTACATAAAGAAAGACATCTCTGTAGTCTTTCACATTTTAACCATATCGAATACAGTAAATAGAAGGGAAGGGATAGACTTATCCCCTATATGGCAGACTCTAATGAAGCAAAACAGATGAGGGAAAGAAAAACAAAAAAATTCAATCCTACATGACCACGGTGAAATATCATGTTTCGAGGTGTTTCCCATACAACAAACAACATACACACTCACACATCGGTACAGGCAAATATTCACATATGATAATTTGACATTAGTCATTAGATATATGTGATGACTGTTTACATTTTTCTATTGGTATAAACGTCTGTCGACAGTTTACCTGCAAAGGAACTGACTTCATTTTATGCAATCTTGGACTATATATTTTGATGGTTGATCGAATCCGAATAATTCTGCTGAAGAAGCTGTGGCTTACACAGAGAGACGTTCAGAAAAATCTAATTCCGAGTTTTACTTCAACACGGTGAGATTATTTTAAATAGTTTATAACGATTCAATCTGACTCGGCGATCAAACTATTCCAGAAAATTCGTAACATTTACGATCTGAAAACTCCTAATATATTAGTTAAGTTCGTCTGAAGCAACAACACTTTGACGGGAATGTGATAGCTAAAAATGTGTATATCTGAAGGCAAGGGAATAAGTAGCTGGTAGTTATTTCTGTTTTTTATTATCATTCCATTGATTTTCTAGTGTAACGTGTGTCTTCAGCAGCACACCTCCGTTTCCTCCTGTTCTCTCCAGTTGTCTGCCCATAAGTTTTCGTTTTCCCCACACACAACCTCCTCCATGTCACCCTCAGACGCCGAACTTGGTGTTTTCTATTCGGATTTTTATTTCGATGATTTCACGCGTTAGTTCCGTTTAAAATCGTCTAGCTGAAATATTTAGAGGATGCAATTCAAATTGATATTAATGATGAGAGTAAATCCAAGCGTTATTACCAACCTATTTTGGAAAGCATACCGTTTATTACATACCAGTCGTTGTCGTTTTTACATGAAGTTCGGTTGTAACAACTATTTCCGTTCAATTACTTCGAGTTCAGTGTGATGATGCTACTAAAGTATGATAATATACAATGGTTCCAAGTTATGTCAGGGTTGCAGATATTTAATTTCTGTTTTATTTAGTGTATGTATTATGTTTTAATATTAGAGGAAACACTACCGGCTTTAATTTTGTCCATTAAGGCGAAATGAAATAAATTAGTCAACTGGTTGGTGATGACTACCAGTGGAATCCAGGATAACGCGCATTTTCTCCTATTTAAGACTTACCAGTTGGATGTACTTGCATTCCCCAATCAGTCACGGATGGTGTTCCCGCCCAGGCTCGAGCCCACTGCCCATAGTTTCAAACTCCCACTAGACCACTTGAATCATAACAGCCACTGCCTATTGTACAACGGGTCTTATTAATTAATTCACTTTTAGATTTTGCTGTCGATTAATTGGACCGAGGTGTTCAGTCTCAGGTTACTAGTCACGATCAATCAATTGACTTCAAGTTACATGACCTAGCATCATCAGTCCATCTGCACAAGGAGCTGACATGTCAACCTGAGACTGAGCACTTCGGTTCAATCAATATACGAGAAAATCTAAATTTAATTAAATAAAATAAATTAGATTGGAACTTTTGGCATGCTCTACTAATACGATCTCCCTTAAAAATGTTACACTGAAGCTGGTGACATATACATTGAAAAATTTCAGTTTGCTTTCAGTATAGTCTGCTTTGTAAAAGTCTGTTAATTTGCATGAATGCAAAGCAAAAATCATTTCAGACTTTTTTAAATTTTTTTCTGGATAAGTCGAAAAGCTTATGAATTTCTTGCGTTGATTACTGCTGGAAAATTGTAGGGGGAATTTTTTAGTCAAAGTTGCAATGCAATAGACTATTCAGACTATACCCTACAAAAATTTCTAGTAGAACATACCGCTAAATATAAAGTCTAACATACTTTACTGCACCAGTTTGAAGACTTTAGATTCCCTTGCGAGTTCCTCACACGTATATGCACAGTAAAAGTCTCTGGAAGCTCCCATGAGAAATTCGCCACTCAGAAAATTAAAATTAAATGAGTTATGACCGATATAGAAGTAAAACCAACTGAAGGTTTGTCGATAGACGTAGTGACCTCATTACTGTACATGGATCAATAATAATATACACAAAAAACATATGAGCTCTACTTCGTTACGAAAAGTGATGAGAACGACGCCTGGTGGATGGTGGAAGTTGCTTAGATAGCATTTTTACGATCAAAGGTCAACACACAACATTAAGAGCATCTGCTAAATGAACCGTAAATATTTGCCACAATCCGTAAGATTATTTAGTTAGATTTTTCTGCTTGCAGAGATGACTATTTAGAATTGAATTTATAGAACCGATTCTTTGGTTTACAACTCAAATAGGTAAGTAAAAACATGAATTATGCGTAATTTAAGTTTAATTGATTGGTAAAAGTACAGTGAACTATTCCAGTCCCTTAAATATTTATGTTCACTTGTCAGTCAGTTTAAGACACATTAACCTCTGCCTCTTGACGTTGTTCAGTAAATCACATAAAGTAATATAAGCAGGCAATCTCCTGTTTTCTAGAACAGCTTAGAAGAACAAAGCTATGTTGTTTGTGTACAGCTGATTAGATACACGTCTACTACACTGTTAATACTTCTACTGGGGTTTGAAAACGGCATTTAGCTCTCTGAAAATTGTAATAAGTAGCTCTCTGAGTGGTTCTGAGGTGAGCTTTTGGTAAATCGTAGATATTGCTGACGCTCACACAACAATAGAACAACGAAACTTATCTGGCCGCCATATTGTGACATCTGTTTCAATGTTCATAAGTCAACGAAAACCGACTAGTACAAATCAATGAGACTGAAAATTATATATTACAAAATTCTAAAAAATAAGTAAAATTTTGTTGACTTGATTGGATTTTTGTAGATTGTTAATTGAATCACTCCAGTACTTGTAGTATGAACATATCAAAGGATACGAGTAAAATGTGTCCTCATCATGGAGGGAGTCCATGATGGTTGTTGTCCTGGTGGGCACCCATCGACGAATATAATATTGACTATATCATTGCCAACATGTCGTTTTCTTTCAATCTGAAGAGATAAGAAGTTGAGTGAAGCAAAGTTTTGAAGGAAAAACAAAATCATAGAACACTTGTTAAAATAATATCACACTTATGAATCCCTATCTAGCAAGTAACTGATATAGAACAGTGGTGAATAGTTGACTTTTATACCATACTTTGTACTGCAATGGCTAAGCGGTAAGATGCTTGCCGGTCATGCCTGTAGTCCGGATTTCGATTCCTGGCCGGCGCACATCTTGACCTCCCCTAACCAGTTGTAAGCCCGACATAGATAGGGTAGGTTGGGCGTGAGGCTAGCAACCCACCCCATAAAAACCACCACAGCCACTGAAACTTCCTAGCTCAAGCATGAAGCCCCGCAAAGGAATAAGAAAATATATCATATTTTGTAAGAAGGAATATATATGCAACTTTGCATCTATTGGTACAAATTTATAAACTGTCTAGCTCATATTTTTGTTAGTAAATTAAGAAATACTGACTCTAGAAAACGTGTCACATTGTGCTTATTAATGACTGGCTGTTTCAAACTCAGATATCAGTTCAGCCAACAAGTGTATCAGTAATACAGTTTTCTGTTAGCGATGATTATCATCTGACCATATTCTCTGTCATTGTGACCTATAGACTGCTTAGTATCACTCAGGTTGAGTCATACCCTTGAAGTAATGATTCACTTACTATACTTAAATACAAGGAAAACTAACAGCGATAGCATGTTTAACTGTAATCCTTAGCTATCAAATAAGAATCAGATTTTTTTATTGAACTTTAATGATGAGGCAAATGTTTACCGATAATAAAAAATGATTGTAACTCGATAATTAGAGTTAACAGAAATAAATTCCAGTTGTTTGATAGGAGACTGCTAATTCAGATGTTTTGAGGCTTATCGATAATCACAATTAAGAGGTTAAAAGCCAGTTTAAAACTACTATGATGTTGACCACTTCACTCTTAGTGTATATATATATATATATATATATACCTCGTCTCTAATATAAAATTTACTTAATGGAATCATATATCCTAAATCACTGTTACAAACAGGGATTCTGTCTAATTTTAGTATAGTTTTTTTATTTACTGTCTATGCTATTTAGAGTAGGATGAGAACACAGTTCAAACATTTTAACTAAGCGCTTCAAAATCTAGGTTAGCATTCAAAGATCTGAAGCATATTCATCTTGTTGAAGTAGGCTTTAGCTTTCACTTGAACTATTCACAATCTTTTAAATTATTTTACTTATTATTATTATCATCAACGTCATTATCATTCTAAAAAATACGATGACTTAATTAGGTCAAGATAGATATTATCTTTATGACTATGATTATTATGATAAAGAAAGCGAACAAAAACGAGAGAAAAAAACATTTAAAAAACACACAAAAGGAGACCGTAAACTCAATGAGATTCGATTTAGTAACTTTCAGTCTTATCTATTCTGTTTGTTTATTTTTCTTTTTTAATTCATTTTATGCATAACAGAATATTCTATCATTTCTATCATAGGTTAGTGTTGACCTAACTAACATCCTTCCCATTTAAAAATATCAATAATAAATCGCTTTTATTTATTGAAGTGGAAATGTGTATTTTTGAAGAGAAATATAAGGAAATGGGGATGCATTATCTCTTTTTTTCTTTCTGTTCTATATGATTAAAAGCTCTAGAAATGTATACGCCGATTTTAATATTATTATTGGTATTAATATTATTAGCAGCAGCCATAAAGACTGTGAGTACAATAGAAGGTTTATAATTTAGCCGCATAGCACGTGTCTTCTGAGTTTTAGGCATACTCTCTGTAAATCAAAGAAAAAAGAAGTCTATATATATATGAGAGGGTTTGAATAACATGAATAAACATCCAGTCAGATAAAAATTAGTTTTATTCGAAGCCAGGATAGATCTAATCACCAATCCATATCACTTAGAGAGCTGTAGATATCTGTTTCAAATTGGATTAAGACATTTAATAGTTATGCAACTACACTACTGTGAGACATGGAACCATAACCAGCAGGGTGATAGAACCATTAGGTGTGTTTGATTCACAAGTCGTTTTGAAATGCAGTTACCAATGAATTTTAAATTATTATTACAAGAACTTAATCTACCAGCAGTGTTTCGTTTCTTTTTTCCAATATTCCAAGAAATAAATTATTAATTCAAGCTCTACTTTGAAAATCTACATTCAGTCTGCAAAATTCATTTTTGAGGTATTCGCTTTATTTGAATTTACTTAAAATTGAAGGGCCCTAAGAATTGGGAAACGATACTTTTCAGCACAATCCACTGGTTTCCCGAAGTCTCTCAAAATCCTCTGAAGGGATTAGTGAATTCACTTGCATTTACTAAAGATCCAAACATGTCGGTATAACTGATGTAGTAATTGTGATGAACTTCAAATCTACGCTACATCAGAAAGTTGTATTTCAATGTTTGTTTTTACTGTGGTCAATCACTTATCAACAAATACTTCATTACATGATAATAATTGGCCATATACTGGTCAGTGTACTCATTGTTTCCAGCTTCGTGCCTTTGAAAAAGAAACGGAATCTAATAAAGCGCTTGGTTCACAGAGCAAATTAATCTACTGTGGTAAATGTTTAAATGAAGAGCTTAATATTATTAAACAGATGCTGAGTGAGAACAGTTACCCTGAAAAATTCATCCATAAGAATATGAATCAAAATTCAAGGCGGGCAGGCCAAAGTACCGGCAGTTCCGAAAAAGGCCTTATACTTACGACTTCACTTCCTCGAAAATAACATCAATGAGATATTAAACGATGCCTAAGGAATCAGGTGAGAAAAAGAGCATTCAATTCTGCTGTCTCCAAAACCAAACCTATTTGACTTTCGGGAGTTAAAGATAAATTGCCTGATATTCGTCTCTTCTATGTGCATCTACCAATTTGACTGCTCCTGTGGAGTGGGCCAGTTACACAGGCCGTACAATAGGCATGCTTATCATCAGATTTCCAAACCCCAGCCTGCATGGTGGTTAAGTAATGGACAAACAAAATCCATGCGCAGCCGTATTCTATCTCATCTCGTGGATACAGAACACAAGATTGATATTAACAAGGCCACTTTCAACGTCATCCACCGTATACCAACTAATCTTAACTTTACCTTCTTGAGAGTTCGTGTACTACATATTTCTGATGCTGGCTTTTGGGATCTACATTAAGAAACCTAAGTTATGATGTATCCAAAAGAAGTTGGTTCAAACATTGCTCTTATCCCGTTGGTCATCAAGGCTTTAATGACCCTTATTTTATTTGATATTCTACTTACTATTCCATTTTTGTGCTTATTATTATAACTTATGCATCTTTCATACATTTATTACTTATTATTGTGACTTGAGCTGTGGTAATTCTATTGTGACCTGAACAAATCGATATTATTTAGAGAAAAGACACCACTATTTTCACTGGACACTAGTAACTAGTGTGACACGTCTAGTCCCATCTTTGGTGTAGACTGAATTCTATCAGTCAGGTTTGTAATGTGGCCACCCTTCTAGGTAGCTCGCCATCACGATTATTCTAGAATATTACATATATATATATAAATATATATATATATATATATATATGTAATTGCAGAGCGGAAAGAGGAAATTATCGGAAAGGGTATTGTTTGCCCAATGTTTTTTGAAAATATCTGAATGAATATTTTCGCCATATTACTTCAATATTGAAAAATAACTTGAAAAATTTCCACAGTCTAATATTTGTTCAAGAATATATTACCCTAGTGAATAGGTGCATTCTTATGGCGTCGGATTATTGTTATTCGTAATACATTAATAGACTTCCAAAATAAAGTTAACTGAAGCAGAGAATCGAGTCGAGAGTGAGATATCATTTTGTTAAATAATAGTAACTTTCTGATATACATACATGTGCTCCGTAGCAATGCTTATTTTATTCCTATTAATTACTAACAAGTTCGCTACAGAACATTGAGATTTAGTTTAGCACAGATAAAAGGGAATGAAAATAAGCTAATCAAGCTTCTTGCCATAACAGCTGTCTCCACTTGCGATTTGCCTGATTTACCCTCTGAATATAGTTGTAATAGTAGTATCATTTTCTGAGAAATACACTTCATTGCTTTTACACTATAATACTGTGCGAAAGTGATATGTTGAGCGGAGAGTTCTGTGACCTACATTAAAATGAACTTGTACGCCGTCATCCATTATTATTATTATTGTATCCTTTAGTTCCTAGAGGAACATAGGGCTTCAGCTGCGCACCTCCATTGACTTCGGTTTTCTGACAACTTTTTCACCCTGCTCCAGGTCTGTCCACATGCTTTCATCTCCTCCTCGCATGACCTCCTCCAAGTCACCCTTGGACGACCAACTCGCCGCCTCCCTTTCGGGTTCCACTCGAGGGCTTGTCTAGTGATGTCACTTGATGGTTTCCTCAGCGTATGGCCAATCCATCTCCATTTCTTTCTGCCTATTTGTTTCACAATCGGTTCCTGATTGGTTCGCTCCCAGAGATCCCTGTTGCTGATCTTTTCTGGCCATCTGATCTTGAGTATTGAGCGGAGACAGTTGTTAATGAAGGTTTGAAGTTTGTTTGAGATGCTCTTTATGACTCGCCAAGTCTCTGATCCGTATAGTAGCACTGACTTCACATTGGAGTTGAAAATCCGGATCTTATTTTTGATGCTGAGTGCTGTTGACCTCCACACAGATTTGAGAGTAATGAAAGCTTGTCTTGCTTTTCCGATTCTGGCTTTGATGTCCTCGTCAGTTCCGCCTGTAGTTGAGACGATGCTTCCCAGGTAGGTGAAGGAGGTTGTTTCTTTCAGGTTCTTCCCATTTATGCTTATTGTTGTCTGTTGTTGTTGATGTTGGCTAGGAATCTTCATTATCTCTGTTTTATCTATGTTCACGTGAAGTCCTATCTTTGATGCTTCTTCTGCCAACTTGTTACTTTTCACTTGCATATCTTCCAGTTTATGGGAAATCAGACATATATCATCGGCGAAATCCAGATCCTCCAAGTCTTTTGTGTCAGTCCATTTTATGCCTGTTCCCTCGTTGGTTGCCGTTGTCTGTCGCATTATCCAATCAATTGCAATCAGGAAGATCATTGGTGATAGTAGACAGCCTTGCCTCACTCCCGTCCTCACTTCGAAGGCTTCCGTAAGTTTCCCGTTGTGGATTACTTGGCATGCAGCATTGTCGTATAACTGTTGGATGAGGTGTATAATTGTCGATGGGACCCCGTAGTAGCGAAGTAGTTTCCAAATGACCTCTCGATCGACGCTGTCGAAGGCCTTTTCAAAGTCGATGAAGTTGAGATAGAGAGGTGACTGCCATTCCAAGCTTTGTTCAATGATGATCCGTAGAGTGGCGATTTGATCAATACATGATTTGTTTCTCCTGAATCCAGCCTGTTCCGGACGAAGTTTTTCATCTAGGGCTTGTTTGATTCTCTCCAGGATGATGCGACTTAGTATCTTGCTTGGAATGGACAGAAGCATAATTCCACGCCAGTTTTTACATTGACTTAAGTCTCCTTTCTTTGGAAGTTTGAATAAGTATCCGTTCTTCCAATCCTCGGGTACTTTGCCCTCTTTCCACACCTTCTCCAGTAGTGGTGTCATCAAGTCCGCTGTTGTCTCTGGGTCTATTTTCAAAGCCTCTGCTGGGATTCCATCTGGTCCCGGTGTTTTCCCAGCTTTTAGCATCTTGATTGCATTCAGGACTTCTGATTTCGTCGGGGGGTCAGTGTTCACTGGTAGTTCTGCTTCCGTTGTTGGTATTGCTGGACGTGTTGTAGGTGGCGGACGATTTAGAAGTCTTTTGAAGTGTTCAACCCAGTGCTTTCTCTGTTCCACCTCTTTGGTGATTGACTTTCCATTGTCGTCCTTTATTGGCTTAATCTGTGTCGAACGTTTGCCCGAAAGGTTCCTAGTTGTTTGGTAGAGTGTGGCGAGGTCTCCTTTGCCTGCAGCTTGTTCTGCTTCGTTTGCCATGGTTTCATAATATTTTCTTTTGTCTTCCCTGGCACTTTTCTTCACTCTTTTGTTCAGTGTATTGTAGCTTGCATTCAGCTCCTGTTTTTGTTGCTCGTCAGTGCACTGGATAATCTTTTGCTTCACTGTCCTTCTCTCTTCTATTAGTTTCCAAGTGTCCGTAGTGAGCCACTGTTTGTCCTGTCTCTTTTTTCTGCCTAGAATTTCTATGCAGGTTTGGCTCCACACCGTTTTCAAGTTGTTCCAGTGCTTTTCGACGCTGACCTTTCGCTGGTGTTGATTTGTGTCTCGGCTTTGTCCTTTATGCTTGCAATGAAGATGTCCTTTGTAGCCTGGTCCTTCAGCTTTTGAGTGTTGAACTTGGCTTGTGGTCTATCTGCAGCTCCTGATTCCCTGAAAGCTTTTAATTTGATTTGGATTGTCCCTTGTACGAGATAGTGGTCTGAGCCAACGTCTGCTCCTCTTCTTGCTTTTGTGTCCAGTAGGCTGCGCCTCCACTTCCTTGAGATTGAGATGAAGTCGATTTGGTTTTTGGTTTGCCCGTCTGGTGACACCCATGTAGCCTTGTGGATATCTTTGTGCTTGTATACACTGCCACCAATCACCAGTTCGTTGAAGGCGCAGAAGTCGGCGAAGAGTTCTCCGTTTTCATTCATTTCTCCTAGAGCTTCTCTACCCATGATGAGTTCCCTTCCTGTATTGTCTGGTCCCAGTTTGGCGTTCATGTCTCCCATTAGTATTTTCATGTCGCCAGCTGGAGTATTGTCCATTGTTGCCTGTAGTTGCCTGTAGAATTCTTCTTTCTTTTCGAGGTCTGCGTTGTTTGTGGGTGCATAACATTGTATGATTGACACTTTCCTTCCTTTGGAGTTGAACCTGGCGGTCATTATCCTGGACGAAATCGCCTCCCATTGTATCAGGGCTTTCGTTGCCGTTGGTGACATCATGATAGCCACGCCCTCGGTGTGCGTGTGGTTATCTTCTGGGTGACCGGAGTAGATCACTGACTCACCCGTTGACAATTTGGTGAGTCCACTCCCATTCCATCACGCCTGAGAAAGGAATGATTACATTAAGTTAAAGTTTAGAGAGAAGCGACTTTTTGGGTTGCTCCCCTCAAAATCATCCATACACACTGCAAACTTGACTTACAGAATTCAGTCTGCAACAAAGATAGGACTAGATACATTACACCAATTACTGACTAGTGTCCAGTCAAAAATATTGATAATATTAATTTTATTACAGGTAAGCCTTAGACAGCCACAATAATTTCATACTGATTTATGTTTAAGACGTTTTCAGTTGGACAGACATAAGACTTTTGAATGTAATTATAACTGGATGGAAATACACACATACAAAAGAATTGAATTACCTGTTGTCGATTCTCTGTTGAGTAAGGTAATAAGGTGGACACATGGAACATGATTTCATGACCTTCATATATTGTATATACTGAATCAATGCCAGTTGTATTTGCTGAAATAATGAACATTAGACGAAATCACTACTGACAATCATAGATCATTGTTTCGTTAATTATATTACAATATTCCACTATACTGCTATTTTCGTAATAAATCAAAGTTTTTAAAGTTTTTAAGTGATGTTTGAATCACTCTACTGTGTGATTCTATAGTATTCATTTCAGACTTTAAAAACTTAACAAGCCAACAGAAACTGGTGTTTTTGAACGATGTTTTCAATGATTTTTCATGTGGGGATTTGGAATACGCGTTAGCGTTTAGTCTTATAAAACGAATCTGTACAAGACTTTCAACTTCAAAAGTGTGCATAACCATTACTACTGTAAAGTAAAGAAGGAAATTGGTGTATTAGAAAACAATTCTGTTATCATTTAACTGTTAAGAATTTCAGCTTAATGAACAGCAGGGAAGTTCTGTTCTGTTGCCTGTAACCATTATCTGACTTTTTGATTTTACATAACCTGATGCATAATCTCTCATTATTTCTCTCACTAATTATCTTGTCCAAAGGCATTAATTACCCTGCTTGTTTTACATTCATTCAGCCCTGCATTGCACCATCAGACATGTGAAATCAATAGGTAAGAATACTTTTCAAAATACTATACACATGTGTCACTTAGATTTGCTTTCTGTTTACCCAACATTCTTTTTAAGAATTTACAAGAAAAATTGTAATTACTTGCATATATTTTTTAAACTTCATGTTAGTTACCTCTCGAACCTCCTAAGACCTTATGTGTGTTGAGTAATAATCAACAACAACAAAACTACATAGAACAGTATGTAGTCATTAACAAGCTAAAAAACTTTAAAAGATAGATTACTGAACATACCTTTGCATGGACAAATAGTGAAACATAGGGTCAAAAAAGTTTTTGAGTTCGTAGACAAAATCGGAGATATTAAAATCAGGGATAAAACCATGGTATCTTTAGACATAACATCTTTATACACAAATGTACCTCTACTATAAAAACGGTTAACTACATATGTGAACAAGTGTACAACAAGTCGATAAATATTGGCATCCCAGCAGATATCCTAAAAGAATTTTTATTAAGGTGTACCATGAATGTAAGTTTCAAATTTCATGGCGCACTTTACAAACAAGTGGACGATGTGGCGATGGGCTCCTCATCGGGTCCCATATAAGCAGATTTCTTTCTAAGTAAACTGGAAAATAGAACTTCCAACAACCTTATTAGAAAATTCTTATTTTGTTTCCGGTATATGAGTGACAACTTTATTCTTTGTGATAATAGTTCGGACAGGAACACTGTAATAACTCAATTCAATGAATTACATTCTGCTATGGAATTCACGTGTGAAGAGGAGTCCTAAAATTGAATTTTGGCTTTCCTAAATGTCCTCCTAACAGGAAATTCGGATGGTAGTACAAAGAGAAATTTGCATAGGAAAAGCACAGACACAGAACAATATACACACTTTTCATATCTTTGTTCCTCTTGAGTACAAAATAAATTTGGTGAGGACCCTCAGCTACAGGGTTAGAACTATATGCTCAGAAGAGATGGTTGAATATGAACTAAAGATTGTATATGATACCTTGATCGAAAATCGCTACCCAGACAAATTCATCAGGAAACATATGACTAGGGAAATTTGAGCGGACTATTTACTACCCGTAAACAAAAAGCCTTTATACATGCGACTGCAATTCAAGGGCGACATACCTAGTGAAATAATTACGTAGAAATTAAGAAAATCAGTCCAAAGGACTTCTAATGCTGACGGAACACAAGTCATAGTTCCTACACGACGACCGGTTGTGATTCTCCAATTAAAAGATGAAGTGCGTAGACTAGACATTCTAACTGTATCTATCGATTCAACTGCGCTTGTGGAACGAGTTATACTGGCAGTTTCTCCAGGAACTTGATTCATCTTGCTCGCTTGGGAACATCTACCTGTGTGGCTAAGTAAAGGTGTAGTTAAAAGCATCAGTAGCTCTATATTAGACCACCTGGTTTAAACCCGCCATCATCTATCGAGTACCAAATAAATTGATAAAATCATCCAGGTAGCAAGTACTTCAAAATCACAGAGTGTACTGTAATCCGCCTTGAAAAATCGGTGCTCTGTGTGCAGAAGAAACAGGTTCAACCACTACTACTGCCCTAGCCGTCTATCGAGCCCATAAATTCATAAGTTCTGTATTATTTTTTTTCATTTATTTTTGTTTACAGCTTGATTCCACACTGTATTTTTGGTACAAGTATGGAATTTTCAGCATGGATATCGGTAGCCCAAATTTTGCAGGCTGACCATAGATATCAGGTGTGCGTCAACAGGGAATCGAACCTCGGACCATGTGCATGGTCGGCGAGAGTCCTAACCACTGTGCCAAAGACACACAGTGTGTTTCTATGTTGATGAATAATATCACACTTAAAGATGCTACTGAACAATAATCTATTCATATTATTGGTTCGATATTACTTAAACAACATTAATGTTGTTTATAACCCTAATTCTTTTATTATTATGGATGCATATAACTGCAGAACCTGACGAAGAAGTTATCGAAAAGAAAATTCTTTGTTAAGTAGTCAGTCTTTTGAAACTACGAAACATATTTCTAGTTCATTGTTAAAGCTCAAAATTACTGGATTATTAGCCTATTCATTATTTCACTGTAATAGACCTATGAAATCTAAATTGTTCGACCCACGTTGATAATAATTATGTAACTTAGACGTATTTCTTTACATCGTTCACTTATTTAAGCTTAAACATCATAGATTGGTTTCAAAAATGCAGGATAAATGTTCTGTTTGTACTGTACGTTTGGGTATTGACATTTTTCAAGAGATTTGTTACTTTAAATTTAACTGATTTCGGAAACTAGCGAGGCAGTCTTCAGGTTGCAAGAAGTAATCAGTCATTTAGAGAAATATGAAGCTACCCATCATTCCCTTATACATAACTTAGTATTATTTAGTACTGAGTAATTATCCTGATATACATATAAAGTGATTACTTAAGGAAACATTCTTATCACTACTTAGCTAATCATCTAATATCATTCAGTAAATGACTTAATATTTAAAAACAGATAAGACTAATTAAAAGGTATTTTTGAAGAATCATTAAATGGTGTTATAATACAAATACAGAATAGAAGCAAGAAATGATAGTCATTAGTGGACAGATACACAATAAATAATCAAGCCTAATATAACTTGCAGTTCAATTTAGGTTGAAACATTTCTCAGGTATCTGAAACCTTCGATGGTTCATTGATTATCAACACTATGAACTTATTGTTTTTCACTTGGACCTAAAGATATTCTGTTGCTTGTTTTGCAGAAAATTAGCATCAAAACAAGAATACAGATCATTAGTCAGATATTGATCAGTTTACGATTATAATTACGAGTAAATATGCCTCAGTGTTGAATATCAAAAGATACGAGACATAATTCCTGCCGACTTATTTCCAAATTATAAACTACATCAGTTTGAATGGCTATTGTCTTCTTTGAAATTCAGATGACAATTGTAGTCACTACACATATCTGTAAAAGGTGAAATATAACTGTATTCATATTTTTCACAGCACTCATTTACATCTTCAGAACTCTCAGTAATAGCAGTTTGTAGTTATCAAGTATTAAGAAGAGTGTGTATCTAGTAGTTAAATATCATTGTAATCCATCTCTTGTGCAGCACAGTCACTAAATCAAATAACATAGCATAACAGTGTATAAGTTGGATTTCAGAAGTCAGCAGACATAATCTGTCGTTCATATCCATTGGTAAGCGTGATCAACAAGAAAATACACAGTGCACGGCGATACACAGAACTGATGCATTCAGCAAAATGCCTTTTTTATTCAGTGAACTTTGATTGTCAACTGAAAACACATACTTAAGATGATAACTGTTTCTTGAAAAATGTGTGCTTAAACTTCATCCATATAAACCATGAATGGATATAAATAGTAGCAACCAGTTTAACTAAATTCAAACTTCCAACTTACATTTCGTATCCAAACCTCCCTTAAATCGATCCCATGATTTTAAACCAATTCTTTCTCCAAGAAGATTAACAAAACGTTCAAATTGTTCACTTCCTTTTTCTGCATTAAACCGTATACATAGAAAACAATGTAGTCACGAATGAGAGAGAAAAAAATTTCATTGGGGAATTAAATTTTTGTTGTGAGTAAATTCCTTTAATTTATGACTATAATTTATATTAAAGCGCTTAAGAATCTTTTTCACTGAAAGTTGCACATAAGTATCCTTCCACAATTTGTACTGCAGGGTTATAATAGACTTATTATGTATGTATGAATATGCATCGGCGGTTCAGTTGTGAGATGCTGGGTCTGATATCAGGTTGATGCGCTGTTAAACCTCCCTTAGTTTACTTTCCAGTAGTATGCCCGGAAAGAAGGGAGGTTAAGCATGAGGTGAGGGACCCCCCACCATTACTGAAACTTTAAATCTTGAAGTTCCATATTCTACTCAGAAGGTAAGGAATGAAAGGAAATGTGCATGGACGTCCCACATAAAGAGTATACAAGAAAAACACATAGTTTCGATGTCTGGTAGGTTCGCGGGCACGTTTAGGAGTCTCAGACTGGGATGGAACAGCTATCTGGTGCACTAGGGTTTCCACTGATTCGCTTACGGGTGCCCGTACGTGATGCAATCTACTTTTTTCTGATCACCAATCAAATCGTTATAAATCAATACCTGAGAATGTATTCAGATCGTTTAGTAAGAAGTAAGGGTAAACTTTATATCAGTAAAAAGTTTTAGCATTGTGGATTAGATCAAATATAATTATGCTTTATAAGGGTAAAGGCTTCTATTAAAGACAGTCAGAGCTGGAAGGAAAGGCAAGAATATAAATATATATATTATTGAGTCCACTACCAACTGATATTACTCATTAGCACATGAATGTCCGGTATACCAGTGAAGAAAAACTGGTTTATGAGACTGAAACATGATTCAAACACACCAAAGTCATTCTCTGAGGTTACCTTGTACATGTTGGTTTACTGAATTGTTCAGCTTCATAATTAGAATTAGTCCTACTTATGTATTCCCTTACGTCATACAGTCATATGCTCACCACAAATAGATCTAGGGAATAGAAACACTTTCCTTTCGTCCAGTTATCATTATAGAAACATTTTTAACACTCTAATGAGTTCAGTGACGCAAATAGGTTATATATATATATATATAACTGGAAATACCATTTGTTTTTGAAAGATGAGAATAAAAACAAAGACAAAAGAAAAACTATGAAAGCTTTAAGTTGAGGAAACACTGATCGTCAATAAAAAGCCCTAAAGTTTTTACATTCACGTTTTGTATAAATGCTCATGTTGTATTCACAATAGATGTGATATAACAATTCAATTGATAAAAATAGCACTGTTCAAACTGTCAGGCCAAATATATACAAAAGAAATAACTCGGAAAGAGAAAAGTTACATGAACTATAATAACAATATTATTTCTAAACGATTCATGCAGAAATATGTTTGATTAAGAAACAACACTTACGTTAAGCTTTTCAGCAATACTCGGGTTAGCTGTTTGGTTAAACAAAACTTTCAACCGACATATGAATATGTATGACTGACAGTTAAACAACTAATTAGAGAAATTACTAGTTGAATAGTCCCCTACTACGAGTTCTATTTATCTGGATGATGATGAATGGAGATATCCAAGCCAGGATCCGAAAAGCGAGACAAACCTTCATTACATGGAAATCGATACAGAAATCTATTGCATCAAGCATAACGAAAAAGATACCGATATTCGGTACAAATTTCAAATAACTTCTTCTACATGGTTCAGAGACTTCGCATATCATCGAAAGCACTGTGGACAGGCTCCATACTTCTACCAGTAGGTCTCTCTTTCGCTTGTTAGACACTGAGAACCATATGGCCGGCCGCAAACGGTAAACGGCAAGGAAATCTAACAAAGAACCAATGAAGAACCTACTGCTTAAAATTTATTCAAAAAGAACTAGATTGAAAAACAAAGAAGTGACCGTTGGTCCAGGGGGTGAAATGGGAAGATTGTTTGAGGAGGGGATGAGAGTGTATGGACAAATGAGGAAAGCAGGATAAAACTGCCATGTGGCATCGAAGACCTGTGTTCCGGTCGGAATCTAAGGGAATCATAATAATAGTCCTGTCACGTACGTAGCTGGATTAAATTTTACACAAAATTAATACCTTGAATTATCAGATCAGGTTGTGAGATAACAACTTGTCAACTTGAAAGAAATCTATAGAGGAAGCTGAGTAAGAATACTTCAACTATTGGGGGTTGGTTTCCAGATAATGTACTGGGACATTACTGCTAGAAAATTATTCAATAAATAACCTAATAAAGAATATCCTTATTCAAAAGAAAAATGAAATTCTTTACAGAAATGTTTTTCTGGATTTTTGTCTTTTTTAAATTTTAGAACAAGACATATAAGCGAACAATATTGTTTTCAATTAGATCTTCTTCAGGCTTTACTCTAATTTACATGGATTTATATGTAGAAAATTCAACCAATGACGGTGATTGTGTGGATCAAATAATAATAATGTGGTAAATGTTTTGAAAGTAGTTAATAACGATGATTATATCTAAGCCCTTCGAACATGCGAAAATAACATCACATCCCACTGTATTTACCAGTTTGAATGTACGTGTGGACACACATACATAGGGAGGACTCATCAATCTCTGCAAGTAAGGGCTTCAGAGCATATTCCTAAACGGCTCCAGAAACAAATGGAATCTTCAGAACCTATTAACGGTGAGAACAGGAGACCTAGCTCTTCTATTGCGAAACATATTATAGAGACAGGTCATAAAATTGATGTTAACAGATCTTTTAGACCTATCTATAAAACGTGTTTGGGGCGTATCCTAAAGTTTGTGAAAGTCCTAGCTATCAATTAGGAAGTTCAAGCCACCTTTATGCGTTCATAAACAATTCGTCATCACACTAAACCTTCTTTGGTAAATTTTGTTTTGATACTATAGCAAATGTACTATTACCTGTGTTATTTGGTTTAGTGGTCTTCATTGTTATTTTGACCTTGAATATGTCCTTTTAACTTGACCTAAGTCTATTTTTCTCACCTCTTACCTCTTTATTAATTTTATATATATATTCCTATGACAAGTCCGTGTGTGATCAGATTGTTCGAAATGTGTTGCGCAAATACATTACACGATTCAGACAAATTACGTCTTCTTATTGCTCTATCTAAATTCATAAAGGGAACTAACTGTTTTAAATTTTATATAATAACAAAATATTGATTATAAGGTTTATGCAGGTGGCGATAAAAATAACAAAGGTAGTATTATGTGTATAAGATTTGATAGTGTGAAATACTCCCATATTATGAATTAAAAGTCAATCTGAACGAAGAATATTCTTTTCAATAATTTCTCTTCAGGTTCTTACAATTATAAAATATAATATTTGTGGTCGTTACAATAAAGGCCAGTTGTGCGGCGGATACATTTTTAACGTAGAATAGCAGATTAGTTATGGGGTGTCAAAATAAATAGTCATATTTGTGTGACAAACGTGCTAGGCTGAAATTGATTAGAAATATTGTAAAACGGGAGACAATGGTGGTGATTAATCATAATAGAATTGTAGAGTGTGGGGTAGGAAAGTTGACAAATCAGTTCAAGGTTATAAAAGGTGTCAGGTGAGTGGCTAGTACAAAGTGGTCTGAGTTAAACAGGAGATATTAAGACTGCAATGAGAGGTTCATAGTGAGATAACGAATATGTTAAATGAAACAGGTGGAGGCATATATTGTGAAAACAGATAATATCACTAATAATAAGTGTAAATGAGAAATTCCATAGTATTGAGGGAATGTTTGCATAAAGGGCATAAATTATGACGAATAATAATAACTGTAATAATAATATTTATAATAATAAGCAAAGTAAAAAGAAAGAAAAAAAACCAAGAGGGTTAAGGGGAAGGAGCACTCTTGGTGAGGAGAAAAATCTTCAATCCAAGGTTGGCCACGGTAGGAACAGCGTCTGGACGTGTTCCGTTTAGTCGATCTTATTGCAACAGCTTCAGCTATGTGTAGGAGACGTAAGCGAACTGTACGTGATAACGACTTCGGGATTCGGCATATAACCCTGAAAGCTGTGTTGACATCGATGCGATGTCCAGTATCGACCAGGTGTGACAGGATCGAGCTTTTTATGCACTTAATTTCCCCTTTGCTAAACCAAGCTGGTAAGTGTTCTCAAATCCGTAGACGAACCTGCCTAATTGTGCGCCCTATATAACTTGAACCACAGGAACAGTTGAAATGGTATATGCATGAAGAAGAGCTAAGGTTAGGTAAGGCATCTTTGAGTTGCTGGGTGAACATTGGGCGGCTAGTGAAGGATAGACACAGACGTGCAGAATAGAAAGTTTTCTTGATCGCCCTGGTTAAACGTTGGGATAGAATCTCCGCAGGAGTATCTCCATTGAATTGGAGACGTAAAACAGAGGCTTTTTCTCCACAGTTGTCAGTTCATGTTTACGAATATTATAACCTATGTTGGCTTTAATGAACTTCTCTGGATATCCGTTCTCGCTTAGAATGTCTCGGATGATCTGGAGTTCTTTCTCTACGCACTCTTCAGAACAAATAGACCTTGCTCTAAATGCTAAGCACCTGATTAGATTACGTTTGTATTTCATCGGTATAATTCAGTAAATAAATGAGGTCAAATCCTAAAAGTTACGTAATATTAAAGGTGAAGTGGACAGATAATCAGAGTATAAATAAATATCATAAAAATACGAAGGAGATGGAAAATAGGAAAGGGTGGGAAGGTTTTGAATAGAATTCACCTAGGCAAGCAACGGAGAGACAAAGGTAGGAGAAAATTCTTTTGTTGTGTGCAAAGACTAGGATTGTTCCCTCGAATTCCCATAGCTTCGGCCATGTGTAAAAGACGGATTGGAATTATGCTCGAAAGACTCGATGGAATGCGATAGATAACTTTGAAGGCACTATTTATTTCCACTTGGTGACCGCTATCAATCAAATGAGCCAAAATAGAAGTTCTCATAAATTTTATTTGACCATGAAGGAAGATGCTCATTAATTTATTTTATTTTTTTATTTTTTATTTACAGCTTGATTCCACACTGTATTTTTGGTACAAGTATGGAATTTTCAGCATGGATATCGGCACCATAAATTTTGCAGGCCGACGATAGATATCAGGTGTGCGTCGGCAGGACATCGGACCTCGGACTATTTTCATGATCGGCGAGAGTCCTAACCACTGTGCCATCGACGCACGCGTTTGTTAAGCTGTCTAGTTGTTCGCCCTATATAGCTCTCTCCAAAGGGGCAACTAAATTTATAGATGCACATAGAAGTGGCACAGCTAGGCAGCTTACCTTTCACTTGAACAATCATAATTAGTCTGCTGGAAAATAACAAACAAAGGGTGGAGGCAGTATAAGTCCGTTTTATCGCCCTCAATAATCTCAGATGTAAGATTTTGCTAGCCAAATCCCCGTTAAATTGCAATTTCATGAACCGTTGTTTCTTTTCAACTGTTGTTTTCAGTTTCTCTCTATTGTACTTGGTGTTCATGTGTCTCCTTACCAATCTACTAGGATAAACCATTTTGACCAGAATATTTTGGATGTATCCTAACTCATTTTGTAGGGGGTCATCTGTAAAGATACGCCTTGCTCTATTTGTGAGGCACCTGACCAAATTGACTTTGTATGGGATTGGTACAAAACTGAGGAGATGTGTATATGTTCCTACAGATGTAGGTTTTCTATAGACATCTCTCTTGAGTGAGCCACCCTCTCTTCTGCTCAATTGGACGTCAAGGAAATGTGGTCTACCATCATGTTCTTCTTCACAAGTGAAGATGAGTGATGGGTGTGCATCATTAAATTTGATTAACATTTCATTCCTATCAGCTTTCACATCAAGAATGATAAAGACATCATCAACATAGAGAAAATAAGAATCAAATTTATCTACTACTTGTTTCAATCGACCTTTTTCAACCTTAGCAAAAAAGAATTTTTAATTTTCCATTATTTAGTTTATTTACTTAGGCCATGTTTGTCTCATAGAGAGATCAGATAGTTAATGCTTTTCATTAATTTGAATCCAATTCATTTCATTTGACTGAGCACTGTCAGGAAACATTTCGATTCTAATTTCTAAAAAGTCACCAGTCTACATTTTCAGTCTTTTCCAATGTGATTAAATTTAGCCATTTATATATGAGATTTTTGGTGTTTAGCAACTTTTTCAGCTACAGGATATGCTTATTCGTTTGTGTAAATTCCTATTCTCACAGGAATTAATATGTTATATGTTTTGGAGATGTAATCATAGGACTTGTTGCAATTCCTCGCAGACTATGTTAAACTGGAATACATATATGTGTAAAGGTTAGTTATTCATTTCCAGTCGATCGGTTATACTGAACCGAATTTCCCAGTTTCTTTTAACTCGTTGGTGACATTTTAATAAAGTCTAAGGAATAGCATGAATTTATTTGGGTTGGTGGTGACTAGCAGTGGAGATCAGGGTTATAACTTGATCCTTTTTGTCATCTAAAACAACGAACGCTGCGTTTGAGTCTCACTGAGAACACCATCACTCACATGAAATGTTGGTACATCCAGCTGACAATACTCAACGAGGACGAAATGGGGATCTTCGATTTTACTGTTAGCCGCCATCAACTGAAGTGATAGACATATAGTATTGCTAATCACAATTACTAGGAGTTACATTGGGAGAACAGAAAGAAGGGTACACTTCCGATTTTCTGAACATCTGCATACGTCTCAAGGGAACAAACTCTAATAATAGCGCTATTACCAGACATCTCGATACGGGTCATGAGGTGGAAATTGCGAAATTATCTAAAGTTATCGATAGACAAAGGAGCTCGATTCTTCTCAAGTTTATCAAAACAGTTTCTATCAAACGCTTGAAACCAGATTTATATGTTCAGAAAGAAGCAACTATCAGTCTTTCCTTGCCAATCCTGGTAACTGGATGTCTTCACCGTCTCTCTCTTTCATTTGATTACGTAATCTTTGGCTTTAACCTCACTGCTTTGACATAGTATAATTTTGCTTGTCTCTTGTTTCTATGATTTAAGGTGAACTCAGTACATTGTTATCTAATTTATTAGTCACTCAGCATCATACGCATCTCTGGTCTTATTTACGTAACTCCTTTACCATTGTATTCATACATTTATGTTGTTTAAACTTCAACTGCCTGTGTAAAAACTATACAAAAGCAACTTTCTGAACACTGTTCACTAATTGTGGAACTTTCTGTTAACTGATATCATGAAAAATTTGCAAGTATGTTAAGACTTTTCTGTACATAAACCTCATATTATATTTAAGCTGTAAGCAGCTGATGAGAAGCCACCGAAATAAGCAACGATGGTACCATATTATTCTGCAAAAACCACTGTTGTTCTTGCTTTATTCAAATTCATCAAGGGGAATAAATACAAATACGAGTTATTTTGTTTGATGACTATGCTTAAAGTGCACTTAGATAGATGAATCTTGAATTGATTTGGCTATTTGAAATTCTAGGTAGTTGTTAACAAACTTTCGAGGGGGATCTATTTTTCAAATTCGGTACCACAAAATTCATAAAACATATCACTGAGAGATATTGAATCTTTCTTGAACAGTTTCACGGAACAACTATGTACAGTACGTAGTTTTGGTATCACCTTTGTATATAATATGGATGTAATAATACTTTAATTTACAATTCTATTTCTTTGTATTTTCAGCTAACCAACTAAGCTGAGAAAGATAGAAAAATTCCAAATCGACTTGAGCGCACAATTTGAATTAGAGACAAAAATTATTATTATTACAAAAAATAGTAATTGGATTATTTTGTGAGATTAAAAGTTTTACTAGAGAGGGGTTTGAAGCAAAAAAAAGGCTTATTGTTGTTTTCATGAGTTAATTTGTAAGGATTTGATTTGTCTATCTAGTTTGACCATGGATGGATATCAGTTAGAGATCGATTGAAAAACAGCACTGGAATACCGGACAGCCAACTGTTTCATCAGCCTAGTTTGGGACTCATTGGCAGTACGCACCCACTGTTTATTTAAATGTAGTAATAACGGATTGAATAAAACATTTTCTTAGGTCTTCAGACATTTAAATGGAACCATAAGAAAGTAATAAAACATATCTAGTAGGAAAACTGCAAAAAAAAAGAAAACAGACACTTACCATTATTGTACATCTCTTGATCTGATGTTTGGCCTTCGATACAATAAAGTACTCCAAACTTGAAATTTACAGATCCCTTTAAAAGTGAACAAACAAACAAATGATATGATTATGTGAGTATGCGTACTCAGTTTTCCAGCATATATCAAAATAACTATATTCTTAAAATATTTATTTAGTATATGGTAAATCAAAATTTTGTTTAATGAAAACGTCCAAAATTATTTCTTGTTGGCTACAGTGTATTACTGTAGCCAACTAGAAATAATAAATCCTGGCGTCGGTGGTATAGCGGTTAAGACTCTCGCTGATCATGCACATGGTCCGGGGTTCGATCCCCGGCCACCGACGCACTCCTTTACCTCGCTAAGCCAAAAATAATGCTGGCGAAGAGAAAAGGTTGGGCATGAGGCCAGCAACCCCATCCTGTAAAATAAACACTGCTACAGAAACTTCAAGCCACTAGCTTGAAGCCCTATGTTCCACCGGGGAACGTGAAAGAAAAAAAACAGTGTATTACTGGCTTCTGTTCTCATTACAGTTTATCAGGTGTATCAGTGTATCAAGGCAGTAATGGGTTTGATCGAGAAAGATTCTAACTTCAGTCAGGGTGTCATATTTATACTTACTTCATATCTATAATAGATTATCGTGTAAAGATACAGATTGTTTCACTTCAATAAGCAAACAGTGAAGATGTATACTGAATCACTGCATTTCCTAAACTGAAATCAAATAAGGAATTTCGACGAATATTATGGAAAACTAGGGCTCTTCAGATTGACATGTTATTTTGGCATATTTTACTTTGTGTAAATTTTCAAATTCGCCACTCAATGCATGTATTTTATTGACTAATTTCATAACATGGTCTAAATATACTTATGTGTGATTACAATAATAAGGTAACATCACTATGCTTCGAAGACAATGATGCTATAAGTGACGGCCTTTTTGATATTTCGTACATGGAAAATCTTTCAAAGTATAAATTCATATATTATTGATAACGAACTCTCCTGTTTATGCTTCGATAGTCCATATGCAGAATGCCCGCCAAACACTCACTTGGCCTTGGTTCGATTCTTAACCGATGCACTCCTAAACCTTGTCTAGCCCGTATTAAGTCCGACAAAAAGATAAAGTTGGGCGTTAGACTAACAACCTCACCCTGTTACCCTGTTGAAACAATACTACCGCTATTAAAACTTCAAGACTCAGGCTTCAAGCTTTGTGTTCCACTAGGAGCTGAAAACAACGAATAAAAGTTTATCTTTTTGCTTAATTAGCATCGGTTTTGCCTGAAATATACTTTCATTCAAGTTAGAATAAATCCTGGAAGCCAACTCGAAATAAATATTCATTTCAACTGGCATGTTAACATGATAGGTATATGTCAATTTTGTAGGACACAAATCAGCCATTTTCGCGGTCAAAGATATTACTAATGAGACATTCGGGTCACTATTAACCAGGTGGACTGTGAGAGATATATCGTTTGGTGACTAGGCAGCAACCAAATTGCTCAGTGGGGCATAAAACCTATTAAGATTACAGATACGCTTCGATGATTAGTACCAGACAGCAAAAAACCTAGGAAGACGGTTTCTTACAGACAACCTGAAACCATTTAACGTCTAATGTATGCAATGCACTTTTAAGAGAAGTTTGATCATGGATTGGTATCAGTTAGAGAACCACTGAAAACTTTCATAAAATGTCACTAAGTCACAACAACTTCTTAGCATGAAGTGAAATCAGGGGTACGTGAACCTTTAGTACGCTAACAAACAATGGATGCAACCCGTGGAAGGAATCTTCACAAAGTCACCTGTTTTTCCCCATCTTCCCTTTAATTTCATGTAGAAAATATTCTGTAGGTGAAATGAAAGGACATTTAAATACACTGCCTAAATTATTCGGCACTAATTCTTACCTCCTGCTCTTCTAGAGTGAGAGCATCCTTTTGAACTTCAAAATTAAGAATTTCGCGTGGTCCTTTTTCTACACGATGGATATCGAAAAAGCTGAAGAGTAGTTAAAAAAAGTACATGACTGTTACTAAGATCTGCTTTCACATTAAATATTTATTCTCAAATAATTCAGTTTATCATACGAAAACCTGGAGACACTTTTTCAAATAATTAATTTATGTGCCGCTATCATCAGCCCTGTACAACTGCCCGAAAACTTAAGCGTGAGATACCATAATGCCATGTAAGAAAACTGTACTTTTAAACTAGTCTCTGACATTCTTGTGATCTTGACATAACAGAGGAAATACTGAAGATGACATTTATCAATACACCTTATTGAGTGTCGCTTTTTTCAAAATTATATGCTGGATAATGATTTCAAAACGAATGTTTTTTGATAAAGTTATTTTGTGAAAAATGTAGTAAATTATTCAACAGATTTTACACAACTGAACCCATGAAATTATCCGATCAGTATTTTGTCTCTCAAGGGTTCAAGTAGTTTCAGTTAGTTTATTATAATACCTAATGAATTCTTGTATTTTATGACCAGTAAAGCTGACAATAAACTAGTTACCCCCATTTCGGTGCTACACGTGAATTACTTTAGTAAAATTGACACTTATCTACACCAAATGTCTACATAAGACTAATTATTCCTGAATTTCCCGCCAACTATGAGTTATGAAATTATTATCCCTAGTGAGATAAGATATTAGGATATTATTAAACTGCTTATTCCAGTTGTAACTATTACTTCTAGAGTATTCCTCAAAAACATTTGTGGAAAATCTAAAAAGATGACAGAATTAGAAAGTAAGTGGCGATATGGTACAGTACTTTTAAGTAGAACAAAATTCGTCGTTTTCAGTAATCACTATGATATATGTAGAGCAGTTTTCCATCTAAATATGTCATAATTCATATAAATGGAAATAAGAAATTCTGTGAAGCTCTACAACTGTGAAACACATAAAAGTACAGACTTCATATTAGTTTTGAAGAACTCTGCCTACTTTACTAGTTCATCAGTTTACTAGCTGGTCCGAAGCCCGGTTGAAGTGGAAAGTTGAGCGTCTAGCTACCGTATCTGCCTTGCAAAATGAATCCGGTAGCTACAGAAAGTTCAAAACACAAAAATTTATTAACTTCCTAGTAAGATCAGCTTGGTTTTTAACAACTTACTTTAAAACCTTTTTTGCGGTTAACGCATTTGTTGGATTGTAGGAAATACACAACTTTTGACTACCCTATAAAAAAGAAGTTACAAAAAATAGAAAATGACTTTATAGTCTTGAACAAGTTGTTTTTAGGTGAATAATGTATAAAACACTATCAAAGACAAACAAATATTTATCTAAATTTAAAATTAGGCGATATGAATGAGTACTCTTCTATTTCATTGGGCACCAAATGGCTATTTAACTCTTTTGTGGCAGACGCTATCAGTTAGATTAATCAGTTTATCAAACCTAAACCAAAACAACCACCCACACACTTTTTGCTTCCAAAAACCTCTACCTAAATCTATAATTCAATGGGGACTCATCGGCAGAAATACTGAAAAACTGCCTGTCCTGCTCACTGAAGAGAATCTCCTTTAAAGCTCAACTCCGAATAACCTTCTCTGTGAAACCAATGATTCGCATAAACATGAAACATAAGCTACTACTATTGGTCTCATTACTGTTCATCTACCAATTCAGCTGCTCGTGTGGAACTAGGTATGTCAGCCGTAACCTACATTTGCTATCCAAACGTATCATCGAACTCTTACTCTCACGGTTTTATAAAGGAGGAAATACGTCCAATTGAAGCTCTATTCTGGTACACCTGATCAAATCTGGATACCAAGCAAACCTACAAGGTTATTTCAAAGTTATCTACAGAATAAGTGGGAGTCTCGCTAAAAGAGTACGAATCAAACTTCTTCAAACCGCAGAAGCAATGGCAATCCATATATTAAGACCTGAACTCTGCATACAAAAGAAGTTTATTCACTCATTAAATCTACAATGGACCTGACCCATCTTAGCACTAAATACGTAATTTTGTATTCATCTTTTCTTTACTTGTTTGTTTCTTAAATGTATAATATTTTCTTCCCCTACTCCGTTTTAAATCCTTTAAATCCCCTTATCACCGCTGTTGTTAACTTGACTTTTTGAAAACAGAAAGATGGAGTGGAGAAATATTTACCTTTCAATTAGATCCGCATCTCTGTCTCTACTTTGTATTTATTACAATACACAACAATTTACCAATCACGTGGCACTGATATGTTAGTTAACAATAATTAGTCAGTGGGGTGATAATTAACGAAGAAAATTAATACGCACAATCAAAAGGTATAAATGGTTACAACACGTGGATTGCGTAATGCCTAATTTTGGGAAAATTAAGAGTAAATAAGAAATGAGCGTGTGCACAGGCTAATTACGTAATAGATTGTTTAAGAAAATAAAACGATTTTGACAATGATAACTTGTAACTAAGGGTGAAGTGGTCATAAGAATAAAATAATTTTACAAAGATAACGTGTAATTAAGGATGATTTAGTCAGAAAAATAATGAAATAATCTGAACAGTTATAATCTGTATAATTTTAAAGGCTAGGGTAAAGGGGGCGAAGTAGTCCGATTCATACGTCCACGTAACGATGGCCAAGGTAAGGAAAGTGGCTGTACAGTTTTCTTCTGAACATACAAATTTGGCTTCTTCAAGCGGATTCCTATTGCTTCAGCTGTTTGTAGAAGACGAACTCGTAAAGCAAAATTAAGGTTAGTAGGAATGCGATAAATAATTTTAAATGCTGTATTAACGTCAACCTTATGCTCACTATCTACGAGGTGTGCTAAAACAGAGCTATCTACGAATTGATCTTGTTTGTCCCTTGCTTGACCATGCTGGATGATGTTCGGAAATACGATGATAAATCCGCCTAATTATACACCCGATGACTTTTGTTGAATTTTAACTGAGCTCTACTCAACCGTGTCAATTAGATTACGTCATTCAGCTTGCATATTTAATCTTATTTTAGTGTCTAACCGATTAACTAAACCTGTTGTCTAAAATTTACAGTTCTAATGACACATCATTTTGTTGCTAAGATAATTTATATCCTACTTGAGTTTCTAAAGGAAACTGAGGTAACTTTTTACCTAAAACTGTTCAGTTTCCAAATGGTGAATTTAAACTGAACTGATTGCCTTCCGAGCTATATCAGAACTAGCAAAACTAGTGTAAAATGTTTCCATGTTTAATTTAGCCTTCTGGCTGAATTTTTATGGTAGAAATACTTCTCTAAATTATCGTAATACTAGGACTGTTTCTATGGTGTCTATTCATCAACAGATGTTTTAGAAGAAAATATTCAGATTTTAAAGAAACGAGGTTCTATTCAGCGCCACCATCAGTCTAAAACAGAAATAATTACTCTTTCATTACTCAGTATACTGAAAAAAATAAAAAATACCCCAAGTTGATCACTGCTATTTTACACTAGAGGATTAAATACGTCAGAATAGATTGTTATTTTGTTTTCATACTGCAGTCTTGCTTACATACTATGCTTATTGTTACTTAAGTGAAAAAAGGTTTTGAAGTGATGTTTTGAATTTATTAAAATTTGTTTTGATGACCATGAATTATTGATGAGTAATGATTATCTCGGAATACTTTGGGAAAACTATTCATGCATTCTAAGAGTTATTTTTTTAATCGACAGTCAAAATATCTGGAATAGCCTTGGATTGGAACACTACTAGTGATGTAATGGGTGGTGATTTGAGATATCATATTTTCAAATAGCCTCAAGCTGGTTACCATTTTTAACTGTACATAACAGTATGGGAAGGGATTTCTCATTCCGCTTTTAAATACTCTTGCCCTGTATTATCTTGTGAATCTGGATTTAAAAATATTTACATCCAAAAAGAAGAAATCAATCTTCAAAATATGTATGGTACTTTGAACTGCCAATAACAAGATATTCATGTGAATTCAAGAGAATTGATATGTTGGACATAACTCAAAGCCATCAACACCCCAAGTTAAAAGGCATTATTCATTGTGCTACGATTTATGCTTCGAAATCACTGAGAATAGATTGATAAGCGATTTAATAAAGTATAGTTTTCATTTGAAGTTATACTTATACCCAGCTTATACTTAACATGAAGCATGAAATCTTTACTCAATCCAACTTTTATGGTTATTACCTTCAAAAACATGTAAAATAAATGCACCTTAACATTATTTACTGTAATTATTGTCGCATACTATCTGTCTAGATTTTTTTGAATGATATCAAACTTTTTCTCATTCCTTTACTTCCCCAGGGGAACAAAGGGTTTCAAGATAGAGCTGTGAAGTCTCTGTAGAAGTGGTGCTTTTATTTTTACGGGACGGAATTATTAGCCTCAGGCCCGACCTTCCTTGTTTACCAGTCTTGTTACTGGTTTAGTGAGGTAAAGGAGTGCATCGGCCGGGGATTGAATTCCAAACCACATGCGTGGTTGGTGAGCATTCTACGGCCTCGTCACTGACGCACAAAGTCAAACTTAATAAACGTTTATGTCTGTTAGTTTAATCTGTTCCAAATAAGAAGACGCACATCGTTGGCGGCCTGTTTAAATTACTGAGCTTCCTAACTTTCCATTCGGTAAAATACTACATTAGCTCTTCTTCATTTCTTATTAATTTAATCATCTAATTGTGTTGTTTTGGATCACTACATGAAATAGCACACAATTTTATCTTGCTGTAATGTAGAGCATTTCTTAACATGAATGAGGTAAAAAAATATCGTAGATATTTGGATATTGCTTCAGATGGAACAACACAGCATCACACACAGTCTACTGTCGAATACCATTTTACTTCAAGGTCATGTATGAAGGGTAAATATTTTGTAGTTTGAACACGCTGAAATTTCTGTACTGTGTTAACGTACTGTCTAGAATAAAGCTGTTATTATTATAATTACTGTCAGCATAAGTGCGAATATTAATTATTTTCTCTCAAGTGAATTTCTGATTAATATCTCGTTACACCCACTAGTGTATTTATTATTTCAAGTATGTCCTGTGAGATTAGCATATTCAGTATGAGAATGCTATTCAAAGTCAATTTGTTGAACAGAGATTAAACAAAGTAGTTAGCAAAATCAGCTGGCTACCAACATGGTAACATCCACTCACGAAACCTATTTAATTAGTAAGAACATAAAAATCTGGGAGATTCGCTCCACAGGCAATTAAAACCGCTAAGACTTCAGAAAAGCTTGAAAGAACTGAATGCAGCTACACTATAAATCAACGGTTTAATGAAAATTTTAGATTTTATGCCAAGTGAACCAACAAAATTTACAATATTTTCATGTTACATTTTCAAATAAGTTTACTGAACAACAGAAAGCTTACAAATGCATACAGAGAAATGAACAGACTTCAGTTTGCAGGTAAATTTAACACTAAAAGTAATAATTATTGATACAGCCAGTAAAGCAACTATTATTTATTTTATTTTTATTTTTGAATGCAGCTTGATTCCACACTGTATTTTTGGTACAAGTATGGAATTTTCAGCGTGGATGTCGGTAGTCCAAATTTCGCAGGCCGACCATAGATATCAGGTGTGCGTCGGCGTGGGCTCGAACCTCGGACCATGTGCATAGTCGGCGAGAGTCCTAACCACTGTGCCACCTACGCAAAACTAGTGTAAAATGTTTCCATGTTTAATTTAGCCTTCTGGCTAAACCAACCTTATAAGTAAGTAGTATATCTCATAAGACTATTTTAGCTCATAATGTTGATATCGCTTATGCGGTCAAAATGACCACACATATCCCTTTAAATAGCTTCAGTTTGTTAAAATATACCATACTAGAGTTTCGCTCTGGGATATAGTAGTATTAAATAACATTTTCAAACGCCCCATGATTCACGAGGACATGAATGGTTAATAACTGTAATGTGAAGAAGTTATATGTTTGAAGTTACGGAAAAAAATCAAATACGTACATATCATGACCTGCGGGGTAAAGCAGGTCGAGTGTGAGGACAAATACTCTCCAGTGACACTCGCTAGTCGTCGCGCCATATCAGGAATCGGCAGAAGTTGGATTTTATGGACCGTTGGATCCGGTCCCAGTAGCCTAATGGTCTAAGTTGATATAAGTACAAAAACTTGGGCACTGTGGTAGAGTATAACTCCATTATGGATAAGATTTTATTTTGATAAATCACATAGTGTTGTACAGTTATCAGTTAATATAACTGTACAACACTGTGTGATTTATGAAAATAAAATCTTATCCATAATGGTCTAAGTGCTCGCCTTATTACCAAAATATCGTGGGTTCGAACCCTGTCGGTGGGTGAATACTGACGAAGAGTCTGAAACTAGTCTGACGAAACAGTTGGCTGTCCAGTACTATCTGAAGGTTTTCCATTAGTTCTCTAACCGATGTCAGTTCATGATGAAGTCCTGAAACCAAAGAACTATAAGTACGAGTAAACGAGACTGCATTTTGCCTTTTACTGAAATTCTGATAATGTTTTTTTGTATATTCTGTATATTTTGTGTATAACATTTCCTGATGACATTAAAAAGTATATTTTTTTGTTACAACTGGTAATTAGATTCTTACATGTAATGGAATCATGATAAATTTTAATGGCTAATTTATCTGCTGTCATTGCGAGAGCTAAAAAACATTTTTTTTCTTTTCAAATTTTCTATTTATTTCTACGATGAAACGCATAGTTCATTTTTATTTATGAAGTAGATGGTTAGTAAACAGTTTTGTGTTAATTCGAATGGGGTATTCTGTAGTCCTTAACCGGTATTATTTATCTATTTATTTATTTATAAATCAACATTTATTTTCATAACCTCTGATTATATCATGTGAATGTAAGATATAGAGTCTTGTTGTTGTTGTTATTGCTCACTTAGGTACTTTTTGTTTTCCACTGAATAACAGTGACGTGGAAATCACATGAAATAAAAATGATATTGAATAACCTTGAAGAATTTGATAATTCCTGTTTTCTTACAATTTATAAGAAAGAAAGAATGATTGAATGAAAGTATAGAAAATAAAATGGTTTTTTTTTGCTTAAATATGTGTCAACATATTGGAAACAGAATATAATGAAATGCCACCGATTCATATGAATTCAATACGCTGATGCAATGATGTCTGCACTTCCAAAAAATAACACAAGTTAGACCAGAATTAGAAACTGAGATTGGTACAGTAAACACCATTTCTTAGTCTAAGACCATCTTAGGTAATCTGATCTGCTAAGTTTTTACTCATCGTTTACACGATGAAAACAAAAAGAAAATTATTTAACTGTCAGTAAAAGTTAATTAACAATACACAGATAAGGAATTCGCAGATCATTGAATTCCCCCCCCCCCCAATAAAACCTCATGAACTTGTAGTGTACATTTAAACCTTGAACTTTTGTTTCAATCCACTCATCCATCGTTTTGGCGCTACTCCACTTTACTTCACGGCACTTCGCTACCTGTACATTTTGGCGCTTACACGCTTGCTCTCTCGCTGTGCTCTTATACAAGCACCTCTTTGAGCTCACTGCTCCTCTGAGTACAGACACGTTATAAACCTTTTTATATCATTAAATTCCGTCAAATTTGTTATAAATATACTAGTGGTTACGGGCACGTCGTGAATCCTTTTTATTTCTGCTGTTCACTTGTTCCTCAGTACTTTCAGGATAAGCAGAGTACTGATTAAGACCTAGGTAAAGGAAGTTAGTCTTTTTGTAAGTGTGACAGGCAAACTCGCCTAGGAATAAAACCTCACACCTACAAATTGAAGATCACTGGTACCATCTGTGGTGTCCATTTCAGAGTGGAACGGCTGTCCATCACTCCGTAGTTCTTAATGATTTTCTCTCTGATTTTGGTATTCAATGAAATCTCTACCGAAAACGTACAGAACGTTCGACGCCCTTCACAATCTATACCGGTGATGTTCATCAACATTTATGATTCAGTGATTTGGGCATTTCTCCTTACTTCAGAACAGCAATTTAGTTCAGCATTTCAAGTTTAATTTAACTGCTCTGCTATCATTTTTATTTACATGATGAATATGAATCGTCGTTTGCCAGTAAGAATTTCTGAAAAATCTTCATGATTTTTACACTCACCGCTTTTATAAGATATGAGATCTAACTTAATTCACACATGAAATTACAAATACGTTCACAGATACATTTAAAGAATGGTGTCAGGATAAGTATGTTTCTTTTTTGAGCAGAATGAGTGGGGAAATTAGTGACATTTTATGAAACAGTAAAAGCTTAAAATAATCGTGCAAACATAGTGTGGAATATAAACCCATAAATTATCTTAAAATGAAATGGAAAGAAATCTCTGTAATATCAATAGATTTGCATAGAATCTTTCTAGTTTTGCTGTTCTCCTTTTCTGAAGAATACATTTTTTGTTTTCTTTAAATTAATTTATACTTTTTGACTTCTCAGAGGTGACAGAAAATAAATATTTTCTAATCTTTTGACTAAGTCCTACTATAAAGAGATAAATCACAGGAGACAGTTTAGTGGGTAAACTGAGAAATGAAGTGGTAGTTTTTCATTGTATTGTGAAAACTTCAAGTTTGACCACAGATTGATACCAAGTAGAGAGCCACTGAAAACCAAGGAGTATTAGATAGCTGTTTCGTCCAAGTTTTAGACTCATTTGTAGTAAACATCCACCAGGATTCGAACACAGGACCTTCCGGTTACAAGGCAAGCACGTAGACCATTCAGTCACTGTGTATATAGACCTAATTTTTCTGAACTACTACACTTTATTACTGTTTGTATTTTCCCCTCCACACACAATTATATCCTTGAAACCCTTTTTGGCTGTTGACTGTTTCAACTCATCAATGTAATCAGTGTCTGCGACGGCCATTCAAAGCATATATAGATCAACTACCATCAACTTTTTCATCTGTTAATTCGAGACAGTAGACGCTGTTTATATTAACGGCCTGCCTTCTTTTCTTCTTGTGTCACGGGTTTGGTGGTATCGTTTTATGTTGTTGTTGTTGTTGTTAATGATGAATAGAACAGTAGGCTCACAAGCTGACTAGGAATGAAATCCGTTAAAGCAAACTATCAAGTGTATTAACACTCACAACACATTGCGACTCAACTCAATGGCGCACGACTTCTAACTTCTACCATTTCACGATTTTAGTGCACTGGGGTTCGAATCCTAGTAGGTAAGTACTGGATCCCTTAGTTTACAAAGTTTTAATGTGGATATCAAATTAAGACCAACATCATTTTAAGGATAAATTGCATCACTGGTGAAAACCAGTATGTTGGCTAAAGTGAAAATCCCCATCATTGCATCCATGCGTATTAACCAGCAGTTGAAACACGTGATCTGTGTTTCTGCGTTTCACTGCATGTTGATAAATGAGGATATTGGATCAAGTGGGGGAAACACAAGAATCGTAAACAGAAGAAATACCTAAGAGCGGGATAATTCCTAGAAGCCTGTTACTTAGATCAACACGTAGCTGAGATTCATGTTTATATGTATCAAATTTATTAATTAATCAAAAACAAATGATGCTATCTAAACGTCAAACATTTTAAGAAAACTATATCAATGAACACAAAGCATAAAATGACAATGAATCACAGTGACGTCCATCAGGAACGCCGGTTATTCTACATTTGAAAATGCTCACTCCATTTCAAAGTTAGCGTTGGAGCTGTTGACTACATGGGCAATGAGAAGTTTTTCAATTTAACTATACAGCTCAGAAATCTCCTCAATATCACAAACATAAATCACACGTGACTTTTATTGGTTCCTTTTGTCCTTAGTATATGCAAACGTTTCTTCATTTAAATTAATATAACAGAAATTTACTGCACAAAAATATAATGGTCATTTCTGTCAACCTACTAGGGCTTTTTGTTAGTAGACTGTCGCCTTTTTAATATTGTCGTATGTATTACGGGAAAACTGAGCATTTTGCACCCTACTATGTGATGTTTGACAGCTGGTACTATGTAGTATTCGACTAAAGACTTTTGACCATTTCACTGGTGAGTACACAATCTGATAAGGGTGACTGATTATATTACTGACTCCTTTTTAATCACTACGACAGTTTCGGAGTTGCTCTTTATGATTTATAATCACTCATGTATTACTTCACTAAGTGTTTGGATAATGTTGCCAGTGTTTCAAAAAAACTTAGCCAGAAGAGAAATCTAGCTAAAGAAATGTCAGTAACAATATCTGAGATGCTTTTATTGCTCGACTAGTGACTTGAATAAAATCGATATTTTGTCTCCATTTTGATTCACATACTTAGTTAGAAGAAAGAGTAGTCTTTAATCTCCACATTTTTTTTAATTTGAAATTCTCGAGGAGCTCAGGTTTCTCATAACGTTAATCACCACCCTTTAAAAATGGTTAGAGAAGGCCTTCTGAAATTTAAAAAAAATTGAAATCCTGTTGGGCATGTAAGATATTTCACCAAGTACTCTTCGTGACACGAAAACACTTCGAATAACTTACCGTTTTTCTCCACAGAATTGCACGATACTGACTAATCCCATAAGTTTGTATATCATCTTTAGCAACAGCCAATAGAAATGGATCACGTTCGGTAAGATAACCACAATACAGTTGATGATCTATGCATAAAAGTCAAGAAGAAAGAATTCATAAGAATTGTTACCGAACCGTTATGCTGCAATTTTCGTAAAGTCTACAATAATATTTCCTTTACATCAGTAAATCTCATATGGGCGAAACAATAAACCAGTGAGAACTTCATTATACTTATTTTTTCTTAAAGTGGGACCGTTTATATGTAGTCATATTGTACTATAATCCACGGAGATATATCAGATATGTAATAATTAAGAAGCTACTTTTGACCATTTAACAATATTGGATAGTTTAACAATGACAAATACTTTATTAGCACTCAGACGCCATAATATTATTGAATATAAGTCAGTTTTGTAAGAAAATTCAAAACAAATGGTCTCGGGATAATATCCTCAAAGTGTTATTGTTGAGTTGTCACAGGCATGTGTCATCAAAAGTATTAGTAAAAATCATGCATTAAAAATAAATTGCGAAGATTTTGGATAACTGTATCCGACAATTTTACTAAGTATTAATATGGTGACAGTGTAAAGCGATAGAAAACATTTCACGATGCCAAGTTTACTGATCAACTCATAGGTGATCATTAAGTTTCTGCTGCCTTACATGATATGTAAATAGATAAAAAGGTGCTAAGGGGGATTCAAGCCGTTAAGCTGAAGACTTACTAAAATAAACCGCATTTTGATTAACAAAAACGTTTCAGTGTAATGACTTATTGCAATAAAAATTCGCCTACATTATACGCATATACATCATACTCTATCTAGTGCTCTTGCTTTATAAATCTATAAAAATATCTGTCGAAAAGCACAGTTTGTTGAGCGAAATTGCTTGTATTATTGATGTTGTTCTTCTTTCTTTTATTCCTTTACTTTTCCGGTGGGACATAGGGCTTCAGGATAAAGCTATGAAGTCTCTGTAGATGTGGTGCTTTTATTCTTACGAGATGGGGTTGCTAGCCTCATGCCCAACCTTCTTTCTTTACCAGTCTTATAACTGGTTTGGTGAGTTAAAGGAGTGCGTCGGCCGGGGATTGAATTCCAAACTACATGCGTGGTTGGAGAGCATTCTATGGCTGTGCCTCAGACACAGGTTAAGTCATGTGCTTTGAAAATTTGTTAGCATACAGTAGCAGTAATATTTACGAGCCCTAAATTCAATGAGTAGCTCATATGACTGCAAAAACAGTTTTCTACTTGCATTCAAGTGTTGGTTTGCAAGCATTTGATCGGTAAGAGGACCATTGCGAAACCTATGAGTACTGGACAGCTGTTTAATCACAGCCAGTGGCTTAATGGTCTACGACCTCGCTAGCCTTGTAACCGGAGAATCCTGGATTTGAACCTCAGTGGGTGAAGACACCCAAATTAGAATGAAACAGCTATCCAGTACTCCCTGGTGGTTCTCCAATGGTCCTCTGGCTAATGTCAGTTCATGAGTGAATCCTAAAAACATTTCATTGCTTGATAACAAACTGTTTGAGAGTATTAAATGAATAGGACATTACTGCAAACTAAAATCAGTTACTTTAGTAATCAGTACAAAAATATTTTCGCATTTTTCAACTTAAGTAATGATAAATAAAAATTTGCTTCAATAGAGGAATCGGTCTTTAAGTGCAGCTTTTTGATTGTCGAGTTATAACAAACATTCTTTCAATAATAATTTCAAAATTAGTAACTTAACACGGATAAATTTCACTTTTCAATGAGGTTTCATGTTGGACGAGCCAGCTGGTATATACTGTTTTATACAGTGCCTAAAACTTGGACTACCAAAATCTTCCATCCATTGTTCTAATCGGTTGAGATATGACCTCTATCGGTATTATCCACTCTTATGTGAATTTAAAATGTTTACTATTTCCTGATTCGCAAGTTTTTAATAAACTTCAGGAATGGCTTGTTTGTGAGTGGCAGCGTGTTCCAATACATGAGATAACTGTTCTTCAGTTATGTCCTTCGGTCTCAGAATGCACTTTTGAACATCTTACAATTGGCTTTCTACTAGACGTTGTGGATTTCTTGAAGGGGACAAAGCGGTTATATCAAAATGGAATGGGTTTGTGTTTCAGCTCAGAGAGAAATGTGTCGCAGGATATACTACTGTAAATTAATATTTCACTTGTAGATATTGTACGAAGGGAAAACATCTTGCAATAAACTCCTTTGAAAATTCTGTACATTTTGTATATACTGTCCAGTATAAAGATGTTATTATTATCGGATTATAAATATTTTGTTTTAACTCATATCATAGGTTTCGGTAATAGAGGGATGGTAAGTATAAACTAGCAAACCGAGTAGTGACATTATTAACATTATTACTGGAAGTCTTTATCTATACATAGTAAATGGACTGAAACAAAAACAGAAACTTAATAAATACTGGTAGAAGTGATTTTTTGATGTTATATCTTTTTCAGCATTCTAATTGATGAATAGTTTCACCATAGTGTGTCCATTAGCGAGTTTGCACAAACCTATCATAGTAGACTGAAAGAAGAGCTGAGTAATATTTAATAGTTGAAGGCAATCGGTAGGAAGCTTTGCCGGGGCTTAGGTTTCGTGCTAGTTGGCACTCACAAGTTATCAAGGAGTATCTGAAATCTTGCAGGAACTCGTCTTTTTTCTGAGATTCGAACTAGATCCACACCTAGAATGCTGGCCAAATTGCGAACTAGACCGGTAGGATTCACTCTACACCAAAGATAGGACTGGACACATTACACTAGTTACTAACTAGTGTCCAATCAAAGTGTAGGTAAATAATACTGAGATTCGTTGATTTTTTGAAACAAACGTTTACGTATAATATCATACAAGTCATCATTTATAGAGAACTTATTGATGAAGCTATTTCATCTAAATCCTCGAGCTCACAGAACACAGCCATACCAATATCGTCCAAATGAGGTACAAATCTCCATCATATCTACAGAAATGATAAGATGAACCATTTTTGCGAATCTGATTGAAATCACTCTAGACCGATTTGACCTAACACATGTAATTTCACGACGACAAATTTTCAAGTAATTTGTGTCTTCTGGAGAACTGCTTAAATCACTGTGCTACCTAAATTTCTGTAGAATATAATGCATAGAATTCTCAATATTTCTTATTATTTTAACGATCCACTTATGTACTTAGGTCTCAAATTATGATTGCAGACATTTTCAGTTGGCTTTTAGTCTACTGTAAGGCATTTAAAAAAATTATGAATAGCAGCTTGGAAAACGCATCACAAATGTATTCAGAGATCTCCTGAAGAAAAAATTAACTGACAGAGATCCTTACAATGATTTAAAGCCGCAAGTGTGCAGCTTGTCTTACGCGTATGTCTTGCAAAAACACAAAAAGAAAATGTCCTTCTGAGACCTCCACTTTCTATAATCAACTCGCTTCAGCACAAAGTTGCTCGTTGGCTTACAGAGAAGCTGGAACCCATTTTTAACTGCTACCTATGTGAAACATGAAAGATTCATTTCATTTCGCCAAAATCCCGAACTATATGAACGTTTCTAATAAGTTCATGGCATCCTTTGATATAATCTGCTTGTTCACAAGGATCGCAATCAGTGAAACTGTCGATATTATTTGTAAACATTCTAACTCCCACTCTAAGTGTCAGAATACAAACGCTTACTACTAATGTGAGCCATAGATATACATTTCCAACACTCCTTACTGCAAAATGATGGTGTTGCTATGGGCAGTCCAATTAGCTCTATTTTAGCAGACACCTTCTTGTCCATTCCTGCACAAGTTGTTGCTCTTGCTTTATTCAAAATTCACAAAGGCTAATAAGTGTAAGTGATTCTATGCATTTTTCAGTGACGAAGGAGAAAATTATCATCAGGGACTGGATTGACGATTCAGATAGAATAGCATTGACGCACGCTATATACTATTGATTACTGTTTTACTTGGAGATTTTGGATGAAGAGAAAATACTATGCAATAAATTACTCTCAGAATTCTGTATACTGTGAAAACGTTTTATACTGAGAATAAATAAATTATTAATAATGTTGCTAAGTAGCAAACAGTCCGGAAATCTATGTATTCAGCGCTATCCACCAAATAATATCTGTTTATGTTGAAATACATAGTGGTAAGTATGAATGATGGTGATCAGTATATTAACTTTCTATATTAAGGGCAATTTAGGGTAAACGATTTAGACTTTATATATAGTAACAGGGTATGACCTTTTCTGAACAGTATTTAAATATAGCCTCAAATTTTTAAAAACCTATTATAAAAGATTTGAATTTTCAGAAAAAAGGGGAAAAAAGGAAATCTCATCTTTCTAAACTTTCGAAAAATGTTATTCTCTATTATTGTTTCAGGTTTAATTTATAGTAAAATAATTACTTCTTCTGACCTGATTTTGATCATGGTCTTTAGTGAAGAAGAAGAAAATCTTTGCAGTATTTTAAATTTTAATCATTATTTTCCAGGTTTTATCGTTATCACTATTATCATTCTTATCAATTCAGTTGAATTTCACTATTTACTATTACATGTTTATTACATGTCTTGCAAGTCACCCTGAATTTGATTTTGTTAGGCGATTCGGTCTGGCCGCATCCATGTGCATCTATCAGTTCACCTAATCTTGTGGAGCAAGGTATATTGGTCGTATCCAGAGGACTCTTTCCATACGGGTACGAGAACATATTCCAGCATGGTTTTACAAGAGATAAAGGAAGTAATCGACTCCTGTCGCTCTGCCAACCCTGGCCATGATTTCAAGGTCATCTACAGAATCCATGTTAACTTGTCACGTTATCTTAGTTACAGACTTCTCAAGACAGCGGAGGCCCTGGTAATTCAAGACTTTGAGCCAGACCTTTGTATACAAAAGATGTAGGTACAATCCCTACTTCTGTCTTGGCCGTAGAGGGATAGATATTTATTTATTTATGTAGTTTGTTTATTTATTACTACGATTATTATTGTTACTATTCTCACTATGAATTGTTTCCGCTTGTCCCACTTGTCATTCTAAA